CCTTGCCCAAAGTCTCACCCTAACCCTAACCGTCGGACATGTGCAGCGCCACCTCTGGTCAAAAGCGGTATGACACCCCTTTTTGCAAAGTCGCCCTCAAATGACAGGAAATGGCCTGAAACGTGCTCACAATGCATTTTCAACAGTTCCAGACAAGTACAACACTTGCAAACACTGACTTTGGCCATTTCTCCGCTCCCATTCATTTTCAATGGGAAATTTTCATTTCGCCATAACTTTTGATAGGAATGTCCGATCGCTGGTTCATTAGTATTTCTAGATTCAGCATACCCGAAAATAGGGGGGTAGACCAAATCTCAGCCCGGTTCATCATTGGGAAAGGCAATGAACCGGCATGTCAAAAGTGGCACATATCCCTATATCCTGCCCCAAAGCTCCAACCCCCGAAAACTTCACCCACAATCAGGTTCTATGGACTCCCCGTGGCCTGAAACGTGCTCCTAACACAATTCTGGAAGGTGAAAAATTGGGTCCGCACTTAGGAAAATCTTCAGATTTTGGGAAAATCTTCACATTTTCCTAACCCTAACCCTAACCCTAGCTCCAACCCTAACCCTAACCCTAGCTCCAACCCTAACCCTAACCCTAGCTCCAACCCTAACCCTAACCCTAGCTCCAACCCTAACCCTAACCCCTTGCCCAAAGTCTCACCCTAACCCTAACCGTCGGACATGTGCAGCACCACCTCTGGTCAAAAGCGGTATGACACCCCTTTTTGCAAAGTCGCCCTCAAATGACAGGAAATGGCCTGAAACATGATCACAATCCATTTTGAACATTTCCATACAAAGTCAAACACTTAAAAAACTGAATTTTTCCAATTTTCATCTCCCATTCATTTTCAATGGGAAATTTTCATTTCGCCATAACTTTTGATAGCAATGTCCGATCGCTGGTTCATTAGTATTTCTAGATTCAGCATACCCGAAAATGGGGGGGTAGACCAAATCTCAGCCCGGTTCATCATTGGGAAAGGCAATGAACCGGCATGTCAAAAGTGGCACATATCCCTATATCCTGCCCCAAAGCTCCAACCCCGAAAACTTCACCCAGAATCAGGTTCTATGGACTCCCCGTGGCCTGAAACGTGCTCCTAACACAATTCTGGAAGGTGAAAAATTGGGTCCGCACTTAGGAAAATCTTCAGATTTTGGAAAATCTTCACATAACCCTAACCCTAACCCTAACCCTAGCTCCAACCCTAACCCTAACCCTAGCTCCAACCCTAACCCTAACCCTACCTCCAACCCTAACCCTAACCCCTTGCTAACCCTAAAGTCCCAACCCTAACCCTAACCGTCGGACATGTGCAGCGCCACCTCTGGTCAAAAGCGGTATGACACCCTTTTGCAAAGTCGCCCTCAAATGACAGGAAATGGCCTGAAACGTGCTCACAATGCATTTTCAACAGTTCCAGACAAGTACAACACTTGCAAACACTGACTTTGGCCATTTTTCCGCTCCCATTCATTTTCAATGGGAAATTTTCATTTCGCCATAACTTTTGATAGGAATGTCCGATCGCTGGTTCATTAGTATTTCTAGATTCAGCATACCCGAAAATAGGGGGGTAGACCAAATCTCAGCCCGGTTCATCATTGGGAAAGGCAATGAACCGGCATGTCAAAAGTGGCACATATCCCTATATCCTGCCCCAAAGCTCCGACCCCCGAAAACTTCACCCAGAATCAGGTTCTATGGACTCCCCGTGGCCTGAAACGTGCTCCTAACACAATTCTGGAAGGTGAAAAATTGGGTCCGCACTTAGGAAAATCTTCAGATTTTGGGAAAATCTTCACATTTTCCTAACCCTAACCCTAACCCTAGCTCCAACCCTAACCCTAACCCTAGCTCCAACCCTAACCCTAACCCTAGCTCCAACCCTAACCCTAACCCCTTGCCCAAAGTCTCACCCTAACCCTAACCGTCGGACATGTGCAGCGCCACCTCTGGTCAAAAGCGGTATGACACCCCTTTTTGCAAAGTCGCCCTCAAATGACAGGAAATGGCCTGAAACGTGCTCACAATGCATTTTCAACAGTTCCAGACAAGTACAACACTTGCAAACACTGACTTTGGCCATTTTTCCGCTCCCATTCATTTTCAATGGGAAATTTTCATTTCGCCATAACTTTTGATAGGAATGTCCGATCGCTGGTTCATTAGTATTTCTAGATTCAGCATACCCGAAAATAGGGGGGTAGACCAAATCTCAGCCCGGTTCATCATTGGGAAAGGCAATGAACCGGCATGTCAAAAGTGGCACATATCCCTATATCCTGCCCCAAAGCTCCAACCCCCGAAAACTTCACCCAGAATCAGGTTCTATGGACTCCCCGTGGCCTGAAACGTGCTCCTAACACAATTCTGGAAGGTGAAAAATTGGGTCCGCACTTAGGAAAATCTTCAGATTTTGGGAAAATCTTCACATTTTCCTAACCCTAACCCTAACCCTAGCTCCAACCCTAACCCTAACCCTAGCTCCAACCCTAACCCTAACCCTAGCTCCAACCCTAACCCTAACCCCTTGCCCAAAGTCTCACCCTAACCCTAACCGTCGGACATGTGCAGCGCCACCTCTGGTCAAAAGCGGTATGACACCCCTTTTTGCAAAGTCGCCCTCAAATGACAGGAAATGGCCTGAAACGTGCTCACAATGCATTTTCAACAGTTCCAGACAAGTACAACACTTGCAAACACTGACTTTGGCCATTTTCCGCTCCCATTCATTTTCAATGGGAAATTTTCACTTCGCCATAACTTTTGATAGGAATGTCCGATCGCTGGTTCATTACTATTTCTAGATTCAGCATACCCGAAAATGGGGGGGTAGACCAAATCTCAGCCCGGTTCATCCATGGGAAAGGCAATGAACCGCCATGTCAAAAGTGGCACATATCCCTATATCCTAACCCTAACCCTAACCCTAACCCTAACCCCTAACCCTAACCCTAACCCTAACCCTAACCCTAACCCTAACCCTAACCCTAACCCTAACCCTAACCCTAACCCTAACCCTAACCCTAACCCTAACCCTAACCCTAACCCTAACCCTAACCCTAACCCTAACCCTAACCCTAACCCTAACCCTAACCCTAACCCTAACCCTAACCCTAACCCCTAACCCTAACCCTAACCCTAACCCTAACCCCTAACCCTAACCCTAACCCTAACCCTAACCCTAACCCTAACCCTAACCCCAACCCTAACCCTACCCCTAACCCTAACCCTAACCCTAACCCTAACCCTAACCCTAACCCTAACCCTAACCCTAACCCTAACCCTAACCCTAACCCTAACCCTAACCCTAACCCTAACCCTAACCCTAACCCTAACCCTAACCCTAACCCTAACCCTAACCCTAACCCTAACCTAACCCTAACCCTAACCCTAACCCTAACCCTAACCCTAACCCTAACCCTAACCCTAACCCTAACCCTAACCCTAACCCCCTAACCCTAACCCTAACCCTAACCCTAACCCTAACCCCTAACCCTAACCCTAACCCTAACCCTAACCCTAACCCTAACCCCGGGGATCAAATCTAACCCTAACCCTATCCCTAACCCTAACCCTAACCCTCGGGGATCAAATCTAACCCTAACCCTATCCCTAACCCTAACCCTAACCCTCGGGGATCAAATCTAACCCTAACCCTATCCCTAACCCTAACCCTAACCCTCGGGGATCAAATCTAACCCTAACCCTGGCCCTAACCCTGACCTCTCTAACCCTAGCTCTGACCCCTAACCCTAACCTTTAAAAACTAATAATTTATTTTAATTAATTCTTTTTAATCCATTAGACATTAAAACCATAAATATTACAAAGAGATATCTCATCTAAAATTTAAAAAGGGAATTAGGGGATAACATAATTACATCTCTCTTTAAAAATTCAAATTCATTACGATTCTAATTGGCAAACGTTAAAATTGGGCATTACAATTACAATTCATTAATTAAATAAGTTAAAAAAGCATAAAAAATTCTAATTGGGCATTACAATTATAATTCATTAAAGTTAATCTGTTAAAAGAGGGTAAAAAAATCCAATTGGCCATTAACATTCATGTCATCTAATTTCAGTTGGCATTTATGGGGTTAACTGCACCCAGACGGCCGGAGGCCCCCCGTCTGGCTCTGCTCTTTCCCACGCCCCTATAAAAAACTCACGCACACAGAGTTCAGCCTCCCACTTCTCATATGTCTCTTGAAGAGAAAGCATCTCACCAGCAGACTCAAACAAGCCCAGACAAGCCCAGACAAGCCCAGACATATTTTATTTCGTGCCCATAGCCTGAAGAAGACCCACAGCGGTCGAAACGTCGCGACTGGGCACTTATTATTCATTTTGATACACATTTTATTCAGTTTTCTCACTTTTATTTCATTTTATTTCATTTTTATTTCACAAAAAACAAAAAAACGCACAAAAAAAAAAAAAAAAAAAAAAAAAAAAATAAAGAACAGTTCATTTGATACAGTTTTTGTTTAAAAACATCGATAGATAGACCAATAAATAAATAAATAGTCTCATAAATACACCACATTAATAAATAACAATAAATAATTAAAAAGGTTAAAACAACAATCATGACCTACGACCAAGAACAATGGACTGAAGTGCGATACGGGAGAAGGCGTGGTCAACGCCCGTATCGCACTAATAATCAGCAGTATCAAACGGGGTCGTGGGGGACGGGGAACAGGGGGATGGACCGTGCACCTACTGTCTCCTATTCTAGGAGACAGTCCCCCTTTATCCATAAACCTAACCGGCCTGTGCCTCCCCCACGGTTCTCTGCTCCCTCACGTCCCCGCAGACCTGGACCTCCTCCTGATTATCAACCCAAATTTTGGGGACCTCAATCAGGGTCCTATGCATCTGTGCTACACCAGGGAAACCCCACCCGTAACCAGGGGGGATTTCCTCAAAGACGCCCTTATTACCACCAAAAAAACACACAGCAGAGCAGATCCCTGCCTGATCCAAGTACTCATCAAGCACCAGTACATGACCCCCAATTCGGACAACTGGTCAAAAAATTACACACTGTCATTAAAATGGTACACCACCTACAAAATGTGACCCCAGGACCTGAAAAACAGGATCCAAAAATGATAGCACGTATGGTGGATAATTTGGCAACCATGATCAAACCAGCAAATCCAACAACCTACACGCTGGATTTGATCATTGCAAATGCAAAAAACTGGGGCCACACTACACTGCTCATTCTCCAGGACCACTACACCGCTGAGCTGGAGAAAATAAAGGCAGATCTTTCAAAAGAGCCACCTCAAGAGTGGAAGAGCGCCTTCACTGTGGCCACGAGATGGGCTAAAAGAACCTGCCTCGTATAAAGCAGGAGGTTATTGACCACGCGGAGGCTCTGATAGCCTCTTGTGTGAAGCCTGATGCAGCACAGGACAGACAGGCAGCCCCTTCTGAGCCTGCTGCTGCACAGGAAAAACCACAAAATGATGGTCCACAAATTGTGGACAAACCTGTAAACATAAAGCAGACACCACAACAAAACACACAGTCAGCACAAGCACAACAACAACAACAAAACAAAACACCACCACAACAACAACAACAAAAAACACCACAACAAACCAAAACACCTCAGACTCCACTCCACACACCACACACAGAACCACAACATAACAAACAAGAGGAGAAACAAACACCTACAAACAATACAAAACAGTACTCACACATAGGGGAAAACCAAGACACGGAGCTGGAGACAACTCCTGTTCTGTCTCCACAACAGAACTTCATGTCTAAGCTGGACAGGGAGTTTCTGGACTCTTTGGAGGGAAAGTCTCCCTCTCCCCCAAAACCTATAACATACAAAACAAAAAGACACATTAACACAGACAAGAATGTGGAGACTGGAGCTTGGCCACACGTCGACTCTCTGAAAGGAGACGGGTTTCTGTCAGGGGTGGACCACATGCACTGGACGGGAACAACAGCTAAATACATCTACGTGTGATTAGGGGCTCCAATGCCTAACCCTGACCCCTAATCACTAACCACCAACCCCTAATCACTAACCCCTGACCCCTAACCACTAACCCCTAGCCCTAAACTAACGCCTAACCAGAATCCTAACCCTAACCCTAACCCTCGGGGATTAAATCTAACCCTAACCCTATCCCTAACCCTAACCCTAACCCTCGGGGATCAAATCTAACCCTAACCCTATCCCTAACCCTAACCCTAACCCTCGGGGATCAAATCTAACCCTAACCCTATCCCTAACCCTAACCCTAACCCTCGGGGATCAAATCTAACCCTAACCCTAACCCTAACCCTGACCTCTCTAACCCTAGCTCTGACCCCTAACCCTAACCTTTAAAAACTAATAATTTATTTTAATTAATTCTTTTTAATCATTAGACATTAAAACCATAAATATTACAAAGAGATATCTCATCTAAAATTTAAAAAGGGAATTAGGGGATAACATAATTACATCTCTCTTTAAAAATTCAAATTCATTACGATTCTAATTGGCAAACGTTAAAATTGGGCATTACAATTACAATTCATTAATTAAATAAGTTAAAAAGAGCATAAAAAATTCTAATTGGGCATTACAATTATAATTCATTAAAGTTAATCTGTTAAAAGAGGGTAAAAAAATCCAATTGGCCATTAACATTCATGTCATCTAATTTCAGTTGGCATTTATGGGGTTAACTGCACCCAGACGGCCGGAGGCCCCCGTCTGGCTCTGCTCTTTCCCACGCCCCTATAAAAAACTCACGCACACAGAGTTCAGCCTCCCACTTCTCATATGTCTCTTGAAGAGAAAGCATCTCACCAGCAGACTCAAACAAGCCCAGACAAGCCCAGACAAGCCCAGACATATTTTATTTCGTGCCCATAGCCTGAAGAAGACCCACAGCGGTCGAAACGTCGCGACTGGGCACTTATTATTCATTTTGATACACATTTTATTCAGTTTTCTCACTTTTATTTCATTTTATTTCATTTTTATTTCACAAAAAACAAAAAAACGCATAAAAAAATAAAGAACAGTTCATTTGATACAGTTTTTGTTTAAAAACATCGATAGATAGACCAATAAATAAATAAATAGTCTCATAAATACACCACATTAATAAATAACAATAAATAATTAAAAAGGTTAAAACAACAATCATGACCTACGACCAAGAACAATGGACTGAAGTGCGATACGGGAGAAGGCGTGGTCAACGCCCGTATCGCACTAATAATCAGCAGTATCAAACGGGGTCGTGGGGGACGGGGAACAGGGGGATGGACCGTGCACCTCCTGTCTCCTATTCTAGGAGACAGTCCCCCTTTATCCATAAACCTAACCGGCCTGTGCCTCCCCCACGGTTCTCTGCTCCCTCACGTCCCCGCAGACCTGGACCTCCTGATTATCAACCCAAATTTTGGGGACCTCAATCAGGGTCCTATGCATCTGTGCTACACCAGGGAAACCCCACCCGTAACCAGGGGGATTTCCTCAAAGACGCCCTTATTACCACCAAAAAAACACACAGCAGAGCAGATCCCTGCCTGATCCAAGTACTCATCAAGCACCAGTACATGACCCCCAATTCGGACAACTGGTCAAAAATTACACACTGTCATTAAAATGGTACACCACCTACAAAATGTGACCCCAGGACCTGAAAAACAGGATCCAAAAATGATAGCACGTATGGTGGATAATTTGGCAACCATGATCAAACCAGCAAATCCAACAACCTACACGCTGGATTTGATCATGGCAAATGCAAAAAACTGGGGCCACACTACACTGCTCATTCTCCAGGACCACTACACCGCTGAGCTGGAGAAAATACAGGCAGATCTTTCAAAAGAGCCACCTCAAGAGTGGAAGAGCGCCTTCACTGTGGCCACGAGATGGGCTAAAAGAACCTGCCTCGCATAAAGCAGGAGGTTATTGACCACGCGGAGGCTCTGATAGCCTCTTGTGTGAAGCCTGATGCAGCACAGGACAGACAGGCAGCCCCTTCTGAGCCTGCTGCTGCACAGGAAAAACACAAAATGATGGTCCACAAATTGTGGACAAACCTGTAAACATAAAGCAGACACCACAACAAAACACACAGTCAGCACAAGCACAACAACAACAACAAAACAAAACACCACCACAACAACAACAACAAAAAACACCACAACAAACCAAAACACCTCAGACTCCACTCCACACACCACACACAGAACCACAACATAACAAACAAGAGGAGAAACAAACACCTACAAACAATACAAAACAGTACTCACACATAGGGGAAAACCAAGACACGGAGCTGGAGACAACTCCTGTTCTGTCTCCACAACAGAACTTCATGTCTAAGCTGGACAGGGAGTTTCTGGACTCTTTGGAGGGAAAGTCTCCCTCTCCCCAAAACCTATAACATACAAAACAAAAAGACACATTAACACAGACAAGAATGTGGAGACTGGAGCTTGGCCACACGTCGACTCTCTGAAGGAGACAGGTTTCTGACAGAAGTGGACCACACACTGGACAAGAACAACAGCTAAATACATCTACGTGTGATTAGGGGCTCCAATGCCTAACCCTGACCCCTAATCACTAACCACCAACCCCTAATCACTAACCCCTGACCCCTAACCACTAACCCCTAGCCCTAAACTAACGCCTAACCAGAATCCTAACCCTAACCCTAACCCTCGGGGATCAAATCTAACCCTAACCCTATCCCTAACCCTAACCCTAACCCTCGGGGATCAAATCTAACCCTAACCCTATCCCTAACCCTAACCCTAACCCTCGGGGATCAAATCTAACCCTAACCCTATCCCTAACCCTAACCCTAACCCTCGGGGATCAAATCTAACCCTAACCCTGGCCCTAACCCTGACCTCTCTAACCCTAGCTCTGACCCCTAACCCTAACCTTTAAAAACTAATAATTTATTTTAATTAATTCTTTTTAATCCATTAGACATTAAAACCATAAATATTACAAAGAGATATCTCATCTAAAATTTAAAAAGGGAATTAGGGGATAACATAATTACATCTCTCTTTAAAAATTCAAATTCATTACGATTCTAATTGGCAAACGTTAAAATTGGGCATTACAATTACAATTCATTAAGTTAAATAAGTTAAAAAGAGCATAAAAATTCTAATTGGGCATTACAATTATAATTCATTAAAATTAATCTGTTAAAAGAGGGTAAAAAAATTCTAATTGGCCATTAACATTCATGTCATCTAATTTCAGTTGGCATTTATGGGGTTAACTGCACCCAGACGGCCGGAGGCCCCCCGTCTGGCTCTGCTCTTTCCCACGCCCCTATAAAAAACTCACGCACACAGAGTTCAGCCTCCCACTTCTCATATGTCTCTTGAAGAGAAAGCATCTCACCAGCAGACTCAAACAAGCCCAGACAAGCCCAGACAAGCCCAGACATATTTTATTTCGTGCCCATAGCCTGAAGAAGACCCACAGCGGTCGAAACGTCGCGACTGGGCACTTATTATTCATTTTGATACACATTTTATTCAGTTTTCTCACTTTTATTTCATTTTATTTCATTTTTATTTCACAAAAAACAAAAAAACGCACAAAAAAAAAAAAAAAAAAAAAAAAAAAAAAAAAAAAAAAAAAAAAAAAAAATAAAGAACAGTTCATTTGATACAGTTTTTGTTTAAAAACATCGATAGATAGACCAATAAATAAATAAATAGTCTCATAAATACACCACATTAATAAATAACAATAAATAATTAAAAAGGTTAAAACAACAATCATGACCTACGACCAAGAACAATGGACTGAAGTGCGATACGGGAGAAGGCGTGGTCAACGCCCGTATCGCACTAATAATCAGCAGTATCAAACGGGGTCGTGGGGGACGGGGAACAGGGGGATGGACCGTGCACCTCCTGTCTCCTATTCTAGGAGACAGTCCCCCTTTATCCATAAACCTAACCGGCCTGTGCCTCCCCCACGGTTCTCTGCTCCCTCACGTCCCCGCAGACCTGGACCTCCTCCTGATTATCAACCCAAATTTTGGGGACCTCAATCAGGGTCCTATGCATCTGTGCTACACCAGGGAAACCCCACCCGTAACCAGGGGGATTTCCTCAAAGACGCCCTTATTACCACCAAAAAAACACACAGCAGAGCAGATCCCTGCCTGATCCAAGTACTCATCAAGCACCAGTACATGACCCCAATTGGACAACTGGTCAAAAATTACACACTGTCATTAAAATGGTACACCACCTACAAAATGTGACCCCAGGACCTGAAAAACAGGATCCAAAAATGATAGCACGTATGGTGGATAATTTGGCAACCATGATCAAACCAGCAAATCCAACAACCTACACGCTGGATTTGATCATGGCAAATGCAAAAAACTGGGGCCACACTACACTGCTCATTCTCCAGGACCACTACACCGCTGAGCTGGAGAAAATACAGGCAGATCTTTCAAAAGAGCCACCTCAAGAGTGGAAGAGCGCCTTCACTGTGGCCACGAGATGGGCTAAAAGAACCTGCCTCGCATAAAGCAGGAGGTTATTGACCACGCGGAGGCTCTGATAGCCTCTTGTGTGAAGCCTGATGCAGCACAGGACAGACAGGCAGCCCCTTCTGAGCCTGCTGCTGCACAGGAAAAACACAAAATGATGGTCCACAAATTGTGGACAAACCTGTAAACATAAAGCAGACACCACAACAAAACACACAGTCAGCACAAGCACAACAACAACAACAAAACAAAACACCACCACAACAACAACAACAAAAAACACCACAACAAACCAAAACACCTCAGACTCCACTCCACACACCACACACAGAACCACAACATAACAAACAAGAGGAGAAACAAACACCTACAAACAATACAAAACAGTACTCACACATAGGGGAAAACCAAGACACGGAGCTGGAGACAACTCCTGTTCTGTCTCCACAACAGAACTTCATGTCTAAGCTGGACAGGGAGTTTCTGGACTCTTTGGAGGGAAAGTCTCCCTCTCCCCCAAAACCTATAACATACAAAACAAAAAGACACATTAACACAGACAAGAATGTGGAGACTGGAGCTTGGCCACACGTCGACTCTCTGAAAGGAGACAGGTTTCTGACAGAAGTGGACCACACATTGGACAAGAACAACAGCTAAATACATCTACGTGTGATTAGGGGCTCCAATGCCTAACCCTGACCCCTAATCACTAACCACCAACCCCTAATCACTAGCCCCTGACCCCTAACCACTGACCCCTAGCCCTAAACTAACGCCTAACCAGAATCCTAACCCTAACCCTAACCCTCGGGGATCAAATCTAACCCTAACCCTATCCCTAACCCTAACCCTAACCCTCGGGGATCAAATCTAACCCTAACCCTATCCCTAACCCTAACCCTAACCCTCGGGGATCAAATCTAACCCTAACCCTATCCCTAACCCTAACCCTAACCCTCGGGGATCAAATCTAACCCTAACCCTGGCCCTAACCCTGACCTCTCTAACCCTAGCTCTGACCCCTAACCCTAACCTTTAAAAACTAATAATTTATTTTAATTAATTCTTTTTAATCCATTAGACATTAAAACCATAAATATTACAAAGAGATATCTCATCTAAAATTTAAAAAGGGAATTAGGGGATAACATAATTACATCTCTCTTTAAAAATTCAAATTCATTACGATTCTAATTGGCAAACGTTAAAATTGGGCATTACAATTACAATTCATTAAGTTAAATAAGTTCAAAAAGAGATAAAAGATAAAATTCTAATTGGCATTACAATTATAATTCATTAAATTAATCTGTTAAAAGAGGGTAAAAAAATTCAATTGGCCATTAACATTCATGTCATCTAATTTCAGTTGGCATTTATGGGGTTAACTGCACCCAGACGGCCGGAGGCCCCCCGTCTGGCTCTGCTCTTTCCCACGCCCCTATAAAAAACTCACGCACACAGAGTTCAGCCTCCCACTTCTCATATGTCTCTTGAAGAGAAAGCATCTCACCAGCAGACTCAAACAAGCCCAGACAAGCCCAGACAAGCCCAGACATATTTTATTTCGTGCCCATAGCCTGAAGAAGACCCACAGCGGTCGAAACGTCGCGACTGGGCACTTATTATTCATTTTGATACACATTTTATTCAGTTTTCTCACTTTTATTTCATTTTATTTCATTTTTATTTCACAAAAAACAAAAAAACGCACAAAAAAAAAAAAAAAAAAAAAAAAAAAAAAAAAAATAAAGAACAGTTCATTTGATACAGTTTTTGTTTAAAAACATCGATAGATAGACCAATAAATAAATAAATAGTCCCATAAATACACCACATTAATAAATAACAATAAATAATTAAAAAGGTTAAAACAACAATCATGACCTACGACCAAGAACAATGGACTGAAGTGCGATACGGGAGAAGGCGTGGTCAACGCCCGTATCGCACTAATAATCAGCAGTATCAAACGGGGTCGTGGGGGACGGGGAACAGGGGGATGGACCGTGCACCTCCTGTCTCCTATTCTAGGAGACAGTCCCCCTTTATCCATAAACCTAACCGGCCTGTGCCTCCCCCACGGTTCTCTGCTCCCTCACGTCCCCGCAGACCTGGACCTCCTCCTGATTATCAACCCAAATTTTGGGGACCTCAATCAGGGTCCTATGCATCTGTGCTACACCAGGGAAACCCCACCCGTAACCAGGGGGGATTTCCTCAAAGACGCCCTTATTACCACCAAAAAAACACACAGCAGAGCAGATCCCTGCCTGATCCAAGTACTCATCAAGCACCAGTACATGACCCCAATTCGGACAACTGGTCAAAAATTACACACTGTCATTAAAATGGTACACCACCTACAAAATGTGACCCCAGGACCTGAAAAACAGGATCCAAAAATGATAGCACGTATGGTGGATAATTTGGCAGCCATGATCAAACCAGCAAATCCAACAACCTACACGCTGGATTTGATCATGGCAAATGCAAAAAACTGGGGCCACACTACACTGCTCATTCTCCAGGACCACTACACCGCTGAGCTGGAGAAAATACAGGCAGATCTTTCAAAAGAGCCACCTCAAGAGTGGAAGAGCGCCTTCACTGTGGCCACGAGATGGGCTAAAAGAACCTGCCTCGCATAAATCAGGAGGTTATTGACCACGCGGAGGCTCTGATAGCCTCTTGTGTGAAGCCTGATGCAGCACAGGACAGACAGGCAGCCCCTTCTGAGCCTGCTGCTGCACAGGAAAAACACAAAATGATGGTCCACAAATTGTGGACAAACCTGTAAACATAAAGCAGACACCACAACAAAACACACAGTCAGCACAAGCACAACAACAACAACAAAACAAAACACCACCACAACAACAACAACAAAAAACACCACAACAAACCAAAACACCTCAGACTCCACTCCACACACCACACACAGAACCACAACATAACAAACAAGAGGAGAAACAAACACCTACAAACAATACAAAACAGTACTCACACATAGGGAAAACCAAGACACGGAGCTGGAGACAACTCCTGTTCTGTCTCCACAACAGAACTTCATGTCTAAGCTGGACAGGGAGTTTCTGGACTCTTTGGAGGGAAAGTCTCCCTCTCCCCAAAACCTATAACATACAAAACAAAAAGACACATTAACACAGACAAGAATGTGGCATACTGGAGCTTGGCCACACGTCGACTCTCTGAAAGGAGACGGGTTTCTGTCAGGGGTGGACCACACATGCACTGGACGGGAACAACAGCTAAATACATCTACGTGTGATTAGGGGCTCCAATGCCTAACCCTGACCCCTAATCACTAACCACCAACCCCTAATCACTAGCCCCTGACCCCTAACCACTGACCCCTAGCCCTAAACTAACGCCTAACCAGAATCCTAACCCTAACCCTAACCCTCGGGGATCAAATCTAACCCTAACCCTATCCCTAACCCTAACCCTAACCCTCGGGGATTAAATCTAACCCTAACCCTATCCCTAACCCTAACCCTAACCCTCGGGGATCAAATCTAACCCTAACCCTATCCCTAACCCTAACCCTAACCCTCGGGGATCAAATCTAACCCTAACCCGCCCTAACCCTAACCTCTCTAACCCTAGCCCTGACCCCTAACCCTAACCTTTAAAAACTAATAATTTATTTTAATTAATTCTTTTTAATCCATTAGACATTAAAACCATAAATATTACAAAGAGATATCTCATCTAAAATTTAAAAAGGGAATTAGGGGATAACATAATTACATCTCTCTTTAAAAATTCAAATTCATTACATTCTAATTGGCAAACGTTAAAATTGGGCATTACAATTACAATTCATTAATTAAATAAGTTAAAAAGAGCATAAAAATTCTAATTGGGCATTACAATTATAATTCATCAAAATTAATCAGCTAAAAGAGGGTAAAAAAATTCTAATTGGCCATTAACATTCATGTCATTAAATTTCAGTTGGCATTTATGGGGTTAACTGCACCCAGACGGCCGGAGGCCCCCGTCTGGCTCTGCTCTTTCCCACGCCCCTATAAAAAACTCACGCACACAGAGTTCAGCCTCCCACTTCTCATATGTCTCTTGAAGAGAAAGCATCTCACCAACAGACTCAAACAAGCCCAGACAAGCCCAGACAAGCCCAGACATATTTTATTTTGTGCCCATAGCCTGAAGAAGACCCACAGCGGTCGAAACGTCGCGACTGGGCACTTATTCTTCATTTTGATACACATTTTATTTAGTTTTCTCACTTTTATTTCATTTTATTTCATTTTTATTTCACAAAAAAAAAAAAAAAAAAGCAAAAAAAAATAAATAACAATTCATTTGATACAGGTTTTGTTTAAAAAGATCGATAGATAGACCAATAAATAAATAAATAGTCTCATAAATACACCACATTAATAAATAACAATAAATAATTAAAAAGGTTAAAACAACAATCATGACCTACGACCAAGAACAATGGACTGAAGTGCGATACGGGAGAAGGCGTGGTCAACGCCCGTATCGCACTAATCAGCAGTATCAAACGGGGTCGTGGGGGACGGGGAACAGGGGGATGGACCGTGCACCTACTGTCTCCTATTCTAGGAGACAGTCCCCCTTTATCCATAAACCTAACCGGCCTGTGCCTCCCCCACGGTTCTCTGCTCCCTCACGTCCCCGCAGACCTGGACCTCCTCCTGATTATCAACCCAAATTTTGGGGACCTCAATCAGGGTCCTATGCATCTGTGCTACACCAGGGAAACCCCACCCGTAACCAGGGGGGATTTCCTCAAAGACGCCCTTATTACCACCAAAAAAACACACAGCAGAGCAGATCCCTGCCTGATCCAAGTACTCATCAAGCACCAGTACATGACCCACAATTTGGACAAAGGGTCAGAAAATTACACACTGTCATTAAAATGGTACACCACCTACAAAATGTGACCCCAGGACCTGAAAAACAGGATCCAAAAATGATAGCACGTATGGTGGATAATTTGGCAGCCATGATCAAACCAGCAAATCCAACAACCTACACGCTGGATTTGATCATGGCAAATGCAAAAAACTGGGGCCACACTACACTACTCATTCTCCAGGACCACTACACCGCTGAGCTGGAGAAAATAAAGGCAGATCTTTCAAAAGAGCCACCTCAAGAGTGGAAGAGCGCCTTCACTGTGGCCACAAGATGGGCTCGAAAGAACTTGCCTCGCATAAATCAGGAGGTTATTGACCACGCGGAGGCTCTGATAGCCTCTTGTGTGAAGCCTGATGCAGCACAGGACAGACAGGCAGCCCCTTCTGAGCCTGTTGCTGCACAGGAAAAACACAAAATGATGGTCCACAAATTGTGGACAAACCTGTAAACATAAAGCAGACACCACAACAAAACACACAGTCAGCACAAGCACAACAACAACAACAAAACAAAACACCACCACAACAACAACAACAAAAAACACCACAACAAACCAAAACACCTCAGACTCCACTCCACACACCACACACAGAACCACAACATAACAAACAAGAGGAGAAACAAACACCTACAAACAATACAAAACAGTACTCACACATAGGGGAAAACCAAGACACGGAGCTGGAGACAACTCCTGTTCTGTCTCCACAACAGAACTTCATGTCTAAGCTGGACAGGGAGTTTCTGGACTCTTTGGAGGGAAAGTCTCCCTCTCCCCCAAAACCTATAACATACAAAACAAAAAGACACATTAACACAGACAAGAATGTGGCATACTGGAGCTTGGCCACACGTCGACTCTCTGAAAGGAGACGGGTTTCTGACAGAAGTGGACCACATGCACTGGACGGGAACAACAGCTAAATACATCTACGTGTGATTAGGGGCTCCAATGCCTAACCCTGACCCCTAATCACTAACCACCAACCCCTAATCACTAGCCCCTGACCCCTAACCACTGACCCCTAGCCCTAAACTAACGCCTAACCAGAATCTTAACCCTAACCCTAACCCTCGGGGATTAAATCTAACCCTAACCCTATCCCTAACCCTAACCCTAACCCTCGGGGATCAAATCTAACCCTAACCCTATCCCTAACCCTAACCCTAACCCTCGGGATCAAATCTAACCCTAACCCTATCCCTAACCCTAACCCTAACCCTCGGGATCAAATCTACCCTAACCCTGGCCCTAAACCTCTCTAACCCTAGCCTGACCCCTAACCCTAACCTTTAAAAACTAATAATTTATTTTATTAATTCTTTTTAATCATTGACATTAAAACCATAAATATTACAAAGGATATCTCATCTAAAATTTAAAAAGGGAATTAGGGGATAACATAATTACATCTCTCTTTAAAAATTCAAATTCATTACATTCTAATTGGCAAACGTTAAAATTGGGCATTACAATTACAATTCATTAAGTTAAATAGGTCAAAAACAAGATAAATATTTCTAATTGGACATTACAATTATAATTCATCAAAATTAATCAGCTAAAAGAGGGTAAAAAAATTCTAATTGGCCATTAACATTCATGTCATTAAATTTCAGTTGGCATTTATGGGGTTAACTGCACCCAGACGGCCGGAGGCCCCCGTCTGGCTCTGCTCTTTCCCACGCCCCTATAAAAAACTCACGCACACAGAGTTCAGCCTCCCACTTCTCATATGTCTCTTGAAGAGAAAGCATCTCACCAACAGACTCAAACAAGCCCAGACAAGCCCAGACAAGCCCAGACATATTTTATTTTGTGCCCATAGCCTGAAGAAGACCCACAGCGGTCGAAACGTCGCGACTGGGCACTTATTCTTCATTTTGATACACATTTTATTTAGTTTTCTCACTTTTATTTCATTTTATTTCATTTTTATTTCACAAAAAACAAAAAAAAGCATAAAAAAATAAATAACAATTCATTTGATACAGGTTTTGTTTAAAAAGATCGATAGATAGACCAATAAATAAATAAATAGTCTCATAAATACACCACATTAATAAATAACAATAAATAATTAAAAAGGTTAAAACAACAATCATGACCTACGACCAAGAACAATGGACTGAAGTGCGATACGGGAGAAGGCGTGGTCAACGCCCGTATCGCACTAATCAGCAGTATCAAACGGGGTCGTGGGGGACGGGGAACAGGGGGATGGACCGTGCACCTACTGTCTCCTATTCTAGGAGACAGTCCCCCTTTATCCATAAACCTAACCGGCCTGTGCCTCCCCCACGGTTCTCTGCTCCCTCACGTCCCCGCAGACCTGGACCTCCTCCTGATTATCAACCCAAATTTTGGGGACCTCAATCAGGGTCCTATGCATCTGTGCTACACCAGGGAAACCCCACCCGTAACCAGGGGGATTTCCTCAAAGACGCCCTTATTACCACCAAAAAAACACACAGCAGAGCAGATCCCTGCCTGATCCAAGTACTCATCAAGCACCAGTACATGACCCACAATTTGGACAAAGGGTCAGAAAATTACACACTGTCATTAAAATGGTACACCACCTACAAAATGTGACCCCAGGACCTGAAAAACAGGATCCAAAAATGATAGCACGTATGGTGGATAATTTGGCAGCCATGATCAAACCAGCAAATCCAACAACCTACACGCTGGATTTGATCATGGCAAATGCAAAAAACTGGGGCCACACTACACTACTCATTCTCCAGGACCACTACACCGCTGAGCTGGAGAAAATAAAGGCAGATCTTTCAAAAGAGCCACCTCAAGAGTGGAAGAGCGCCTTCACTGTGGCCACAAGATGGGCTCGAAAGAACTTGCCTCGCATAAATCAGGAGGTTATTGACCACGCGGAGGCTCTGATAGCCTCTTGTGTGAAGCCTGATGCAGCACAGGACAGACAGGCAGCCCCTTCTGAGCCTGTTGCTGCACAGGAAAAACAGCAAAATGATGGTCCACAAATTGTGGACAAACCTGTAAACATAAAGCAGACACCACAACAAAACACACAGTCAGCACAAGCACAACAACAACAACAAAACAAAACACCACCACAACAACAACAACAAAAAACACCACAACAAACCAAAACACCTCAGACTCCACTCCACACACCACACACAGAACCACAACATAACAAACAAGAGGAGAAACAAACACCTACAAACAATACAAAACAGTACTCACACATAGGGAAAAACCAAGACACGGAGCTGGAGACAACTCCTGTTCTGTCTCCACAACAGAACTTCATGTCTAAGCTGGACAGGGAGTTTCTGGACTCTTTGGAGGGAAAGTCTCCCTCTCCCCCAAAACCTATAACATACAAAACAAAAAGACACATTAACACAGACAAGAATGTGGCATACTGGAGCTTGGCCACACGTCGACTCTCTGAAAGGAGACGGGTTTCTGTCGGGGTGGACCACATGCACTGGACGGGAACAACAGCTAAATACATCTACGTGTGATTAGGGGCTCCAATGCCTAACCCTGACCCCTAATCACTAACCACCAACCCCTAATCACTAGCCCCTGACCCCTAACCACTGACCCCTAGCCCTAAACTAACGCCTAACCAGAATCTTAACCCTAACCCTAACCCTCGGGGATTAAATCTAACCCTAACCCTATCCCTAACCCTAACCCTAACCCTCGGGGATCAAATCTAACCCTAACCCTATCCCTAACCCTAACCCTAACCCTCGGGATCAAATCTAACCCTAACCCTTGCCCTAACCCTAACCCTAACCCTCGGGATCAGCCCTAACCCTAACCCTGCCCTAACCCTAACCCTGCCTCTCTGGCCCTAGCCCTGACCCCTAACCCTAACCTTTAAACTAATCATTTATTTTAAAATTAATTTGTTTCATACTAAAATAGAGATTTACATTAAAACCATAAATATTACAAATATATATCTCATCAAAATTTAAAAAGGGAATTAGGGGCTAACATAATTACATCTATCTTTAAAAATTCAAATTCATTACAAATTCTAATTGGCAAAGTTAAAATTGGGCATTAAATTACAATTCATTAATTAAATAGTAAAAAAAGATAAAATTCTAATTGGCATTACAATTATAATTCATAAAATTAATCAGTAAAAGAGGGTAAAAAAATTCTAATTGGCCATTTAACATTCATGTCATTAAATTTCAGTTGGCATTTATGGGGTTAACTGCACCCAGACGGCCGGAGGCCCCCGTCTGGCTCTGCTCTTTCCCACGCCCCTATAAAAAACTCACGCACACAGAGTTCAGCCTCCCACTTCTCATATGTCTCTTGAAGAGAAAGCATCTCACCAACAGACTCAAACAAGCCCAGACAAGCCCAGACAAGCCCAGACATATTTTATTTTGTGCCCATAGCCTGAAGAAGACCCACAGCGGTCGAAACGTCGCGACTGGGCACTTATTCTTCATTTTGATACACATTTTATTTAGTTTTCTCACTTTTATTTCATTTTATTTCATTTTTATTTCACAAAAAACAAAAAAAAGCATAAAAAAATAAATAACAATTCATTTGATACAGGTTTTGTTTAAAAAGATCGATAGATAGACCAATAAATAAATAAATAGTCTCATAAATACACCACATTAATAAATAACAATAAATAATTAAAAAGGTTAAAACAACAATCATGACCTACGACCAAGAACAATGGACTGAAGTGCGATACGGGAGAAGGCGTGGTCAACGCCCGTATCGCACTAATCAGCAGTATCAAACGGGGTCGTGGGGGACGGGGAACAGGGGGATGGACCGTGCACCTACTGTCTCCTATTCTAGGAGACAGTCCCCCTTTATCCATAAACCTAACCGGCCTGTGCCTCCCCCACGGTTCTCTGCTCCCTCACGTCCCCGCAGACCTGGACCTCCTCCTGATTATCAACCCAAATTTTGGGGACCTCAATCAGGGTCCTATGCATCTGTGCTACACCAGGGAAACCCCACCCGTAACCAGGGGGATTTCCTCAAAGACGCCCTTATTACCACCAAAAAAACACACAGCAGAGCAGATCCCTGCCGGATCCAAGTACTCATCAAGCACCAGTACATGACCCACAATTTGGACAAAGGGTCAGAAAATTACACACTGTCATTAAAATGGTACACCACCTACAAAATGTGACCCCAGGACCTGAAAAACAGGATCCAAAAATGATAGCACGTATGGTGGATAATTTGGCAGCCATGATCAAACCAGCAAATCCAACAACCTACACGCTGGATTTGATCATGGCAAATGCAAAAAACTGGGGCCACACTACACTACTCATTCTCCAGGACCACTACACCGCTGAGCTGGAGAAAATAAAGGCAGATCTTTCAAAAGAGCCACCTCAAGAGTGGAAGAGCGCCTTCACTGTGGCCACAAGATGGGCTCGAAAGAACTTGCCTCGCATAAATCAGGAGGTTATTGACCACGCGGAGGCTCTGATAGCCTCTTGTGTGAAGCCTGATGCAGCACAGGACAGACAGGCAGCCCCTTCTGAGCCTGTTGCTGCACAGGAAAAACAGCAAAATGATGGTCCACAAATTGTGGACAAACCTGTAAACATAAAGCAGACACCACAACAAAACACACAGTCAGCACAAGCACAACAACAACAACAAAACAAAACACCACCACAACAACAACAACAAAAAACACCACAACAAACCAAAACACCTCAGACTCCACTCCACACACCACACACAGAACCACAACATAACAAACAAGAGGAGAAACAAACACCTACAAACAATACAAAACAGTACTCACACATAGGGAAAAACCAAGACACGGAGCTGGAGACAACTCCTGTTCTGTCTCCACAACAGAACTTCATGTCTAAGCTGGACAGGGAGTTTCTGGACTCTTTGGAGGGAAAGTCTCCCTCTCCCCCAAAACCTGTAACATACAAAACAAAAAGACACATTAACACAGACAAGAATGTGGCATACTGGAGCTTGGCCACACGTCGACTCTCTGAAAGGAGACGGGTTTCTGTCGGGGGTGGACCACATGCACTGGACGGGAACAACAGCTAAATACATCTACGTGTGATTAGGGGCTCCAATGCCTAACCCTGACCCCTAATCACTAACCACCAACCCCTAATCACTAGCCCCTGACCCCTAACCACTGACCCCTAGCCCTAAACTAACGCCTAACCAGAATCTTAACCCTAACCCTAACCCTCGGGGATTAAATCTAACCCTAACCCTATCCCTAACCCTAACCCTAACCCTCGGGGATTAAATCTAACCCTAACCCTATCCCTAACCCTAACCCTAACCCTCGGGATCAAATCTAACCCTAACCCTTGCCCTAACCCTAACCCTAACCTCGGGATCTAGCCCTAGCCCTAACCCTAGCCCTAACCCTAACCCTGGCCTCTCTGGCCCTAGCCCTGACCCCTAACCCTAACCTTTAAAGGCTAATCATTTATTATAACTAATTCTTTTTGATTCATTATTAATTATTGGATTTCATAAGGGGCTAAAAATAGGGATGATTTCACATTAAAACCATAAATATTACAAATATATATCTCATCCAAAATTTAAAAAGGGAATTAGGGGCTAACATAATTACATCTATCTTAAAAAATTCAAATTCATTACAAATTCTAATTGGCAAAAGTTAAAATTGGGCATTAAAATTACAATTTATTATATTAAATAGGTCAAAAACAAGATAAATATTTCTAATTGGACATTACAATTATAATTCATCAAAATTAATCAGCTAAAAGAGGGTAAAAAAATTCTAATTGGCCATTAACATTCATGTCATTAAATTTCAGTTGGCATTTATGGGGTTAACTGCACCCAGACGGCCGGAGGCCCCCGTCTGGCTCTGCTCTTTCCCACGCCCCTATAAAAAACTCACGCACACAGAGTTCAGCCTCCCACTTCTCATATGTCTCTTGAAGAGAAAGCATCTCACCAACAGACTCAAACAAGCCCAGACAAGCCCAGACAAGCCCAGACATATTTTATTTTGTGCCCATAGCCTGAAGAAGACCCACAGCGGTCGAAACGTCGCGACTGGGCACTTATTCTTCATTTTGATACACATTTTATTTAGTTTTCTCACTTTTATTTCATTTTATTTCATTTTTATTTCACAAAAAACAAAAAAAAGCATAAAAAAATAAATAACAATTCATTTGATACAGGTTTTGTTTAAAAAGATCGATAGATAGACCAATAAATAAATAAATAGTCTCATAAATACACCACATTAATAAATAACAATAAATAATTAAAAAGGTTAAAACAACAATCATGACCTACGACCAAGAACAATGGACTGAAGTGCGATACGGGAGAAGGCGTGGTAAACGCCCGTATCGCACTAATCAGCAGTATCAAACGGGGTCGTGGGGGACGGGGAACAGGGGGATGGACCGTGCACCTACTGTCTCCTATTCTAGGAGACAGTCCCCCTTTATCCATAAACCTAACCGGCCTGTGCCTCCCCCACGGTTCTCTGCTCCCTCACGTCCCCGCAGACCTGGACCTCCTCCTGATTATCAACCCAAATTTTGGGGACCTCAATCAGGGTCCTATGCATCTGTGCTACACCAGGGAAACCCCACCCGTAACCAGGGGGGATTTCCTCAAAGACGCCCTTATTACCACCAAAAAAACACACAGCAGAGCAGATCCCTGCCTGATCCAAGTACTCATCAAGCACCCGTACATGACCCCCAATTCGGACAACTGGTCAAAAAATTACACACTGTCATTAAAATGGTACACCACCTACAAAATGTGACCCCAGGACCTGAAAAACAGGATCCAAAAATGATAGCACGTATGGTGGATAATTTGGCAGCCATGATCAAACCAGCAAATCCAACAACCTACACGCTGGATTTGATCATGGCAAATGCAAAAAACTGGGGCCACACTACACTACTCATTCTCCAGGACCACTACACCGCTGAGCTGGAGAAAATAAAGGCAGATCTTTCAAAAGAGCCACCTCAAGAGTGGAAGAGCGCCTTCACTGTGGCCACAAGATGGGCTCGAAAGAACTTGCCTCGCATAAATCAGGAGGTTATTGACCACGCGGAGGCTCTGATAGCCTCTTGTGTGAAGCCTGATGCAGCACAGGACAGACAGGCAGCCCCTTCTGAGCCTGTTGCTGCACAGGAAAAACAGCAAAATGATGGTCCACAAATTGTGGACAAGCCTGTAAACATAAAGCAGACACCACAACAAAACACACAGTCAGCACAAGCACAACAACAACAACAAAACAAAACACCACCACAACAACAACAACAAAAAACACCACAACAAACCAAAACACCTCAGACTCCACTCCACACACCACACACAGAACCACAACATAACAAACAAGAGGAGAAACAAACACCTACAAACAATACAAAACAGTACTCACACATAGGGAAAAACCAAGACACGGAGCTGGAGACAACTCCTGTTCTGTCTCCACAACAGAACTTCATGTCTAAGCTGGACAGGGAGTTTCTGGACTCTTTGGAGGGAAAGTCTCCCTCTCCCCCAAAACCTGTAACATACAAAACAAAAAGACACATTAACACAGACAAGAATGTGGCATACTGGAGCTTGGCCACACGTCGACTCTCTGAAAGGAGACGGGTTTCTGTCGGGGGTGGACCACATGCACTGGACGGGAACAACAGCTAAATACATCTACGTGTGATTAGGGGCTCCAATGCCTAACCCTGACCCCTAATCACTAACCACCAACCCCTAATCACTAGCCCCTGACCCCTAACCACTGACCCCTAGCCCTAAACTAACGCCTAACCAGAATCTTAACCCTAACCCTAACCCTCGGGGATCAAATCTAACCCTAACCCTATCCCTAACCCTAACCCTAACCCTCGGGGATTAAATCTAACCCTAACCCTATCCCTAACCCTAACCCTAACCCTCGGGGATCAAATCTAACCCTAACCCTATCCCTAACCCTAACCCTAACCCTCTGGATCTAGCCCTAGCCCTAACCCTAGCCCTAACCCTAACCCTGGCCTCTCTGGCCCTAGCCCTGACCCCTAACCCTAACCTTTAAAGGCTAATCATTTATTATAACTAATTCTTTTTGATTCATTATTAATTATTGGATTTCATAAGGGGCTAAAAATAGGGATGATTTCACATTAAAACCATAAATATTACAAATATATATCTCATCCAAAATTTAAAAAGGGAATTAGGGGCTAACATAATTACATCTATCTTAAAAAATTCAAATTCATTACAAATTCTAATTGGCAAAAGTTAAAATTGGGCATTAAAATTACAATTTATTATATTAAATAGGTCAAAAACAAGATAAATATTTCTAATTGGACATTACAATTATAATTCATCAAAATTAATCAGCTAAAAGAGGGTAAAAAAATTCTAATTGGCCATTAACATTCATGTCATTAAATTTCAGTTGGCATTTATGGGGTTAACTGCACCCAGACGGCCGGAGGCCCCCGTCTGGCTCTGCTCTTTCCCACGCCCCTATAAAAAACTCACGCACACAGAGTTCAGCCTCCCACTTCTCATATGTCTCTTGAAGAGAAAGCATCTCACCAACAGACTCAAACAAGCCCAGACAAGCCCAGACAAGCCCAGACATATTTTATTTTGTGCCCATAGCCTGAAGAAGACCCACAGCGGTCGAAACGTCGCGACTGGGCACTTATTCTTCATTTTGATACACATTTTATTTAGTTTTCTCACTTTTATTTCATTTTATTTCATTTTTATTTCACAAAAAACAAAAAAAAGCATAAAAAAATAAATAACAATTCATTTGATACAGGTTTTGTTTAAAAAGATCGATAGATAGACCAATAAATAAATAAATAGTCTCATAAATACACCACATTAATAAATAACAATAAATAATTAAAAAGGTTAAAACAACAATCATGACCTACGACCAAGAACAATGGACTGAAGTGCGATACGGGAGAAGGCGTGGTAAACGCCCGTATCGCACTAATCAGCAGTATCAAACGGGGTCGTGGGGGACGGGGAACAGGGGGATGGACCGTGCACCTACTGTCTCCTATTCTAGGAGACAGTCCCCCTTTATCCATAAACCTAACCGGCCTGTGCCTCCCCCACGGTTCTCTGCTCCCTCACGTCCCCGCAGACCTGGACCTCCTCCTGATTATCAACCCAAATTTTGGGGACCTCAATCAGGGTCCTATGCATCTGTGCTACACCAGGGAAACCCCACCCGTAACCAGGGGGGATTTCCTCAAAGACGCCCTTATTACCACCAAAAAAACACACAGCAGAGCAGATCCCTGCCTGATCCAAGTACTCATCAAGCACCCGTACATGACCCCCAATTCGGACAACTGGTCAAAAAATTACACACTGTCATTAAAATGGTACACCACCTACAAAATGTGACCCCAGGACCTGAAAAACAGGATCCAAAAATGATAGCACGTATGGTGGATAATTTGGCAGCCATGATCAAACCAGCAAATCCAACAACCTACACGCTGGATTTGATCATGGCAAATGCAAAAAACTGGGGCCACACTACACTACTCATTCTCCAGGACCACTACACCGCTGAGCTGGAGAAAATAAAGGCAGATCTTTCAAAAGAGCCACCTCAAGAGTGGAAGAGCGCCTTCACTGTGGCCACAAGATGGGCTCGAAAGAACTTGCCTCGCATAAATCAGGAGGTTATTGACCACGCGGAGGCTCTGATAGCCTCTTGTGTGAAGCCTGATGCAGCACAGGACAGACAGGCAGCCCCTTCTGAGCCTGTTGCTGCACAGGAAAAACAGCAAAATGATGGTCCACAAATTGTGGACAAACCTGTAAACATAAAGCAGACACCACAACAAAACACACAGTCAGCACAAGCACAACAACAACAACAAAACAAAACACCACCACAACAACAACAACAAAAAACACCACAACAAACCAAAACACCTCAGACTCCACTCCACACACCACACACAGAACCACAACATAACAAACAAGAGGAGAAACAAACACCTACAAACAATACAAAACAGTACTCACACATAGGGAAAAACCAAGACACGGAGCTGGAGACAACTCCTGTTCTGTCTCCACAACAGAACTTCATGTCTAAGCTGGACAGGGAGTTTCTGGACTCTTTGGAGGGAAAGTCTCCCTCTCCCCCAAAACCTATAACATACAAAACAAAAAGACACATTAACACAGACAAGAATGTGGCATACTGGAGCTTGGCCACACGTCGACTCTCTGAAAGGAGACGGGTTTCTGTCGGGGGTGGACCACATGCACTGGACGGGAACAACAGCTAAATACATCTACGTGTGATTAGGGGCTCCAATGCCTAACCCTGACCCCTAATCACTAACCACCAACCCCTAATCACTAGCCCCTGACCCCTAACCACTGACCCCTAGCCCTAAACTAACGCCTAACCAGAATCTTAACCCTAACCCTAACCCTCGGGGATCAAAATCTAACCCTAACCCTGGATCTAACCCTAACCCTAACCCTCGGGGATCAAAATCTAACCCTAACCCTATCCCTAACCCTAACCCTAACCCTCGGGGATCAAATCTAACCCTAACCCTTGCCCTAACCCTAACCCTAACCCCTGGATCTAGCCCTAGCCCTAACCCTAGCCCTAACCCTAACCCTGGCCTCTCTGGCCCTAGCCCTGACCCCTAACCCTAACCTTTAAAGGCTAATCATTTATTATAACTAATTCTTTTTGATTCATTATTAATTATTGGATTTCATAAGGGGCTAAAAATAGGGATGATTTCACATTAAAACCATAAATATTACAAATATATATCTCATCCAAAATTTAAAAAGGGAATTAGGGGCTAACATAATTACATCTATCTTAAAAAATTCAAATTCATTACAAATTCTAATTGGCAAAAGTTAAAATTGGGCATTAAAATTACAATTTATTATATTAAATAGGTCAAAAACAAGATAAATATTTCTAATTGGACATTACAATTATAATTCATCAAAATTAATCAGCTAAAAGAGGGTAAAAAAATTCTAATTGGCCATTAACATTCATGTCATCTAATTTCAGTTGGCATTTATGGGGTTAACTGCACCCAGACGGCCGGAGGCCCCCCGTCTGGCTCTGCTCTTTCCCACGCCCCTATAAAAAACTCACGCACACAGAGTTCAGCCTCCCACTTCTCATATGTCTCTTGAAGAGAAAGCATCTCACCAACAGACTCAAACAAGCCCAGACAAGCCCAGACAAGCCCAGACATATTTTATTTTGTGCCCATAGCCTGAAGAAGACCCACAGCGGTCGAAACGTCGCGACTGGGCACTTATTCTTCATTTTGATACACATTTTATTTAGTTTTCTCACTTTTATTTCATTTTATTTCATTTTTATTTCACAAAAAACAAAAAAACGCACAAAAAAAAAAAAAAAAAAAAAAAAAAAAAAAAAAAAAAAAAAAAAAATAAAGAACAGTTCATTTGATACAGGTTTTGTTTAAAAACATCGATAGATAGACCAATAAATAAATAAATAGTCTCATAAATACACCACATTAATAAATAACAATAAATAATTAAAAAGGTTAAAACAACAATCATGACCTACGACCAAGAACAATGGACTGAAGTGCGATACGGGAGAAGGCGTGGTAAACGCCCGTATCGCACTAATCAGCAGTATCAAACGGGGTCGTGGGGGACGGGGAACAGGGGGATGGACCGTGCACCTACTGTCTCCTATTCTAGGAGACAGTCCCCCTTTATCCATAAACCTAACCGGCCTGTGCCTCCCCCACGGTTCTCTGCTCCCTCACGTCCCCGCAGACCTGGACCTCCTGATTATCAACCCAAATTTTGGGGACCTCAATCAGGGTCCTATGCATCTGTGCTACACCAGGGAAACCCCACCCGTAACCAGGGGGATTTCCTCAAAGACGCCCTTATTACCACCAAAAAAACACACAGCAGAGCAGATCCCTGCCGGATCCAAGTACTCATCAAGCACCAGTACATGACCCACAATTTGGACAAAGGGTCAGAAAATTACACACTGTCATTAAAATGGTACACCACCTACAAAATGTGACCCCAGGACCTGAAAAACAGGATCCAAAAATGATAGCACGTATGGTGGATAATTTGGCAGCCATGATCAAACCAGCAAATCCAACAACCTACACGCTGGATTTGATCATGGCAAATGCAAAAAACTGGGGCCACACTACACTACTCATTCTCCAGGACCACTACACCGCTGAGCTGGAGAAAATAAAGGCAGATCTTTCAAAAGAGCCACCTCAAGAGTGGAAGAGCGCCTTCGCTGTGGCCACGAGATGGGCTAGAAGGAACCTGCCTCGCATAAAGCAGGAGGTTATTGACCACGCGGAGGCTCTGATAGCCTCTTGTGTGAAGCCTGATGCAGCACAGGACAGACAGGCAGCCCCTTCTGAGCCTGTTGCTGCACAGGAAAAACAGCAAAATGATGGTCCACAAATTGTGGACAAACCTGTAAACATAAAGCAGACACCACAACAAAACACACAGTCAGCACAAGCACAACAACAACAACAAAACAAAACACCACCACAACAACAACAACAAAAAACACCACAACAAACCAAAACACCTCAGACTCCACTCCACACACCACACACAGAACCACAACATAACAAACAAGAGGAGAAACAAACACCTACAAACAATACAAAACAGTACTCACACATAGGGGAAAACCAAGACACGGAGCTGGAGACAACTCCTGTTCTGTCTCCACAACAGAGCTTCCTGTCCAAGCTGGACAGGGAGTTTCTGGACTCTTTGGAGGGAAAGTCTCCCTCTCCCCCAAAACCTGTAACATACAAAACAAAAAGACACATTAACACAGACAAGAATGTGGCATACTGGAGCTTGGCCACACGTCGACTCTCTGAAAGGAGACGGGTTTCTGTCGGGGGTGGACCACATGCACTGGACGGGAACAACAGCTAAATACATCTACGTGTGATTAGGGGCTCCAATGCCTAACCCTGACCCCTAATCACTAACCACCAACCCCTAATCACTAGCCCCTGACCCCTAACCACTGACCCCTAGCCCTAAACTAACGCCTAACCAGAATCTTAACCCTAACCCTAACCCTCGGGGATTAAATCTAACCCTAACCCTATCCCTAACCCTAACCCTAACCCTCGGGGATTAAATCTAACCCTAACCCTATCCCTAACCCTAACCCTAACCCTCGGGATCAAATCTAACCCTAACCCTTGCCCTAACCCTAACCCTAACCCCTGGATCTAGCCCTAGCCCTAACCCTAGCCCTAACCCTAACCCTGGCCTCTCTGGCCCTAGCCCTGACCCCTAACCCTAACCTTTAAAGGCTAATCATTTATTATAACTAATTCTTTTTGATTCATTATTAATTATTGGATTTCATAAGGGGCTAAAAATAGGGATGATTTCACATTAAAACCATAAATATTACAAATATATATCTCATCCAAAATTTAAAAAGGGAATTAGGGGCTAACATAATTACATCTATCTTAAAAAATTCAAATTCATTACAAATTCTAATTGGCAAAAGTTAAAATTGGGCATTAAAATTACAATTTATTATATTAAATAGGTCAAAAACAGCATAAAAAATTCTAATTGGGCATTACAATTATAATTCATTAAAATTAATCTATTAAAAGAGGGTAAAAAAATCCAATTGGCCATTAACATTCATGTCATCTAAGTTCAGTTGGCATTTATGGGGTTAACTGCACCCAGACGGCCGGGGGCCCCCGTCTGGCTCTGCTCTTTCCCACGCCCCTATAAAAAACTCACGCACACAGAGTTCAGCCTCCCACTTCTCATATGTCTCTTGAAGAGAAAGCATCTCACCAACAGACTCAAACAAGCCCAGACAAGCCCAGACAAGCCCAGACATATTTTATTTTGTGCCCATAGCCTGAAGAAGACCCACAGCGGTCGAAACGTCGCGACTGGGCACTTATTCTTCATTTTGATACACATTTTATTTAGTTTTCTCACTTTTATTTCATTTTATTTCATTTTTATTTCACAAAAAACAAAAAAAAGCATAAAAAAATAAAGAACAATTCATTTGATACAGTTTTTGTTTAAAAAGATCGATAGATAGACCAATAAATAAATAAATAGTCTCATAAATACACCACATTAATAAATAACAATAAATAATTAAAAAGGTTAAAACAACAATCATGACCTACGACCAAGAACAATGGACTGAAGTGCGATACGGGAGAAGGCGTGGTAAACGCCCGTATCGCACTAATCAGCAGTATCAAACGGGGTCGTGGGGGACGGGGAACAGGGGGATGGACCGTGCACCTACTGTCTCCTATTCTAGGAGACAGTCCCCCTTTATCCATAAACCTAACCGGCCTGTGCCTCCCCCACGGTTCTCTGCTCCCTCACGTCCCCGCAGACCTGGACCTCCTCCTGATTATCAACCCAAATTTTGGGGACCTCAATCAGGGTCCTATGCATCTGTGCTACACCAGGGAAACCCCACCCGTAACCAGGGGGATTTCCTCAAAGACGCCCTTATTACCACCAAAAAAACACACAGCAGAGCAGATCCCTGCCTGATCCAAGTACTCATCAAGCACCCGTACATGACCCCCAATTCGGACAACTGGTCAAAAAATTACACACTGTCATTAAAATGGTACACCACCTACAAAATGTGACCCCAGGACCTGAAAAACAGGATCCAAAAATGATTGCACGTATGGTGGATAATTTGGCAACCATGATCAAACCAGCAAATCCAACAACCGACACGCTGGATTTGATCATGGCAAATGCAAAAAACTGGGGCCACACTACACTACTCATTCTCCAGGACCACTACACCGCTGAGCTGGAGAAAATACAGGCAGATCTTTCAAAAGAGCCACCTCAAGAGTGGAAGAGCGCCTTCGCTGTGGCCACGAGATGGGCTAGAAGGAACCTGCCTCGCATAAAGCAGGAGGTTATTGACCACGCGGAGGCTCTGATAGCCTCTTGTGTGAAGCCTGATGCAGCACAGGACAGACAGGCAGCCCCTTCTGAGCCTGTTGCTGCACAGGAAAAACAGCAAAATGATGGTCCACAAATTGTGGACAAACCTGTAAACATAAAGCAGACACCACAACAAAACACACAGTCAGCACAAGCACAACAACAACAACAAAACAAAACACCACCACAACAACAACAACAAAAAACACCACAACAAACCAAAACACCTCAGACTCCACTCCACACACCACACACAGAACCACAACATAACAAACAAGAGGAGAAACAAACACCTACAAACAATACAAAACAGTACTCACACATAGGGAAAAACCAAGACACGGAGCTGGAGACAACTCCTGTTCTGTCTCCACAACAGAACTTCATGTCTAAGCTGGACAGGGAGTTTCTGGACTCTTTGGAGGGAAAGTCTCCCTCTCCCCCAAAACCTGTAACATACAAAACAAAAAGACACATTAACACAGACAAGAATGTGGCATACTGGAGCTTGGCCACACGTCGACTCTCTGAAAGGAGACGGGTTTCTGTCGGGGGTGGACCACATGCACTGGACGGGAACAACAGCTAAATACATCTACGTGTGATTAGGGGCTCCAATGCCTAACCCTGACCCCTAATCACTAACCACCAACCCCTAATCACTAGCCCCTGACCCCTAACCACTGACCCCTAGCCCTAAACTAACGCCTAACCAGAATCTTAACCCTAACCCTAACCCTCGGGGATTAAATCTAACCCTAACCCTATCCCTAACCCTAACCCTAACCCTCGGGGATTAAATCTAACCCTAACCCTATCCCTAACCCTAACCCTAACCCTCGGGATCAAATCTAACCCTAACCCTTGCCCTAACCCTAACCCTAACCCCTGGATCTAGCCCTAGCCCTAACCCTAGCCCTAACCCTAACCCTGGCCTCTCTGGCCCTAGCCCTGACCCCTAACCCTAACCTTTAAAGGCTAATCATTTATTATAACTAATTCTTTTTGATTCATTATTAATTATTGGATTTCATAAGGGGCTAAAAATAGGGATGATTTCACATTAAAACCATAAATATTACAAATATATATCTCATCCAAAATTTAAAAAGGGAATTAGGGGCTAACATAATTACATCTATCTTAAAAAATTCAAATTCATTACAAATTCTAATTGGCAAAAGTTAAAATTGGGCATTAAAATTACAATTTATTATATTAAATAGGTCAAAAACAAGATAAATATTTCTAATTGGACATTACAATTATAATTCATCAAAATTAATCAGCTAAAAGAGGGTAAAAAAATTCTAATTGGCCATTAACATTCATGTCATTAAATTTCAGTTGGCATTTATGGGGTTAACTGCACCCAGACGGCCGGAGGCCCCCCGTCTGGCTCTGCTCTTTCCCACGCCCCTATAAAAAACTCACGCACACAGAGTTCAGCCTCCCACTTCTCATATGTCTCTTGAAGAGAAAGCATCTCACCAACAGACTCAAACAAGCCCAGACAAGCCCAGACAAGCCCAGACATATTTTATTTTGTGCCCATAGCCTGAAGAAGACCCACAGCGGTCGAAACGTCGCGACTGGGCACTTATTCTTCATTTTGATACACATTTTATTTAGTTTTCTCACTTTTATTTCATTTTATTTCATTTTTATTTCACAAAAAACAAAAAAAAGCATAAAAAAATAAATAACAATTCATTTGATACAGGTTTTGTTTAAAAAGATCGATAGATAGACCAATAAATAAATAAATAGTCTCATAAATACACCACATTAATAAATAACAATAAATAATTAAAAAGGTTAAAACAACAATCATGACCTACGACCAAGAACAATGGACTGAAGTGCGATACGGGAGAAGGCGTGGTAAACGCCCGTATCGCACTAATCAGCAGTATCAAACGGGGTCGTGGGGGACGGGGAACAGGGGGATGGACCGTGCACCTACTGTCTCCTATCCTAGGAGACAGTCCCCCTTTTACCATAATCCTAACCGGCCTGTGCCTCCCCCACGGTTCTCTGCTCCCTCACGTCCCCGCAGACCAGGACCTCCTGATTATCAACCCAAATTTTGGGGACCTCAATCAGGGTCCTATGCATCTGTGCTACACCAGGGAAACCCCACCCGTAACCAGGGGGGATTTCCTCAAAGACGCCCTTATTACCACCAAAAAAACACACAGCAGAGCAGATCCCTGCCTGATCCAAGTACTCATCAAGCACCCGTACATGACCCCCAATTCGGACAACTGGTCAAAAAATTACACACTGTCATTAAAATGGTACACCACCTACAAAATGTGACCCCAGGACCTGAAAAACAGGATCCAAAAATGATTGCACGTATGGTGGATAATTTGGCAACCATGATCAAACCAGCAAATCCAACAACCGACACGCTGGATTTGATCATGGCAAATGCAAAAAACTGGGGCCACACTACACTGCTCATTCTCCAGGACCACTACACCGCTGAGCTGGAGAAAATACAGGCAGATCTTTCAAAAGAGCCACCTCAAGAGTGGAAGAGCGCCTTCGCTGTGGCCACGAGATGGGCTAGAAGGAACCTGCCTCGCATAAAGCAGGAGGTTATTGACCACGCGGAGGCTCTGATAGCCTCTTGTGTGAAGCCTGATGCAGCACAGGACAGACAGGCAGCCCCTTCTGAGCCTGTTGCTGCACAGGAAAAAAGACAAAATGATGATCCACAAATTGTGGACAAACCTGTAAACATAAAGCAGACACCACAACAAAACACACAGTCAGCACAAGCACAACAACAACAACAAAACAAAACACCACCACAACAACAACAACAAAAAACACCACAACAAACCAAAACACCTCAGACTCCACTCCACACACCACACACAGAACCACAACATAACAAACAAGAGGAGAAACAAACACCTACAAACAATACAAAACAGTACTCACACATAGGGAAAAACCAAGACACGGAGCTGGAGACAACTCCTGTTCTGTCTCCACAACAGAACTTCATGTCTAAGCTGGACAGGGAGTTTCTGGACTCTTTGGAGGGAAAGTCTCCCTCTCCCCCAAAACCTGTAACATACAAAACAAAAAGACACATTAACACAGACAAGAATGTGGCATACTGGAGCTTGGCCACACGTCGACTCTCTGAAAGGAGACGGGTTTCTGTCGGGGGTGGACCACATGCACTGGACGGGAACAACAGCTAAATACATCTACGTGTGATTAGGGGCTCCAATGCCTAACCCTGACCCCTAATCACTAACCACCAACCCCTAATCACTAGCCCCTGACCCCTAACCACTGACCCCTAGCCCTAAACTAACGCCTAACCAGAATCTTAACCCTAACCCTAACCCTCGGGGATTAAATCTAACCCTAACCCTATCCCTAACCCTAACCCTAACCCTCGGGGATTAAATCTAACCCTAACCCTATCCCTAACCCTAACCCTAACCCTCGGGGATCAAATCTAACCCTAACCCTATCCCTAACCCTAACCCTAACCCTCGGGGATCAAATCTAACCCTAACCCTGGCCCTAACCCTGGCCTCTCTGGCCCTAGCCCTGACCCCTAACCCTAACCTTTAAAGGCTAATCATTTATTATAACTAATTCTTTTTGATTCATTATTAATTATTGGATTTCATAAGGGGCTAAAAATAGGGATGATTTCACATTAAAACCATAAATATTACAAATATATATCTCATCCAAAATTTAAAAAGGGAATTAGGGGCTAACATAATTACATCTCTCTTTAAAAATTCAAATTCATTACGATTCTAATTGGCAAACGTTAAAATTGGGCATTACAATTACAATTCATTAAATTAAATAAGTTAAAAAGAGCATAAAAAATTCTAATTGGGCATTACAATTATAATTCATTAAAATTAATCTATTAAAAGAGGGTAAAAAAATCCAATTGGCCATTAACATTCATGTCATCTAAGTTCAGTTGGCATTTATGGGGTTAACTGCACCCAGACGGCCGGGGGCCCCCGTCTGGCTCTGCTCTTTCCCACGCCCCTATAAAAAACTCACGCACACAGAGTTCAGCCTCCCACTTCTCATATGTCTCTTGAAGAGAAAGCATCTCACCAACAGACTCAAACAAGCCCAGACAAGCCCAGACAAGCCCAGACATATTTTATTTTGTGCCCATAGCCTGAAGAAGACCCACAGCGGTCGAAACGTCGCGACTGGGCACTTATTCTTCATTTTGATACACATTTTATTTAGTTTTCTCACTTTTATTTCATTTTATTTCATTTTTATTTCACAAAAAACAAAAAAACGCACAAAAAAAAAAATAAAGAACAGTTCATTTGATACAGTTTTTGTTTAAAAACATCGATAGATAGACCAATAAATAAATAAATAGTCCCATAAATACACCACATTAATAAATAACAATAAATAATTAAAAAGGTTAAAACAACAATCATGACCTACGACCAAGAACAATGGACTGAAGTGCGATACGGGAGAAGGCGTGGTCAACGCCCGTATCGCACTAATAATCAGCAGTATCAAACGGGGTCGTGGGGGACGGGGAACAGGGGGATGGACCGTGCACCTCCTGTCTCCTATTCTAGGAGACAGTCCCCCTTTATCCATAAACCTAACCGGCCTGTGCCTCCCCCACGGTTCTCTGCTCCCTCACGTCCCCGCAGACCTGGACCTCCTCCTGATTATCAACCCAAATTTTGGGGACCTCAATCAGGGTCCTATGCATCTGTGCTACACCAGGGAAACCCCACCCGTAACCAGGGGGGATTTCCTCAAAGACGCCCTTATTACCACCAAAAAAACACACAGCAGAGCAGATCCCTGCCGGATCCAAGTACTCATCAAGCACCAGTACATGACCCACAATTTGGACAAAGGGTCAGAAAATTACACACTGTCATTAAAATGGTACACCACCTACAAAATGTGACCCCAGGACCTGAAAAACAGGATCCAAAAATGATAGCACGTATGGTGGATAATTTGGCAGCCATGATCAAACCAGCAAATCCAACAACCTACACGCTGGATTTGATCATGGCAAATGCAAAAAACTGGGGCCACACTACACTACTCATTCTCCAGGACCACTACACCGCTGAGCTGGAGAAAATAAAGGCAGATCTTTCAAAAGAGCCACCTCAAGAGTGGAAGAGCGCCTTCACTGTGGCCACAAGATGGGCTAAAAGAACTTGCCTCGCATAAATCAGGAGGTTATTGACCACGCGGAGGCTCTGATAGCCTCTTGTGTGAAGCCTGATGCAGCACAGGACAGACAGGCAGCCCCTTCTGAGCCTGTTGCTGCACAGGAAAAACAGCAAAATGATGGTCCACAAATTGTGGACAAACCTGTAAACATAAAGCAGACACCACAACAAAACACACAGTCAGCACAAGCACAACAACAACAACAAAACAAAACACCACCACAACAACAACAACAAAAAACACCACAACAAACCAAAACACCTCAGACTCCACTCCACACACCACACACAGAACCACAACATAACAAACAAGAGGAGAAACAAACACCTACAAACAATACAAAACAGTACTCACACATAGGGGAAAACCAAGACACGGAGCTGGAGACAACTCCTGTTCTGTCTCCACAACAGAACTTCATGTCTAAGCTGGACAGGGAGTTTCTGGACTCTTTGGAGGGAAAGTCTCCCTCTCCCCTAAAACCTATAACATACAAAACAAAAAGACACATTAACACAGACAAGAATGTGGCATACTGGAGCTTGGCCACACGTCGACTCTCTGAAAGGAGACGGGTTTCTGTCAGGGGTGGACCACATGCACTGGACGGGAACAACAGCTAAATACATCTACGTGTGATTAGGGGCTCCAATGCCTAACCCTGACCCCTAATCACTAACCACCAACCCCTAATCACTAGCCCCTGACCCCTAACCACTGACCCCTAGCCCTAAACTAACGCCTAACCAGAATCTTAACCCTAACCCTAACCCTCGGGGATTAAATCTAACCCTAACCCTATCCCTAACCCTAACCCTAACCCTCGGGGATTAAATCTAACCCTAACCCTATCCCTAACCCTAACCCTAACCCTCGGGATCAAATCTAACCCTAACCCTTGCCCTAACCCTAACCCTAACCCCTGGATCTAGCCCTAGCCCTAACCCTAGCCCTAACCCTAACCCTGGCCTCTCTGGCCCTAGCCCTGACCCCTAACCCTAACCTTTAAAGGCTAATCATTTATTATAACTAATTTTTTTGATTCATTATTAATTATTGGATTTCATAAGGGGCTAAAAATAGGGATGATTTCACATTAAAACCATAAATATTACAAATATATATCTCATCCAAAATTTAAAAAGGGAATTAGGGGCTAACATAATTACATCTATCTTTAAAAATTCAAATTCATTACAAATTCTAATTGGCAAAAGTTAAAATTGGGCATTAAAATTACAATTTATTATATTAAATAGGTCAAAAACAAGATAAATATTTCTAATTGGACATTACAATTATAATTCATCAAAATTAATCAGCTAAAAGAGGGTAAAAAAATTCTAATTGGCCATTAACATTCATGTCATTAAATTTCAGTTGGCATTTATGGGGTTAACTGCACCCAGACGGCCGGAGGCCCCCGTCTGGCTCTGCTCTTTCCCACGCCCCTATAAAAAACTCACGCACACAGAGTTCAGCCTCCCACTTCTCATATGTCTCTTGAAGAGAAAGCATCTCACCAACAGACTCAAACAAGCCCAGACAAGCCCAGACAAGCCCAGACATATTTTATTTCGTGCCCATAGCCTGAAGAAGACCCACAGCGGTCGAAACGTCGCGACTGGGCACTTATTATTCATTTTGATACACATTTTATTCAGTTTTCTCACTTTTATTTCATTTTATTTCATTTTTATTTCACAAAAAACAAAAAAACGCACAAAAAAAAAAAAAAAAAAAAAAAAAAATAAAAATAAAAAAAAAAAAAAATAAAGAACAGTTCATTTGATACAGTTTTTGTTTAAAAACATCGATAGATAGACCAATAAATAAATAAATAGTCTCATAAATACACCACATTAATAAATAACAATAAATAATTAAAAAGGTTAAAACAACAATCATGACCTACGACCAAGAACAATGGACTGAAGTGCGATACGGGAGAAGGCGTGGTCAACGCCCGTATCGCACTAATCAGCAGTATCAAACGGGGTCGTGGGGGACGGGGAACAGGGGGATGGACCGTGCACCACTGTCTCCTATTCTAGGAGACAGTCCCCCTTTATCCATAAACCTAACCGGCCTGTGCCTCCCCCACGGTTCTCTGCTCCCTCACGTCCCCGCAGACCTGGACCTCCTCCTGATTATCAACCCAAATTTTGGGGACCTCAATCAGGGTCCTATGCATCTGTGCTACACCAGGGAAACCCCACCCGTAACCAGGGGGATTTCCTCAAAGACGCCCTTATTACCACCAAAAAAACACACAGCAGAGCAGATCCCTGCCTGATCCAAGTACTCATCAAGCACCAGTACATGACCCACAATTTGGACAAAGGGTCAGAAAATTACACACTGTCATTAAAATGGTACACCACCTACAAAATGTGACCCCAGGACCTGAAAAACAGGATCCAAAAATGATTGCACGTATGGTGGATAATTTGGCAGCCATGATCAAACCAGCAAATCCAACAACCTACACGCTGGATTTGATCATGGCAAATGCAAAAAACTGGGGCCACACTACACTACTCATTCTCCAGGACCACTACACCGCTGAGCTGGAGAAAATAAAGGCAGATCTTTCAAAAGAGCCACCTCAAGAGTGGAAGAGCGCCTTCACTGTGGCCACAAGATGGGCTAAAAGAACTTGCCTCGCATAAATCAGGAGGTTATTGACCACGCGGAGGCTCTGATAGCCTCTTGTGTGAAGCCTGATGCAGCACAGGACAGACAGGCAGCCCCTTCTGAGCCTGTTGCTGCACAGGAAAAAAGACAAAATGATGATCCACAAATTGTGGACAAACCTGTAAACATAAAGCAGACACCACAACAAAACACACAGTCAGCACAAGCACAACAACAACAACAAAACAAAACACCACCACAACAACAACAACAAAAAACACCACAACAAACCAAAACACCTCAGACTCCACTCCACACACCACACACAGAACCACAACATAACAAACAAGAGGAGAAACAAACACCTACAAACAATACAAAACAGTACTCACACATAGGGGAAAACCAAGACACGGAGCTGGAGACAACTCCTGTTCTGTCTCCACAACAGAACTTCATGTCTAAGCTGGACAGGGAGTTTCTGGACTCTTTGGAGGGAAAGTCTCCCTCTCCCCCAAAACCTGTAACATACAAAACAAAAAGACACATTAACACAGACAAGAATGTGGCATACTGGAGCTTGGCCACACGTCGACTCTCTGAAAGGAGACGGGTTTCTGTCGGGGGTGGACCACATGCACTGGACGGGAACAACAGCTAAATACATCTACGTGTGATTAGGGGCTCCAATGCCTAACCCTGACCCCTAATCACTAACCACCAACCCCTAATCACTAGCCCCTGACCCCTAACCACTGACCCCTAGCCCTAAACTAACGCCTAACCAGAATCTTAACCCTAACCCTAACCCTCGGGGATTAAATCTAACCCTAACCCTATCCCTAACCCTAACCCTAACCCTCGGGGATTAAATCTAACCCTAACCCTATCCCTAACCCTAACCCTAACCCTCGGGATCAAATCTAACCCTAACCCTTGCCCTAACCCTAACCCTAACCCCTGGATCTAGCCCTAGCCCTAACCCTAGCCCTAACCCTAACCCTGGCCTCTCTGGCCCTAGCCCTGACCCCTAACCCTAACCTTTAAAGGCTAATCATTTATTATAACTAATTCTTTTTGATTCATTATTAATTATTGGATTTTAAGGGGCTAAAAATAGGATGATTTCACATTAAAACCATAAATATTACAAATATATATCTCATCTAAAATTTAAAAAGGGAATTAGGGGCTAACATAATTACATCTATCTTTAAAAATTCAAATTCATTACAAATTCTAATTGGCAAAAGTTAAAATTGGGCATTAAAATTACAATTTATTATATTAAATAGGTCAAAAACAAGATAAATATTTCTAATTGGACATTACAATTATAATTCATCAAAATTAATCAGCTAAAAGAGGGTAAAAAAATTCTAATTGGCCATTAACATTCATGTCATTAAATTTCAGTTGGCATTTATGGGGTTAACTGCACCCAGACGGCCGGAGGCCCCCGTCTGGCTCTGCTCTTTCCCACGCCCCTATAAAAAACTCACGCACACAGAGTTCAGCCTCCCACTTCTCATATGTCTCTTGAAGAGAAAGCATCTCACCAACAGACTCAAACAAGCCCAGACAAGCCCAGACAAGCCCAGACATATTTTATTTTGTGCCCATAGCCTGAAGAAGACCCACAGCGGTCGAAACGTCGCGACTGGGCACTTATTCTTCATTTTGATACACATTTTATTTAGTTTTCTCACTTTTATTTCATTTTATTTCATTTTTATTTCACAAAAAACAAAAAAAAGCATAAAAAAATAAATAACAATTCATTTGATACAGGTTTTGTTTAAAAAGATCGATAGATAGACCAATAAATAAATAAATAGTCTCATAAATACACCACATTAATAAATAACAATAAATAATTAAAAAGGTTAAAACAACAATCATGACCTACGACCAAGAACAATGGACTGAAGTGCGATACGGGAGAAGGCGTGGTCAACGCCCGTATCGCACTAATCAGCAGTATCAAACGGGGTCGTGGGGGACGGGGAACAGGGGGATGGACCGTGCACCTACTGTCTCCTATTCTAGGAGACAGTCCCCCTTTATCCATAAACCTAACCGGCCTGTGCCTCCCCCACGGTTCTCTGCTCCCTCACGTCCCCGCAGACCTGGACCTCCTCCTGATTATCAACCCAAATTTTGGGGACCTCAATCAGGGTCCTATGCATCTGTGCTACACCAGGGAAACCCCACCCGTAACCAGGGGGGATTTCCTCAAAGACGCCCTTATTACCACCAAAAAAACACACAGCAGAGCAGATCCCTGCCGGATCCAAGTACTCATCAAGCACCAGTACATGACCCACAATTTGGACAAAGGGTCAGAAAATTACACACTGTCATTAAAATGGTACACCACCTACAAAATGTGACCCCAGGACCTGAAAAACAGGATCCAAAAATGATAGCACGTATGGTGGATAATTTGGCAGCCATGATCAAACCAGCAAATCCAACAACCTACACGCTGGATTTGATCATGGCAAATGCAAAAAACTGGGGCCACACTACACTACTCATTCTCCAGGACCACTACACCGCTGAGCTGGAGAAAATAAAGGCAGATCTTTCAAAAGAGCCACCTCAAGAGTGGAAGAGCGCCTTCACTGTGGCCACAAGATGGGCTCGAAAGAACTTGCCTCGTATAAATCAGGAGGTTATTGACCACGCGGAGGCTCTGATAGCCTCTTGTGTGAAGCCTGATGCAGCACAGGACAGACAGGCAGCCCCTTCTGAGCCTGTTGCTGCACAGGAAAAACAGCAAAATGATGGTCCACAAATTGTGGACAAACCTGTAAACATAAAGCAGACACCACAACAAAACACACAGTCAGCACAAGCACAACAACAACAACAAAACAAAACACCACCACAACAACAACAACAAAAAACACCACAACAAACCAAAACACCTCAGACTCCACTCCACACACCACACACAGAACCACAACATAACAAACAAGAGGAGAAACAAACACCTACAAACAATACAAAACAGTACTCACACATAGGGGAAAACCAAGACACGGAGCTGGAGACAACTCCTGTTCTGTCTCCACAACAGAACTTCATGTCTAAGCTGGACAGGGAGTTTCTGGACTCTTTGGAGGGAAAGTCTCCCTCTCCCCAAAACCTGTAACATACAAAACAAAAAGACACATTAACACAGACAAGAATGTGGCATACTGGAGCTTGGCCACACGTCGACTCTCTAGAAAGGAGACAGGTTTCTGTCAGAAGTGGACCACATGCACTGGACGGGAACAACAGCTAAATACATCTACGTGTGATTAGGGGCTCCAATGCCTAACCCTGACCCCTAATCACTAACCACCAACCCCTAATCACTAGCCCCTGACCCCTAACCACTGACCCCTAGCCCTAAACTAACGCCTAACCAGAATCTTAACCCTAACCCTAACCCTCGGGGATTAAATCTAACCCTAACCCTATCCCTAACCCTAACCCTAACCCTCGGGGATTAAATCTAACCCTAACCCTATCCCTAACCCTAACCCTAACCCTCGGGATCAAATCTAACCCTAACCCTATCCCTAACCCTAACCCTAACCCCGGGGATCAAGCCCTAACCCTAACCCTAGCCCTAACCCTGACCTCTCTGGCCCTAGCCCTGACCCCTAACCCTAACCTTTAAAAATCATTTATTATAACTAATTTTTTGATTAATTAATTATTGGATTTTAATAAAAATAGGGATGAGACATTAAAACCATAAATATTACAAATATATATCTCATCCAAAATTTAAAAAGGGAATTAGGGGATAACATAATTACATCTCTCTTAAAAATTCAAATTCATTACAAATTCTAATTGGCAAACGTTAAAATTGGGCATTACAATTACAATTTATTATATTAAATAGGTCAAAAACAAGATAAATATTTCTAATTGGACATTACAATTATAATTCATTAAAATTAATCTGTTAAAAGAGGGTAAAAAAATTCTAATTGGCCATTAACATTCATGTCATCTAATTTCAGTTGGCATTTATGGGGTTAACTGCACCCAGACGGCCGGAGGCCCCCGTCTGGCTCTGCTCTTTCCCACGCCCCTATAAAAAACTCACGCACACAGAGTTCAGCCTCCCACTTCTCATATGTCTCTTGAAGAGAAAACATCTCACCAACAGACTCAAACAAGCCCAGACAAGCCCAGACAAGCCCAGACATATTTTATTTCGTGCCCATAGCCTGAAGAAGACCCACAGCGGTCGAAACGTCGCGACTGGGCACTTATTATTCATTTTGATACACATTTTATTCAGTTTTCTCACTTTTATTTCATTTTATTTCATTTTTATTTCACAAAAAACAAAAAAACGCATAAAAAAATAAAGAACAGTTCATTTGATACAGGTTTTGTTTAAAAAGATCGATAGATAGACCAATAAATAAATAAATAGTCTCATAAATACACCACATTAATAAATAACAATAAATAATTAAAAAGGTTAAAACAACAATCATGACCTACGACCAAGAACAATGGACTGAAGTGCGATACGGGAGAAGGCGTGGTAAACGCCCGTATCGCACTAATCAGCAGTATCAAACGGGGTCGTGGGGGACGGGGAACAGGGGGATGGACCGTGCACCTCCTGTCTCCTATTCTAGGAGACAGTCCCCCTTTATCCATAAACCTAACCGGCCTGTGCCTCCCCCACGGTTCTCTGCTCCCTCACGTCCCCGCAGACCTGGACCTCCTGATTATCAACCCAAATTTTGGGGACCTCAATCAGGGTCCTATGCATCTGTGCTACACCAGGGAAACCCCACCCGTAACCAGGGGGGATTTCCTCAAAGACGCCCTTATTACCACCAAAAAAACACACAGCAGAGCAGATCCCTGCCTGATCCAAGTACTCATCAAGCACCAGTACATGACCCCAATTCGGACAACTGGTCAAAAAATTACACACTGTCATTAAAATGGTTCACCACCTACAAAATGTGACCCCAGGACCTGAAAAACAGGATCCAAAAATGATAGCACGTATGGTGGATAATTTGGCAACCATGATCAAACCAGCAAATCCAACAACCTACACGCTGGATTTGATCATTGCAAATGCAAAAAACTGGGGCCACACTACACTGCTGATTCTCCAGGACCACTACACCGCTGAGCTGGAGAAAATACAGGCAGATCTTTCAAAAGAGCCACCTCAAGAGTGGAAGAGCGCCTTCACTGTGGCCACGAGATGGGCTAAAAAGAACCTGCCTCGCATAAAGCAGGAGGTTATTGACCACGCAGAGGCTCTCATAGCCTCTTGTGTGAAGCCTGTTGCAGCACAGGACAGACAGGCAGCCCCTTCTGAGCCTGCTGCTGCACAGGAAAAACCACAAAATGATGGTCCACAAATTGTGGACAAACCTGTACACACAAAGCAGACACCACAACAAAACACACAGTCAGCACAAGCACAACAACAACAACAAAACAAAACACCACCACAACAACAACAACAAAAAACACCACAACAAACCAAAACACCTCAGACTCCACTCCACACACCACACACAGAACCACAACATAACAAACAAGAGGAGAAACAAACACCTACAAACAGTACAAAACAGTACTCACACATAGGGGAAAACCGAGACACGGAGCTGGAGACAACTCCTGTTCTGTCTCCACAACAGAACTTCATGTCTAAGCTGGACAGGGAGTTTCTGGACTCTTTGGAGGGAAAGTCTCCCTCTCCCCTAAAACCTATAACATACAAAACAAAAAGACACATTAACACAGACAAGAATGTGGGAGACTGGAGCTTGGCCACACGTCGACTCTCTAGAAGGAGACAGGTTTCTGACAGAAGTGGACCACACACATTGGACAAGAACAACAGCTAAATACATCTACGTGTGATTAGGGGCTCCAATGCCTAACCCTGACCCCTAATCACTAACCACCAACCCCTAATTACTAACCCCTGACCCCTAACCACTAACCCCTAGCCCTAAACTAACGCCTAACCAGAATCTAACCCTAACCCTAACCCTCGGGGATCAAATCTAACCCTAACCCTATCCCTAACCCTAACCCTAACCCTCGGGGATCAAATCTAACCCTAACCCTATCCCTAACCCTAACCCTAACCCTCGGGGATCAAATCTAACCCTAACCCTATCCCTAACCCTAACCCTAACCCTCGGGGATCAAATCTAACCCTAACCCTGGCCCTAACCCTGACCTCTCTAACCCTAGCTCTGACCCCTAACCCTAACCTTTAAAAACTAATAATTTATTTTAATTAATTCTTTTTAATCCATTAGACATTAAAACCATAAATATTACAAAGAGATATCTCATCTAAAATTTAAAAAGGGAATTAGGGGATAACATAATTACATCTCTCTTTAAAAATTCAAATTCATTACGATTCTAATTGGCAAACGTTAAAATTGGGCATTACAATTACAATTCATTAAGTTAAATAAGTTAAAAAGAGCATAAAAAATTCTAATTGGGCATTACAATTATAATTCATTAAAGTTAATCTGTTAAAAGAGGGTAAAAAAATCCAATTGGCCATTAACATTCATGTCATCTAATTTCAGTTGGCATTTATGGGGTTAACTGCACCCAGACGGCCGGAGGCCCCCCGTCTGGCTCTGCTCTTTCCCACGCCCCTATAAAAAACTCACGCACACAGAGTTCAGCCTCCCACTTCTCATATGTCTCTTGAAGAGAAAGCATCTCACCAGCAGACTCAAACAAGCCCAGACAAGCCCAGACAAGCCCAGACATATTTTATTTCGTGCCCATAGCCTGAAGAAGACCCACAGCGGTCGAAACGTCGCGACTGGGCACTTATTATTCATTTTGATACACATTTTATTCAGTTTTCTCACTTTTATTTCATTTTATTTCATTTTTATTTCACAAAAAACAAAAAAACGCATAAAAAAATAAAGAACAGTTCATTTGATACAGTTTTTGTTTAAAAACATCGATAGATAGACCAATAAATAAATAAATAGTCTCATAAATACACCACATTAATAAATAACAATAAATAATTAAAAAGGTTAAAACAACAATCATGACCTACGACCAAGAACAATGGACTGAAGTGCGATACGGGAGAAGGCGTGGTCAACGCCCGTATCGCACTAATAATCAGCAGTATCAAACGGGGTCGTGGGGGACGGGGAACAGGGGGATGGACCGTGCACCTCCTGTCTCCTATTCTAGGAGACAGTCCCCCTTTATCCATAAACCTAACCGGCCTGTGCCTCCCCCACGGTTCTCTGCTCCCTCACGTCCCCGCAGACCTGGACCTCCTGATTATCAACCCAAATTTTGGGGACCTCAATCAGGGTCCTATGCATCTGTGCTACACCAGGGAAACCCCACCCGTAACCAGGGGGGATTTCCTCAAAGACGCCCTTATTACCACCAAAAAAACACACAGCAGAGCAGATCCCTGCCTGATCCAAGTACTCAGCAAGCACCAGTACATGACCCCAATTCGGACAACTGGTCAAAAAATTACACACTGTCATTAAAATGGTTCACCACCTACAAAATGTGACCCCAGGACCTGAAAAACAGGATCCAAAAATGATAGCACGTATGGTGGATAATTTGGCAACCATGATCAAACCAGCAAATCCAACAACCTACACGCTGGATTTGATCATTGCAAATGCAAAAAACTGGGGCCACACTACACTGCTGATTCTCCAGGACCACTACACCGCTGAGCTGGAGAAAATACAGGCAGATCTTTCAAAAGAGCCACCTCAAGAGTGGAAGAGCGCCTTCACTGTGGCCACGAGATGGGCTAAAAAGAACCTGCCTCGTATAAAGCAGGAGGTTATTGACCACGCAGAGGCTCTCATAGCCTCTTGTGTGAAGCCTGTTGCAGCACAGGACAGACAGGCAGCCCCTTCTGAGCCTGCTGCTGCACAGGAAAAACCACAAAATGATGGTCCACAAATTGTGGACAAGCCTGTACACACAAAGCAGACACCACAACAAAACACACAGTCAGCACAAGCACAACAACAACAACAAAACAAAACACCACCACAACAACAACAACAAAAAACACCACAACAAACCAAAACACCTCAGACTCCACTCCACACACCACACACAGAACCACAACATAACAAACAAGAGGAGAAACAAACACCTACAAACAGTACAAAACAGTACTCACACATAGGGGAAAACCGAGACACGGAGCTGGAGACAACTCCTGTTCTGTCTCCACAACAGAACTTCATGTCTAAGCTGGACAGGGAGTTTCTGGACTCTTTGGAGGGAAAGTCTCCCTCTCCCCTAAAACCTATAACATACAAAACAAAAAGACACATTAACACAGACAAGAATGTGGGAGACTGGAGCTTGGCCACACGTCGACTCTCTAGAAGGAGACAGGTTTCTGACAGAAGTGGACCACACACATTGGACAAGAACAACAGCTAAATACATCTACGTGTGATTAGGGGCTCCAATGCCTAACCCTGACCCCTAATCACTAACCACCAACCCCTAATTACTAACCCCTGACCCCTAACCACTAACCCCTAGCCCTAAACTAACGCCTAACCAGAATCCTAACCCTAACCCTAACCCTCGGGGATCAAATCTAACCCTAACCCTATCCCTAACCCTAACCCTAACCCTCGGGGATCAAATCTAACCCTAACCCTATCCCTAACCCTAACCCTAACCCTCGGGGATCAAATCTAACCCTAACCCTATCCCTAACCCTAACCCTAACCCTCGGGGATCAAATCTAACCCTAACCCTGGCCCTAACCCTGACCTCTCTAACCCTAGCTCTGACCCCTAACCCTAACCTTTAAAAACTAATAATTTATTTTAATTAATTCTTTTTAATCCATTAGACATTAAAACCATAAATATTACAAAGAGATATCTCATCTAAAATTTAAAAAGGGAATTAGGGGATAACATAATTACATCTCTCTTTAAAAATTCAAATTCATTACGATTCTAATTGGCAAACGTTAAAATTGGGCATTACAATTACAATTCATTAAGTTAAATAAGTTAAAAAGAGCATAAAAAATTCTAATTGGGCATTACAATTATAATTCATTAAAGTTAATCTGTTAAAAGAGGGTAAAAAAATCCAATTGGCCATTAACATTCATGTCATCTAATTTCAGTTGGCATTTATGGGGTTAACTGCACCCAGACGGCCGGAGGCCCCCGTCTGGCTCTGCTCTTTCCCACGCCCCTATAAAAAACTCACTCACACAGAGTTCAGCCTCCCACTTCTCATATGTCTCTTGAAGAGAAAGCATCTCACCAGCAGACTCAAACAAGCCCAGACAAGCCCAGACAAGCCCAGACATATTTTATTTCGTGCCCATAGCCTGAAGAAGACCCACAGCGGTCGAAACGTCGCGACTGGGCACTTATTATTCATTTTGATACACATTTTATTCAGTTTTCTCACTTTTATTTCATTTTATTTCATTTTTATTTCACAAAAAACAAAAAAACGCACAAAAAAAAAAAAAAAAAAAAAAAAAAAAAAAAAATAAAGAACAGTTCATTTGATACAGTTTTTGTTTAAAAACATCGATAGATAGACCAATAAATAAATAAATAGTCTCATAAATACACCACATTAATAAATAACAATAAATAATTAAAAAGGTTAAAACAACAATCATGACCTACGACCAAGAACAATGGACTGAAGTGCGATACGGGAGAAGGCGTGGTCAACGCCCGTATCGCACTAATAATCAGCAGTATCAAACGGGGTCGTGGGGGACGGGGAACAGGGGGATGGACCGTGCACCTCCTGTCTCCTATTCTAGGAGACAGTCCCCCTTTATCCATAAACCTAACCGGCCTGTGCCTCCCCCACGGTTCTCTGCTCCCTCACGTCCCCGCAGACCTGGACCTCCTGATTATCAACCCAAATTTTGGGGACCTCAATCAGGGTCCTATGCATCTGTGCTACACCAGGGAAACCCCACCCGTAACCAGGGGGGATTTCCTCAAAGACGCCCTTATTACCACCAAAAAAACACACAGCAGAGCAGATCCCTGCCTGATCCAAGTACTCAGCAAGCACCAGTACATGACCCCCAATTCGGACAACTGGTCAAAAAATTACACACTGTCATTAAAATGGTTCACCACCTACAAAATGTGACCCCAGGACCTGAAAAACAGGATCCAAAAATGATAGCACGTATGGTGGATAATTTGGCAACCATGATCAAACCAGCAAATCCAACAACCTACACGCTGGATTTGATCATTGCAAATGCAAAAAACTGGGGCCACACTACACTGCTGATTCTCCAGGACCACTACACCGCTGAGCTGGAGAAAATACAGGCAGATCTTTCAAAAGAGCCACCTCAAGAGTGGAAGAGCGCCTTCACTGTGGCCACGAGATGGGCTAAAAAGAACCTGCCTCGTATAAAGCAGGAGGTTATTGACCACGCAGAGGCTCTCATAGCCTCTTGTGTGAAGCCTGTTGCAGCACAGGACAGACAGGCAGCCCCTTCTGAGCCTGCTGCTGCACAGGAAAAACCACAAAATGATGGTCCACAAATTGTGGACAAGCCTGTACACACAAAGCAGACACCACAACAAAACACACAGTCAGCACAAGCACAACAACAACAACAAAACAAAACACCACCACAACAACAACAACAAAAAACACCACAACAAACCAAAACACCTCAGACTCCACTCCACACACCACACACAGAACCACAACATAACAAACAAGAGGAGAAACAAACACCTACAAACAGTACAAAACAGTACTCACACATAGGGGAAAACCGAGACACGGAGCTGGAGACAACTCCTGTTCTGTCTCCACAACAGAACTTCATGTCTAAGCTGGACAGGGAGTTTCTGGACTCTTTGGAGGGAAAGTCTCCCTCTCCCCTAAAACCTATAACATACAAAACAAAAAGACACATTAACACAGACAAGAATGTGGGAGACTGGAGCTTGGCCACACGTCGACTCTCTAGAAGGAGACAGGTTTCTGACAGAAGTGGACCACACACATTGGACAAGAACAACAGCTAAATACATCTACGTGTGATTAGGGGCTCCAATGCCTAACCCTGACCCCTAATCACTAACCACCAACCCCTAATTACTAACCCCTGACCCCTAACCACTAACCCCTAGCCCTAAACTAACGCCTAACCAGAATCCTAACCCTAACCCTAACCCTCGGGGATCAAATCTAACCCTAACCCTATCCCTAACCCTAACCCTAACCCTCGGGGATCAAATCTAACCCTAACCCTATCCCTAACCCTAACCCTAACCCTCGGGGATCAAATCTAACCCTAACCCTATCCCTAACCCTAACCCTAACCCTCGGGGATCAAATCTAACCCTAACCCTGGCCCTAACCCTGACCTCTCTAACCCTAGCTCTGACCCCTAACCCTAACCTTTAAAAACTAATAATTTATTTTAATTAATTCTTTTTAATCCATTAGACATTAAAACCATAAATATTACAAAGAGATATCTCATCTAAAATTTAAAAAGGGAATTAGGGGATAACATAATTACATCTCTCTTTAAAAATTCAAATTCATTACGATTCTAATTGGCAAACGTTAAAATTGGGCATTACAATTACAATTCATTAAGTTAAATAAGTTAAAAAGAGCATAAAAAATTCTAATTGGGCATTACAATTATAATTCATTAAAGTTAATCTGTTAAAAGAGGGTAAAAAAATCCAATTGGCCATTAACATTCATGTCATCTAATTTCAGTTGGCATTTATGGGGTTAACTGCACCCAGACGGCCGGAGGCCCCCGTCTGGCTCTGCTCTTTCCCACGCCCCTATAAAAAACTCACGCACACAGAGTTCAGCCTCCCACTTCTCATATGTCTCTTGAAGAGAAAACATCTCACCAGCAGACTCAAACAAGCCCAGACAAGCCCAGACAAGCCCAGACATATTTTATTTCGTGCCCATAGCCTGAAGAAGACCCACAGCGGTCGAAACGTCGCGACTGGGCACTTATTATTCATTTTGATACACATTTTATTCAGTTTTCTCACTTTTATTTCATTTTATTTCATTTTTATTTCACAAAAAACAAAAAAACGCATAAAAAAATAAAGAACAGTTCATTTGATACAGTTTTTGTTTAAAAACATCGATAGATAGACCAATAAATAAATAAATAGTCTCATAAATACACCACATTAATAAATAACAATAAATAATTAAAAAGGTTAAAACAACAATCATGACCTACGACCAAGAACAATGGACTGAAGTGCGATACGGGAGAAGGCGTGGTCAACGCCCGTATCGCACTAATAATCAGCAGTATCAAACGGGGTCGTGGGGGACGGGGAACAGGGGGATGGACCGTGCACCTCCTGTCTCCTATTCTAGGAGACAGTCCCCCTTTATCCATAAACCTAACCGGCCTGTGCCTCCCCCACGGTTCTCTGCTCCCTCACGTCCCCGCAGACCTGGACCTCCTGATTATCAACCCAAATTTTGGGGACCTCAATCAGGGTCCTATGCATCTGTGCTACACCAGGGAAACCCCACCCGTAACCAGGGGGATTTCCTCAAAGACGCCCTTATTACCACCAAAAAAACACACAGCAGAGCAGATCCCTGCCTGATCCAAGTACTCAGCAAGCACCAGTACATGACCCCCAATTCGGACAACTGGTCAAAAAATTACACACTGTCATTAAAATGGTTCACCACCTACAAAATGTGACCCCAGGACCTGAAAAACAGGATCCAAAAATGATAGCACGTATGGTGGATAATTTGGCAACCATGATCAAACCAGCAAATCCAACAACCTACACGCTGGATTTGATCATTGCAAATGCAAAAAACTGGGGCCACACTACACTGCTGATTCTCCAGGACCACTACACCGCTGAGCTGGAGAAAATACAGGCAGATCTTTCAAAAGAGCCACCTCAAGAGTGGAAGAGCGCCTTCACTGTGGCCACGAGATGGGCTAAAAAGAACCTGCCTCGTATAAAGCAGGAGGTTATTGACCACGCAGAGGCTCTCATAGCCTCTTGTGTGAAGCCTGTTGCAGCACAGGACAGACAGGCAGCCCCTTCTGAGCCTGCTGCTGCACAGGAAAAACCACAAAATGATGGTCCACAAATTGTGGACAAGCCTGTACACACAAAGCAGACACCACAACAAAACACACAGTCAGCACAAGCACAACAACAACAACAAAACAAAACACCACCACAACAACAACAACAAAAAACACCACAACAAACCAAAACACCTCAGACTCCACTCCACACACCACACACAGAACCACAACATAACAAACAAGAGGAGAAACAAACACCTACAAACAGTACAAAACAGTACTCACACATAGGGGAAAACCGAGACACGGAGCTGGAGACAACTCCTGTTCTGTCTCCACAACAGAACTTCATGTCTAAGCTGGACAGGGAGTTTCTGGACTCTTTGGAGGGAAAGTCTCCCTCTCCCCTAAAACCTATAACATACAAAACAAAAAGACACATTAACACAGACAAGAATGTGGGAGACTGGAGCTTGGCCACACGTCGACTCTCTAGAAGGAGACAGGTTTCTGACAGAAGTGGACCACACACATTGGACAAGAACAACAGCTAAATACATCTACGTGTGATTAGGGGCTCCAATGCCTAACCCTGACCCCTAATCACTAACCACCAACCCCTAATTACTAACCCCTGACCCCTAACCACTAACCCCTAGCCCTAAACTAACGCCTAACCAGAATCCTAACCCTAACCCTAACCCTCGGGGATCAAATCTAACCCTAACCCTATCCCTAACCCTAACCCTAACCCTCGGGGATCAAATCTAACCCTAACCCTATCCCTAACCCTAACCCTAACCCTCGGGGATCAAATCTAACCCTAACCCTATCCCTAACCCTAACCCTAACCCTCGGGGATCAAATCTAACCCTAACCCTGGCCCTAACCCTGACCTCTCTAACCCTAGCTCTGACCCCTAACCCTAACCTTTAAAAACTAATAATTTATTTTAATTAATTCTTTTTAATCCATTAGACATTAAAACCATAAATATTACAAAGAGATATCTCATCTAAAATTTAAAAAGGGAATTAGGGGATAACATAATTACATCTCTCTTTAAAAATTCAAATTCATTACGATTCTAATTGGCAAACGTTAAAATTGGGCATTACAATTACAATTCATTAAGTTAAATAAGTTAAAAAGAGCATAAAAAATTCTAATTGGGCATTACAATTATAATTCATTAAAGTTAATCTGTTAAAAGAGGGTAAAAAAATCCAATTGGCCATTAACATTCATGTCATCTAATTTCAGTTGGCATTTATGGGGTTAACTGCACCCAGACGGCCGGAGGCCCCCGTCTGGCTCTGCTCTTTCCCACGCCCCTATAAAAAACTCACGCACACAGAGTTCAGCCTCCCACTTCTCATATGTCTCTTGAAGAGAAAGCATCTCACCAGCAGACTCAAACAAGCCCAGACAAGCCCAGACAAGCCCAGACATATTTTATTTCGTGCCCATAGCCTGAAGAAGACCCACAGCGGTCGAAACGTCGCGACTGGGCACTTATTATTCATTTTGATACACATTTTATTCAGTTTTCTCACTTTTATTTCATTTTATTTCATTTTTATTTCACAAAAAACAAAAAAACGCATAAAAAAATAAAGAACAGTTCATTTGATACAGTTTTTGTTTAAAAACATCGATAGATAGACCAATAAATAAATAAATAGTCTCATAAATACACCACATTAATAAATAACAATAAATAATTAAAAAGGTTAAAACAACAATCATGACCTACGACCAAGAACAATGGACTGAAGTGCGATACGGGAGAAGGCGTGGTCAACGCCCGTATCGCACTAATAATCAGCAGTATCAAACGGGGTCGTGGGGGACGGGGAACAGGGGGATGGACCGTGCACCTCCTGTCTCCTATTCTAGGAGACAGTCCCCCTTTATCCATAAACCTAACCGGCCTGTGCCTCCCCCACGGTTCTCTGCTCCCTCACGTCCCCGCAGACCTGGACCTCCTGATTATCAACCCAAATTTTGGGGACCTCAATCAGGGTCCTATGCATCTGTGCTACACCAGGGAAACCCCACCCGTAACCAGGGGGGATTTCCTCAAAGACGCCCTTATTACCACCAAAAAAACACACAGCAGAGCAGATCCCTGCCTGATCCAAGTACTCAGCAAGCACCAGTACATGACCCCCAATTCGGACAACTGGTCAAAAAATTACACACTGTCATTAAAATGGTTCACCACCTACAAAATGTGACCCCAGGACCTGAAAAACAGGATCCAAAAATGATAGCACGTATGGTGGATAATTTGGCAACCATGATCAAACCAGCAAATCCAACAACCTACACGCTGGATTTGATCATTGCAAATGCAAAAAACTGGGGCCACACTACACTGCTGATTCTCCAGGACCACTACACCGCTGAGCTGGAGAAAATACAGGCAGATCTTTCAAAAGAGCCACCTCAAGAGTGGAAGAGCGCCTTCACTGTGGCCACGAGATGGGCTAAAAAGAACCTGCCTCGTATAAAGCAGGAGGTTATTGACCATGCAGAGGCTCTCATAGCCTCTTGTGTGAAGCCTGTTGCAGCACAGGACAGACAGGCAGCCCCTTCTGAGCCTGCTGCTGCACAGGAAAAACCACAAAATGATGGTCCACAAATTGTGGACAAGCCTGTACACACAAAGCAGACACCACAACAAAACACACAGTCAGCACAAGCACAACAACAACAACAAAACAAAACACCACCACAACAACAACAACAAAAAACACCACAACAAACCAAAACACCTCAGACTCCACTCCACACACCACACACAGAACCACAACATAACAAACAAGAGGAGAAACAAACACCTACAAACAGTACAAAACAGTACTCACACATAGGGGAAAACCGAGACACGGAGCTGGAGACAACTCCTGTTCTGTCTCCACAACAGAACTTCATGTCTAAGCTGGACAGGGAGTTTCTGGACTCTTTGGAGGGAAAGTCTCCCTCTCCCCTAAAACCTATAACATACAAAACAAAAAGACACATTAACACAGACAAGAATGTGGGAGACTGGAGCTTGGCCACACGTCGACTCTCTAGAAGGAGACAGGTTTCTGACAGAAGTGGACCACACACATTGGACAAGAACAACAGCTAAATACATCTACGTGTGATTAGGGGCTCCAATGCCTAACCCTGACCCCTAATCACTAACCACCAACCCCTAATTACTAACCCCTGACCCCTAACCACTAACCCCTAGCCCTAAACTAACGCCTAACCAGAATCCTAACCCTAACCCTAACCCTCGGGGATCAAATCTAACCCTAACCCTATCCCTAACCCTAACCCTAACCCTCGGGGATCAAATCTAACCCTAACCCTATCCCTAACCCTAACCCTAACCCTCGGGGATCAAATCTAACCCTAACCCTATCCCTAACCCTAACCCTAACCCTCGGGGATCAAATCTAACCCTAACCCTGGCCCTAACCCTGACCTCTCTAACCCTAGCTCTGACCCCTAACCCTAACCTTTAAAAACTAATAATTTATTTTAATTAATTCTTTTTAATCCATTAGACATTAAAACCATAAATATTACAAAGAGATATCTCATCTAAAATTTAAAAAGGGAATTAGGGGATAACATAATTACATCTCTCTTTAAAAATTCAAATTCATTACGATTCTAATTGGCAAACGTTAAAATTGGGCATTACAATTACAATTCATTAAGTTAAATAAGTTAAAAAGAGCATAAAAAATTCTAATTGGGCATTACAATTATAATTCATTAAAGTTAATCTGTTAAAAGAGGGTAAAAAAATCCAATTGGCCATTAACATTCATGTCATCTAATTTCAGTTGGCATTTATGGGGTTAACTGCACCCAGACGGCCGGAGGCCCCCGTCTGGCTCTGCTCTTTCCCACGCCCCTATAAAAAACTCACGCACACAGAGTTCAGCCTCCCACTTCTCATATGTCTCTTGAAGAGAAAGCATCTCACCAGCAGACTCAAACAAGCCCAGACAAGCCCAGACAAGCCCAGACATATTTTATTTCGTGCCCATAGCCTGAAGAAGACCCACAGCGGTCGAAACGTCGCGACTGGGCACTTATTATTCATTTTGATACACATTTTATTCAGTTTTCTCACTTTTATTTCATTTTATTTCATTTTTATTTCACAAAAAACAAAAAAACGCATAAAAAAATAAAGAACAGTTCATTTGATACAGTTTTTGTTTAAAAACATCGATAGATAGACCAATAAATAAATAAATAGTCTCATAAATACACCACATTAATAAATAACAATAAATAATTAAAAAGGTTAAAACAACAATCATGACCTACGACCAAGAACAATGGACTGAAGTGCGATACGGGAGAAGGCGTGGTCAACGCCCGTATCGCACTAATAATCAGCAGTATCAAACGGGGTCGTGGGGGACGGGGAACAGGGGGATGGACCGTGCACCTCCTGTCTCCTATTCTAGGAGACAGTCCCCCTTTATCCATAAACCTAACCCTAACCCCTAACCCTAACCCTAACCCTAACCCTAACCCCTAACCCTAACCCTAACCCTAACCCCTAACCCTAACCCCTAACCCTAACCCTAACCCTAACCCCATTTTGAACATTTCCATACAAAGTCAAACACTTAAAAAACTTTGAATTTTTCCAATTTTCATCTCCCATTCATTTTCAATGGGAAATTTTCATTTCGCCATAACTTTTGATAGCAATGTCCGATCGCTGGTTCATTAGTATTTCTAGATTCAGCATACCCGAAAATGGGGGGGTAGACCAAATCTCAGCCCGGTTCATCATTGGGAAAGGCAATGAACCGGCATGTCAAAAGTGGCACATATCCCTATATCCTAACCCCTAACCCTAACCCTAACCCCTAACCCTAACCCTAACCCTAACCCTAAACCCTAACCCTAACCCTAACCCTAAACCCTAACCCTAACCCTAACCCTAACCTGGCATTAACCCTAACCCTAACCATCGCGCTAGCCCTAACCCTAACCCTAGCGCTTGATGTAGCCCAAACCGTGGCCCTGACCCTAACCCTAACCCTAACCCTAACCTCGGATACTAACCCTAACCCTAATACTGACCCTAACCCTAACCCTAGGGGTCACTTGAAGCCTAACCATAGGATTAAGATAAATATATCATGCATTAAAAAACAATCAGCAGTTAAAGGGTTTACATTCAGAAACTAAATAGAGTACAAAATAACACAAATTATCAGAGAAAATTCAGTAAATTATTTCTCCAAGGGTATAAAAGGGAGAGGGGAACAGGGATATTCTCATTTTGATTTGGCTGCCTGCTGGGAAAGAACCCCTATGAATTGGGGCCCAGCAGCCATTCTTTTTTGTGCGCATGACCTGATGAAGACCCAAGTAGGGTCGAAACGTCGTCGACGCGCACAATTTATGTACATAGTTCATGTGTGTTCATGTACTGTTTGTTTGTTTGTTTGTTTGTGTGTTGTGTATAAAAAACAAAAAATCCTTAAAAAATGGAAATTATTTAAAAACAATAACACAACACATTAAAACCAATTTAAAACAACATTTATTAAGCACAAGTCGTGCTCCCTGTGGGACCGGGGGAGCGTGTCCAGTGGGCGAAGGCCCGTGCATTCCCCGCTCCCCGCCGACCCAAGTAGGGCAATTTAGGGGAGACGGGATTCTTTCCCAAAACCTAACCCTAATCTGGCACACTAACCCTAACCCTAACCCTAATCTGGCACTAACCCTAACCCTAGTGGTAACCCTAACCCTAACCCTAGGCTAAGAATAAACATATTACTTCGATAATAAATAAATAAATAAATAAATACATTTCGGTTCTCTCTATATATTTCATGTTAAAAGGTTAAAAGAATAAATAGTGGTCTAAGGGTTAAAAGTTTAAACTAAAAACAGTACATAATTAATATGGAAAATACAAGAAATTCATTTAATTATTTGACAGGGACTATAAAACAGACAAGTGGGCGGGGAATATTCATTCTTTTTCAGACAGTTGCTTGGTGAACAACAGTTATTTAGCAGCCAGCAATTTTTCTTTATTCACAAGTATTTCCTTTTATTTCTTTCCTGAGAGGATAAATACAGAGAAGTGGGCAGGGACAATTCACTCTCGCTCAGCATTTATTTCATTGTGTGCCTTACCTGAAGAAGACCTAATTGAGGTCGAAACGTCGTTTAATTTGGCACACATTGTTTTTTGTACATAGTTCATTCATAGTTCATGTATAGTATCTTATTGTGTGTGTAAAAAACCTTAAAAAAAACAATAAAAAAATTAAAAAACATTTAAAAACACTAAAGAAGTTTAAAAACATTTTAAAAAAACATTTAAAAATACTAAAAATAGTTTATAAATCCTTTAAAAACCTGTAAAAACACTAACAATCTTAAAAAACACTTAAAAAACAAATATAAAACATTTAAAAACAGTAAAAAACACTAACCATCTAAAAACTTACCTCTTGAAGCCACTCCAGCATGAGTGGCTATGAACACGGCTGGACGGAAGTACGGCATGGCACAAAAGGCCAGCGTCTCCGCCAGCCTTTTCGGGACTGGGGAGGCGTTCCGTTGAGGAAGAAGGACCGTGCATTTTTGGCCCCTTGTGGGCGACAGGGGGCAATCCCCTCACCCAAACCCAAACCCATCTGGTACCTACACGGGGTAACGGGCCACTAGAGGCCGCCACTTAACAATAAATGTTCTTATCATTGGCCGTTTAAAACGATGGCTCGACGATGACAGCTCAACAAAACTGACATGGCTGAAGGTTTTAAAGCCCGCCCCCTCCATGGAAACAGATGGGACATGGGTTTGACTTTGAAACAAAAATTACAGGACAAGAAAAGAGTCGTGTCGTTCGTTTTCATCACGCTGATTTGTGTACAAATATTGTTAATCATCAATAAATTTGAGGTGTCAGTTTGGCGTCAAATACGCAAGATATCGGCACCAATTGTGGGGGTATTTTGGCTTCACTTTTCAATGTTTGGAGAAGGTGGATGCAGGTCGTCCATCTTTAACTCTAGTCAATAATCGTACTATGCCTATTTGAGAAATAGCAGCTGAAATCAAACAGTCGGTAACACGAAGGTCTCTCGCTAAGATTTAAGACTTATAAGAAAGAAGTAAATAGCTCACAACGATCACAACCAAAGAAAATCTAACAGAAAATCATCGATGATCACAATGACAGAAGTGCCGCAGCTATTAATAAGCGCAATGATCAAACAGAGCAGAGATCATGCAGGTAACTCATCATACTGTCGATCTGTACAGTTTTATAATCTGAGCCGTAACACTGCAGTGAGTCAAAGCGTCGGGAAATGAGTCTTTGGTTCAGTCTGAAAATGAAAATATGGACGATGAGACGTTTCACATGATCTGACTGACAAGAATTCATCCTCAGATAACGATACTGTCTGCAAGCTCTTCAACAAACAACCTCCACATGAGTGTTTCCTGTTCCACTCGAGCAACAACCACACTGAACATTCACCAACAATTCAACATTTGAGATTTTAGAAAATATATGTACAGGTATAATAAATAAGCGATAAACCCATCGCACGGTAGCATACAGGTGTTTTCTCACATGCTTTTAGTCCATTAGTCTTTGTGAAAGAAGTCTCTGTATTGAAAAAGGAGGAAGGGGGCGCTGGTCAGTGGAAACCACTACATGGAAGAGGGGAGGCTCCTGAAGAGAGGAGGTGGAGGTGGTGGAGGAGGAGGTTCAGCCCGGCTCGATATTCGTCCTCCAGCTGAGTGTCCAATTAACCTGCGGATGCAATCAATTAGACAGGCTGCAGACTGATGGGCCTGACACTGGAGGCAAAGGTAATCTGAGTCAGTAGAAACACGGTCAGTCATTACAGGGACGTCCTCAGGCTGCTCACTTCATTTCATTTCAACAGAGTCAAACCCCGGACACAGCTCAGTCACAGAAACGAAGACATCTGACCAGAGACTGGAGAGTTAAAGCTCCTGTGAGGAATTTTCTATTTGTGTTGCACATTATTACGCTAACTGAGGCCCATTTGGACACAATTCAGGGCTAATTTTACGGGTTCGAGAAGCGATCAGCTGATCCACATCAGCTGGATGAATTTCAGGCAGGTTAGAAATTTGGGTTGGCAGACTGCATCCACTCACAAAGGGACCTTACCCCCAGCTTCAGGGTATTTTGGGGGGGTCTGTGCAAAACAGCAGATAGTATCTGGAATCTCCATGACAACAAGCCCAATGATGGCGACATTAGGAATACTAGAAGAGCCTTTCAATCCATCAGCCTGTGCAATCTAACACAAGCAGAAAGGTAACAGTTACGCAAAATATTTAGACTTATTTCCCCAAATTCAACTGGAGTGCAGGACAGACATCTGTGACAGCTCCGTCTTCCACCTTGCCATTAGAAAAATTGTACCTTTAAAAGTCTGACCTTGGCTGATTTTGTCCTATATGTTGTAAAATTTTTATTTCTGACACAAACTCTCATCCTGCTTTCTCCTCTTGGACATTCGCAAAGTAAAATGTCAAGAGAGGAACCTTCTAGTCCTTTTAATCTTCTCATTTGGGGCCTGTACTGCGGTGGAAGCTTCATAGAGAGATAAATGTACCAATATAACGTCTTGTTTCAGCTTAAATGTGAGCATAATCAATAAATGTCTAATTTGGACTCTCAAACTGATGGAAATAATCGGGATGTATAACCAATAAAACTGCACTTTAGTAGAATACCCACTGAGCAAGACGCCTATTAGACGTCTAGTTTTTTTTTTTAAACCTAACTTCAACCGTCTAGATTCTGTATATTTTTGGACAGAATTTAGACGTTGCACTTTGACCGATTATTTCCGATCTCCAAATACTTAACCAAAATAATCATAATAGCCGTTAAGCAATATACAGTGTTTACCTCTGTTAGCCGGCTAGTCTAAACTTAGTCTAAATTTAACCGTCTACAAACTTTAATTTTTAGACCTGTGGTAGCCTGATTTTAGACTGGTCATCTAGGCTACATTTAGACGTCTGTTAGACCTCTTTTAGACCAAAAAATGCTCAGTGGGTAGCACTGGCCGGATATAGGATGTGTTAAAACATGATACAGATGTACTCATTTATCATAAATACTCAGTGCACAGTCACCGTAAACATTTACCTAGTAAGAAACCGCCTGTTAGCTAGTTTGCAGTCTGTTAGTTACGATGCTAACTAAGCTAAAGTTCAAATTTGGACATTTTGGAGCAGATTCTGGACGTACATTGTCAAAAAAACTGAAGATTTTTGCAGGTTAATCAGCTAATAAGGAGATTCAGTGGAATAAATGTGTTCCCAGTTGTCCCTCTCGTCCCTGCACATGCAGAAGTGAAAATGATGCATTAACTTCAGCCGCTCAAAAAGTCCTCACAGGAGCTTTAAATTAAAAATTTGAGGGTAAAATTAAACTTTCATGATGTTGGAATAGTTTCCAAGCATAAAATCAGATAAATGAAATGAAAGACAAAGCCATTCCTTCTCCAAGTTTGAACCTTAAATTTGTGCTTCTTAGAGTAACAGTCATATTCCGTATTTCTGTTGTGTTTCCACCCTATTTGGACGCTCATCCTCTTTTTGTTCCACAAACACTGAGTTGTATTGTAATGAATCATCAGCTCTTTGTCCTATATCTGGGTTTTCAGCATGAAAACAAATCGACACGTGCCACAGAGAGCCATGTGCACTGAAATCTGTTGTCCAAATGTACACAAAGCAGCGGATTTCACTGACTTACACACGTCTGAGTGATAAACCGCTCTGGGCTGGAGCACAGATGACAGGATCGGGTTCGATTTTGGAGATATTTGTGAAAAAAAATGAAAATAATCTGATTTATCTTATCTTTTATTTCTGCTTTACTGTCTTTTAGCTTTTGTTCTACTTGTACTCTTTTCTTAATTAACCCTTTAGGCCTTTTATTGTTTGCTCTATTTTATCATTACTATTATTATCATTGTTGATATTGTCTTTTATATTTACAATCCTGTTTTCGCTTTCGACCCTCCTTTTAATTGCATTTTCTATTTTCTTAACTATTTTTATTTTGGTCCTCATGGTCTCATTTTAGGTTCTTGTATGACATGAAAACGGCCTTTAATTCTGTTTTAAATTAGCTTTTTGTTTTTATCTGTGTGCTCTATAACTATATATCAAAGCACTTTGTAACTTCTGTTGTTAAAAGTGCTATACAAATAAAGTTAATGTCATTGTTTATGGGGATATAATGTATTTTGGTGCTCATTGTGTCAGTCCTTCATGCGTATTTTCCCTTTTGTGTTTATTTACTGTGACTCCAAATGGATTATATGAGAAAATTGTTTCCATTTGTTAGAAATTATTGCAAAAATTATCACATTTTTTAAACCAGTTGCAGTTTTTCTACATCTGCCAATCTCTGTGCATCTATTTTTGATGAGGGGGGAGCCCTCCGTGTGGAAATGTCAAACCTGCCTGAGGATGGATATATCCGGTATGATTTCACCTCCATGAGTGGGGGGGACACACACAGAGGCAGGGTCCCAAACTTTTCTGTTTTTTTTTTCAGGATAAATCCACATTTTGTCCCTTCAGGTAGAAGAAGAAGAATCACTCAGGGTTTGACTGAACGTGATGGTGGAAACAGACGTCCTCTTTTAGGGCGCAAATATCCAGGGGGGTTAAAACAAAACCAGAAAAAAAAAAAAACACGGGTCCTTTAATATGCGAGGGGATCCCCAGGTGGTCCCCGGACCTGGGGACCCCCTCCTCAATCACGCTTTCTCTCGTGCTGTCTTACCGCTAATGGCGCACCAACGTCCGCGGGACTCGCCGCAGGTCACGCAACGTTCGGCGCGCTGCGGACCGTCTTCTGCCCGGGCATCTGCACCACGAGCAGCTGCTGCTTCTGCCGGGTGGACTTGACGGCCAGGATCGCCTGCCGGTTCTTGTACTGGACCATCTGCAAGGTGATCTCCGCGTTCCAGCCCTCGTCCTGCGGGCACCTGAAGTCGATCTCCTTCCCCTCCGTCATGACCACCGTGAAGTACACGTACTTTCCCTTCCGCTTCACGCAGTCCACCGTCTTCATGTTGGCGAAGTGCAGCTCCTTGACTTTGCCCGCGTCCCCGTGGTGGTGGTGCTGCTGCGGGGGGTCGTGCTGTTTGGGCGGCAGCAGCAGCACGCCGTCCTCGGTCAGGACGCAGTGCTTCTTCTTCCAGAGCTGCAGCAGCCCGTCGCTCCTCTTCTCCAGCAGACCCTCTTTGAAAAACCTTCCTGCCGTTTTCCAGCATCTTCTCCCGGACGCTTCAGGCTTCCAGCTCCACGGCTGCAGCTGCTGCACAGAGCGGGTGGAGAAACAGAGGTGTGAATGGATGGATGGAGGGACGGACGGGTGTTTATGCCGGTGCAGGTGGAGGCATGAGCCGCTGCTGTAGCTGCGATGGTCGTAGTGAGGAGGCAGCCTGCCTGTCTGACTGTCTGGATGCTGGTCACAGTGTGTGAGGGGGGCGGGAGGGGTCTGCCGGAGATGTGCACCGCCCCCCTCAGTGACACCCAGCCCCCTGAGAGTCCAATATCAGCTCACGAACCAGATCCTGCTCAAAAAGGAAGCTGATTCATGACTCTAAAATTTGGGTTTGGTAGTTTTTTTTAACCCCTTAATGAAAAACATGAATAAGTAAAAACTCTGAAGTTATTCAGATTCTTAACTGCATTTATTCAGCCTGAGTTCTTCCATTCTAATTTAGTGTCCCTGATTTTTTTTAAGTGTGTTTTAGTGTTAAATATATATTTTTTTTGATGAACACATTTACATTAAATCAAGTCTTATTGTCTTTGTGTAAGAATCAGGATTATTAACATATACAGTCTATGGCTATTTATGGTGGCCGAGAACTGCCACTGCTGCAAATAAAAAAAGAGTGAAAAAAAAGCGGGTGATGCAAAAAAAAAACTTAACTTTTTTTTCCCATCACCATTTTTTTTTGTTTTGCGTTACTTTCCATTGCGCCTTTTTTTTTTTTTCAATCTGCACTGTTTCTTTTTTTAATTTGCTTCAGTTTCTCGCTCTTTTTTTTGCACCAGTAAACTCCTTTGTGACACCTTTTTTTGCATTTTTTAATTTGCATTTTTTAAATTTTTTAATTTATTTTAAAAAATGTTAAATCAATGCTCAAAAATCAAAATAAAGATCCTACGACCAATAAAAATAATAGTGTCAAAACGTAACAATCCACATAATACAGAAATGTTTTATAGAAGGCAACATTTCACACCCTCCCAAAATTTTTTTACTACATTCCAAAATGTTTCACAAAATGCCTAATTTTTTCCCCCATGAAACTGAAAGATACTTTACAAAACAAAAAAATATCATAAATGAAACACTGACAATTTCATAATATACAAAAAATTTTCAAAAATTACAAAACATTTAAAAAAATAAAAAAAAACATGCTGGTTTTCTCTACTTTTTTATTTATCTGTTGATGCCAATTTTTTTTTTTAAAAAAGCTCACATTTTTTTCAATGAAATCTTTAGATGTAATATATTTTGTGATATTTTTGTTTCATAAAATGTTTAAACTTGTTTGTTCTTTCGGTTAAAAGGTTGATGATTAGTATGTTTGCTTTATTAGAAATGTTTTAATGTTTCCAAAAATCTTGATGTTTTCGATTAAATGAGTCTGCAGCTGCCCTTCAGGGCCACCGTACCTCTCACATCCATGTACTTACCCAGACTCTCTTTAGAAGCTTTGTTAAATTCAGATTCACAGTCTTACTTAAAAAGCAGAAGTGAGTTCGTGTATTTTACCTGAAATTCTGCTCAGTGGAGGTTTACGGATGAAGTCTGTGAATAATCTGTCTGTCCTCCTGAAATAATGATCCATTAACAGAAGCACTCGCATTAAATCAAGGTGACCCGTCTCTGTCACGTCCCGCATTAATTCATGAATTTAATCACCATGACTCATGCATGAGTAAAGCCTTACGTAAGTCTATTTGTTCCCTTTTTATGGAGTGTAACCATGTTTAATCAAAGCTGAAACGCACATAAAGTGGATTCATTTACGTTTCTAACTTTGAGGAGGATCATCACATCATTACTAACAGGAGTAAAGTCGTCTTAAGTTTAACAGTATGTGGTGATTGTTTTACAGATTTGTTTTGCAAATACCAACAGCCTGCTGCTCTGTAGTCAGGCAGTTTGTTTCCCATTCATGTAATGTTCCAATGAGGCGTTAGTGTTATAATTACCTCAGTGTTACCAGCTGTAATCTAAGTGTTGAGCTGCTGTATTTTAAACCTGCTCCTCTGTTGCTGCCCTCTCCCAGCTTTGAGCTGATTACACAGCTCTCCGTGTGCATGTGTGGTATTTAAAGTGGTCACTACATTACAAACCATTTTCCCCACGGAGGTCAGAGGGTGCACTGTGTGGTGCAAACTCACAGCGATGGCGCCCTCTACTGGCAAACAGGTGTAAAAAGCTTTGTGTGAAACTAGAAAAATTGAAGTAGGTAGGATTTTAGGGTGAGGAAAAGTGGGTTTAGTTTTTATCATCTTAGACTCTCTCAAAATGTTTGTGGAGGACTTTTTTATGTTTGTTATAGTTTGATGAACAGGAAAATCAGAGTAATTGGTGGATTGGAGGTTTTACATAATGAATCTTGAATCTCTGAGGTCACAATGCCTCAAATGGCTCAAATACACATGAAAAAACTTGAATTTTTTCTCCTGTTAAGTTTATTTGAACAATTTTTAATCATTTAAGACCCTAAGTGACAATGTTTCTGATTAATTACAGATCTGATGACCCTACGAGATTAAGGCCCTGTTTATACGTACCTGGTTATTTTAAAAATGGAGACATTAACCCTTCTTTTCGACGCAAACAGAGAAACAATGCTTTTTAAAAAACTTGAGAGTGGAGATTCTGGAAAACTCAGTTTGCACTTTTGCATGTAAACAGAGAAAACCTGAGATTTGGGTAGCCAGAACAGATGAAACAGTGTCACTACAAAAGCAGAGGATAAACATATCATTGTCACCAGTCAGAGAGATCGGTGAAAGATGTCACCACAAAAAAGGGAGGAAATCAACATGACAAGGTCGAAACCCAAATCTCTGACAACCGTGAAAAGGTGTTTGAGAAAGGCTGGTCTGAAGGGTTGTGTATCAGCAACAAACCCACAGAACAAGAAAGAGAGATATGAGTGGGTAAAAGCTCACAAAAACTGGACTTTTGATGAGTGGAAACAAGTTTTCTGGACCGATGACAGCAAGTTTGAACTGTGTGGTTCAAAACACAGAATCTGTGTCCGCAGACAAACTGGCGAACGTCTGAAAGCTCCATGTGTTACACCCACAATTCAGCATGGAGGTGGTAGTTTCATGGTATGGGGATGTTTTGAAGGTGATGAGAGTAGGAAATTTGTCTTAAGACAAATCATGAAGAAGGAACAGTACCACTCCATCCTCCAGCACCATGCTGCTCCATCTGGACTCAGACTTGTGGCTCATCAGTTTGTTTTGCAGTAAGACAATGACCCTAAGCTCTCTGCCGAGCTCTGTCAGGGTTACCGAGACAAAAAAGAAGAGGAAGGTGTTCTTCAAAAGATGGTTTGACCCCCTCAGTCTCCAGACCTTTGTCCAATTGAGCTTGTGTGGGATGAGTCGGATCGATCAGTCAGAAAAGCACGTCCCACGAATCAGCAGTCTCTTTTTAATGAACTTAAAGCTTGGAATGAAATCCCTGGAACAGACCTTTGAAAACAAACCTTAAAAAAAGAATGACTCATACATGCCAAGCTGTTGTTAAAGCCAGAGGAGGTTACTCTAAAGAAAGCAACATCTAATCAACAACAAGTGAAATACCTAATAATTCGAGTCAAGGGCTACGTTCACGCTAAAGGTCAATTCTGATTTTTACATCTAAGTGTGAACAGTGCAATTCTGATTTGTTCTGATCCGACCCTCTTTTGTATGTGGATATAAATCAGATATGTATCCGATGTGACTGCAGTGTGGACGCTCGGGTCGCGTTCATCCAACCTATACGTCATCAATATGCGACAAACGTCACCATTATTCGACAACACAAACAGGCACGGAAAGACATTTGTGCTTTGTGCGCATTCCGTCCACATTAGATGCTGCATTCTTTGTTGTAATGCGAACGACGGCACAAAAAGATCGGATTTAACAAAAAAATCCGAATTGTGCATCATAGTGTAAATATAGCTAAAATGTCTTCTGATAAGTTACTCTTTACACAATTATCATGTTCACTTTGTTGAAAATTATGAAACTATGATCCTTTTTTGCACAGATCTGATCTTGCTTCCAAACTTTTGGCCTGTAAATGTATATCCTGTATATTTATATGGATAAAAAAAGAGTCGACCATCCCAGCCATGTTTAACCAATTTATTCATGAACATACACGTACAGTTATTGAGTACATTAGTATTTTTGTAGCATAGCATTTTGCCTTGACAACAGCTGCTCAGAAGGACCTCACAGATACCTTCTCGTCCTTTTTTTCTTTTCTTTTTTTTTCCTCCAATAAACATGATGTGTGAATACTCCCTGCAGAATGAGAAGTACCCTGCTCTCCACTGTGGACAGCCAGCGCGTGGCTGTTTGCACGACTTAAAACGAAAAGGCATTGAAGGATGGACAGGGTGGTGGGAGGAGGAGGAGGGCAGGCTACGGTTTCTTCTCGGTCCCCCTCCTGGCGTTAAGTATTGCTCTGACATGCTTCTCTGTGGCCTTCTGGGTAACAGAGGAGGGGGAGGTTTGGGGTTTCAGGGAGGGTGGTGGGTCATTGGCCGCCATGACGGCCTTATCACACATCCCCTCTCTTTCTTTCACAGTGATTAATAATGAGCGAGACCTCAGGGGTCCGTGTGAGTCACATTGATGACACGAGAGGTAAACTGATCAGAAAAAAGGGGAGTTTTTTGTTTTTCCTCGTCTTTGCTGTGCTACATCTGCCCGGAGCCTCTCTGAACAGCCCAAGTGCGCCCCCTTCTGGTAAAAACCAGCAGGCACAGGTTGGACTCTCCACAGAGCGCGGTTACAGCACTGAAACAGAAGTGCTGCTCACAAGGAATACTCAGACAGCTAAGGACGCCACTGGTACACCACACGCAAGTACAAAGTGCTATAAAAGACGACAGAAACGCCACTGCGAGCCTACGAGGAGCCTGAAGCACTAGGTTATCGTGATGCCGTCCCGCTTGTTTCCACGTGTTAGGAATCCACTGGAATGTTAAGAGACTCTGGGAACGACAAATCCTTTTTCTGTCAATTTAAAAACGTCCAGTTATAGAGAAGTGGATCGATACTGACGGTGCCAGCCAGTCTGCTTTACTGGAATGTATCAAGAGTGGAAAGGATCTGAGCACAAGTGCTGCAGAAGTGGCCGAAAACACGCCAACTCCGTCTCCTGTGCTCAGCGAGATTAGATAGTGGAATAGACGACCGGCTGCGGGTCGCACGTCTGTCTCTCCTCCGTCACTCGACCTGGAAATGCTACAGTGCTTTTACAAGTGCTAGAGGCCCTGCTAAGAGTGAAAAACAACCAGCAGATCAACCCGGAGCTTTGGTAGGAGGAAGAAGAGGGAGAGAAGAGGGGAGGGATTATTGTCAATTGACACGATGCAGTCTAAACCACAGCTGTTGTCTAAGAGCAAATACAACAAAAGACTTCACAAGAACCCAAACTAGTTTTTTTTTGTGTTTTTAGCAGTGAAGAAACAAGTTCATGCTGTTTGTTTGAGGGAGTTTTTTTTCCTGTATTCTATCTAGTTATTGTACAGAGAAGGAGAAGAGAAGGAAAAAACAGGTCTAGTAAAATACTATGTATATTGAGCGACACAGCTCCCAGTATATTACCATGAGTTTTTGTAACAAAAATCTTGAAACTTTTTCTTTTTTTTTCTTCAAATTCTCTACCAAGAAAAATACAAAACATTATAAGGCGGTAAGTAACTATTTTTTAATCTGGTTTTTTTTTCCTTTTTGTTGTTGTTGTAATTTTTGAAGCCGTTACAGTGCAGTTGATCCTCAAGGCAGCCGGGCCGGGCTTCACTGCTGCTTACACTCAGCTGGGGGGGCTGCATCCTTCTGCAAGAGACCACAGAGGAGGACGGGGAGGATGGGGGGGGGGGTTTCCATTAGACCGGAGACACGCAGACGAGACCAGAAGCAACATGTACAAAGCTGCGACAGAATCTACACATCTGAAAAGTTCTCAGACGACTTTGAACACGAGCGACATCGTTCACAGATGTGAATGTGGGGGCTGTGACGCACTCGGATCAAAACTATGACAACTGTGGGATGTCACGTTTGCATCCTCATCGAGGTGATGATTACAGGAGTGTGTACGCACAGTAGACCTTATTCTGTTTCCTCAACTTTTACGGTTCTGACATTTTGGGAAATCCGCTTGCTTCAAACTGATCGTTGGAATAAATCTGCAGAGTCTAGGATTAAAAAGAGTTTGGCTGCGACTTTTAGTGCTTTCCTAAAAAATCTAATTCCCATAATTCAGAAGTGCTCAATGTTTACACCTCTATTACTCCTTCGAGACTTAGCTGCAGAGGTTTTAGTGGCAGGTGGATCCAAACACCTCTTGCGCTTCTACAACACCGTAATGTTAAATCTGCAGCAGAATCAGAATAAAAGTCCAAAAGCGTAGAGCGCTAGTTTGGCCTCGTGGTTAAGTTGCGTGCCCCGTGCACAGAAGCTGGTCCAGGTTTGGATTCCAGCCTACAGCATCTTTCAAAAGCCTGAATTTACGGCTGAAAGTACAGAGGTGTGACTTTGTTATAGCTATGTTACAGATTTGCAGTACAAAAAGAGCAAACAGAGGATGATTTGGGGCGGTAAACTAACCTTCTTCAGGACTGAATTAATCCTGCATAATGTCAGAAAAATACTGGATAAGTATTAAGCTGTTAGCAACACCACCATACGCTTTGATACACGCCATTAAAACAAAATTTGTGTAAAGTATTTGTCATCTAAAAAGTGAGCTAACCGATGCACCTCTAACATGCAGTTGTTTATCTGTGTTACACTATTTTACCCTGAAGATGGCGCTCTGCTTCAATGAGTGACAGCATCACTTTGACACCTTTTCCCTTATTTGGTGATAAACTTAAACATCTGTAAAGAATCTGCTGCATGTTTTCCTACAATCTTTGTTTTTGTAAAGGAAAGCAGCGTCCTCAATCCTCTACGAAAGAGGATCCACAAGAATTTTGGGGATTACAGTCGAAATTTCTAGATTAAAATTTTAAATTTAGAGATGAGTCTTAATTACGAAACAAAAAGAAAAACAAAATGATGTCAATAAAGTAAAAATTTCCAGATTAGGAATTTAAATTTTGAGATTACAAAATGTGGTGAATAATGTCAAAGTTTCGATATTGAAAAATGTAAAATTTTAAGATTAACGCCAACATGAATCAAGTGGAAATTTCGAGATTGCAAAATGACGTAAATAATGCTGAAATTTTGAGTTTGTAAATACTTTAAAATTGGATTTAGGAACAGGGAAATCCTCGCTCTTTTAGCGCACAGTGTGGTCATAAATATTCGGACTCTGAAAAGACAGTCAAAGATGACGGCTCTACAGAAGAAAACAAAAAAACAGACAAAATTTAAGGACTTTTATCTCGAAATTTCTATTTTTTCATGTTGACTTTTTGAAGTTTCGACTTTAATCTCGAAATGTAAATTTAAAAAGTCTCTCTCCTGTTATAATTTTTCTCTCTCCTTGTGGCCCTAATCCTCTTTCGTAATCATCAGATTACACACTAAATTATGATTGGTACTGATCTCATGGTCCGGCTCTGTGCGGCGAATCAGTCAAGTGTATTTCCCAAAATGTCAAATCAATTCATCCAAACCGGGGAAACCAGGACTTTTTAGATCTTCCTCTTTCTGTCCCGTCTTTATTCTATTTCTCGCTGACTTGCGGTGTTTAATATCATGCTGCAGTTACAGGAAAATAAAACGGAAACCTCAGACTATTGTACTAAAACCAATTATCTGCCAAAAACAAAGAAAAGAGTGGAGTCAATAAAAGGATGAGGAGAGCACAGAGATCATTCGCAGCCCGTCATACTGGGGGTGGAGGGGGTGGGGGCGTCCTTCCAGGAGACATTAGACACTTGTGGAGGTGATGGCACACTGGCTGAGCAGCGTTAGGGTCGTTTCAGTCATTGTGCGACAAGTTGGGCTAAAAATAGTTTCCTGTGCGAGACACGATTTCTCACCAAAATGTCTGCAAAGACTTCCTGTGAAGTTTCCAATGAAATCTATAAAAATATGTTACTGCTGACAATGACTGCACCCAGGGGAGGTTCGACAAACTCCTCCTCAGCTTTTATTCTATTTTAGTGATCGGATAAATTTAGTTTAGGGTTTATTTAAAACACTAGATGAAGATCTAGGCGGCTCAAAAGGACTAATGTCAACAGGAAGGAGGATCAAACTCATGGACGAATAATGTTCAGATGGGTTTAAAAACAAACATCCATGAAATAACAGCACAGATTTCAATGCTTATCCTGACAAATCTGATCAAAACTAACCCGAGTTTTTGTGTTTTTTTAACATGGAGACAAAAAGAAAAAAGGGAAGGTCGGACTAGCTTCAACATACAGAAAAAATACAGGTGCAAATGCAAAAAACTCACTATGGGTTAAACTGCAAAAACCAACAACAAACCAGAGGGTTAGTAACTGGGAAAAGGTGCAGCACGGCGGCGGAGGAGGAGGAGGATGAGGATGAGGATGTGAAGGGCGGGAGGTGCAGAAAGGAGGATGGAGGGATGGGAAAACAAGAAGAGGAGGAAAAGGAGGGTGAAGGTGTGATGGTAGTAAGCTGACAAAGTCACAAGCTGTACCTACCAGGATAGGGTTATTTTTCTACAGTCACCATTTAAACCTAGTGAGGAAAAATTTAAAGAGTCGCTGACAAAAGATGCCAAAGTGACCGGAGATGAAGAAACATTAATGAATAGGAGAAAATAAAAATAAAAAATAAGCAAAAAACTAGCAGAATACAGAATGTCAAAGGCGTTTTTTTTTTTTCTCTTTTTTTATTCAGCGAAGAAGCGAAGGTCATGCTTGTTTTTATGGTGGAGTGTCAAACTGTCAAAGCTGCTCCAGTCTGGCAGAAGAAGAAGAAGAAAAAAAACTTTGAGAAAAGAAACCCTGAACCGGTACGTGCAGAGGCGTCACACTGACATGTTTTAACTTCACTGAGCATGGCGAGAGTTTAACCGACTCGCTCTGAATTAGGATTATAGACGTCTGCAGAAGTTGGGTTTTGGATGTGTGTAGGTAGGCTATGGTCTCATGTCCCTTTAAGAAGCTGTCCTACGTCAGAGACGTGACTCCACCCTAAACCCGGTAACAAAGAGGGAAAGACAGGTGAGGAGATGGAGGACGGTTCAAAATCGTCATCGTTATTGAGGTGAATTGATTAATATATCGTGATATTGATTTGAGGCCATATCGCCCAGCCCTACTCCTCTCCTCACAGCTTTGTTTTCGTCTCAAGTGATCGATGTCCTGACAGATAAGTCAAATTTATCAGAACTTCAACATAAATCCATCAGGACTATACTTCAGGGAGAACTTTGATGTTCGGAGTTTAACTAACTAAAAAATCTCTGAATTTTAAATCAAAGGTCGAAACTGGAACCGGTTCTTGATACCCAAGCGGTCGCTGAAGTAGACGAAGTTAACGTGGGAGGGGGTGAGCAGCTTGTGGAGTAGTTATCGTCCATTTATCGATATCAAGGTGAACTGATCAATATATCATGATATTGATTTGAGGCCATATCGCCCAGCCCTAATTAGGACACACTTTTCTGCAGCCCGGTACAAAAAATTTCATCTCTTCGTCTGATTTTATGTAGATTTAAAGTTCAGTTAGAGCAGCTGACCACCATCGCTGGGCCTCATTTAGCCTCTAATAAACCAACGAGTGTCGCCTTTTAAGACTAAACCCAAATTTTATTAGTGTCAGCAGCAGACAAAGTTTACTGTTAGAGAAGTTACGGGTTTGAAACAAAAACATATCAGTGTGGGTGTAGCCTTTAGTTGACAGGATCTGTGTTTTATGTCGGCTGGAGGTTCAGGTTGAAGTTTTAGTAACAACATGCAGCAGAATCACAGGTCAGGGTCTTATTGTTTCGTTTTGCTCTGGAGGCCGGATCAGGATCAGGACGTTAAAATAAAAGCTGAAGCAAACCAAAGCTGGAGTAAAATGAGATGCATTTGACAGTATGTATTCTGTATGTTGAAATCTTGTCGAATCATTTAAAAGACAGCTGTTCTCTACCTGCAGCTCAGAAACTCAGAGTGTGAGAAAAGTTTGTAAGTTTAGTTCGACTCGACCTTAAGAGGAGCTGCTTTACTTAAGAGAGAGAGAGAGAGAGAGAGAGAGAGAGAGAGAGAGAGAGAGAGAGAGAGAGAGAGAGAGAGAGAGAGAGAGAGAGAGAGAGAGAGAGAGAGAGAGAGAGAGAGAGAGAGAGAGAGAGAGAGAGAGAGAGAGAGAGAGAGAGAGAGAGAGAGAGAGAGAGAGAGAGAGAGAGAGAGAGAGAGAGAGAGAGAGAGAGAGAGAGAGAGAGAGAGAGGGAGAGAGAGAGCGTCCTGAGTCAACAAAGTAGAGAAGAGCTGAGTCAGGTCTTTACGAAGACACCTGAGATCTTTAGAGGGGGAGGGGCTGTGAATGTGTGTGTGTGTGTGTTCTGAGAGGTGATCTCACCTTGGGATCATAGTCGGCGTCGTTCTCCTCATCAGCCTCCTCCTCGCCTTCCTGCAAACGCAGCACAGAGACACTTCAGACCGACGACTCGACACGACAACAGAGTTTGAGAGTTTGAACCCTCAGCTTTTCTGCAAAGAATCAGTCTTACGGGGAAGTCCATGATTTCCAAAACCACACTCCACAGTTTTATTACAAAGTTCTCCTTATTTTTGGATCCTGTTTAGTTTCCTCTTTCCACGATGAAGCAACAAACTCTTCACAAACATTCGTTTTTGGAGGACATCTTGAGCTCCTACTTCAGATTATTATGAATTATTTATCTGCGTAGCTTCTTGGTTCATCTTTCCTTTCGCGGAGCTGAAAGAGTTAACTCCATTATCTTTGTATCTGTCGCCATCGATCTCCTGTATGTTGTGTGTGTTCTGTAGCTGTTAATAGTCTTACCTCATCATCGGCTTCCTCTCCCTCTTCATCATACTGCAAAACACAAACATGAAGATGAACGAGGAAATACTCCAAACGAGACGGGATTCATTTGATTCAAGGACAAATTGGTAATTAAACAGCTTTAAAAAAAAACAGGGAATCCTCCTTTAAAGCAGGTGATAAATATCTCAGCGACAAAGAAGCCAAAGAAACCATCTTTTCTTAATTATTATCAGAAAGTTCCTTCGACTCTCAGCAGGATAAGAAACTTAAAGAGGGTTTGCATTTGAATCCTCCAAACAGCCTTGTTTACTGGAGCAGGACGCCAACACTCACATCATCGTCGTCGTCCTCGATGGCCTCTCCTGTGAAGTAGAGCACGGCTCGAGGAACGATCCGCTCACGGATGAAGTGGCCGATTTCAAAGTCCGCAGCCAGGACCGCCTCCGAGTCCTCATCCTGGACACAAACAGGTCACTTACAGTTTAATCTTGATGTTATATATTGAGTTATCAGTGTCTTTAGGTTTTAAACTCTTTTTAAGAGCTGGTTTCAACCTGTAGCGGATCAAAACACCTGGGGATGTGGACTTTCTTTTCCTTGTTTGGTGAATTCTTCCGCAGCCGTTAATCAAACCAGGAGAAATTAACAAATCCTAATACACCAATAAACTGCTGGACTGAATCAGCTTAATTTCTCTTATTATTTTTAATGTCTATCTGACGCTTTCAACAACTTTAACCAAGTACTGTATATATACCTTTATGTATTAAAGTATTTAACCCTTTCATTCATATTGGTCACTACAATGGACAGATATTCAAAAGGTGTTCTTTAGTGTATGTGTGGATTTTATTGTTGTAGCTTTAGTTCAGTTCTGGTTTGAGCCCTGTCCGTTTTTTCCATATCTTCAAAGTTAGAGTCAGACTGAACAGAGGTCGTAGAAAAGCAGAAACACTGAAAACTGTCGCTTTCTCAGAAATCTGCAGTTTATTAGTTCGCCGCTAAGTTCAACATTTTTGCATGACTTTGAATATGTGTTAAGAGTTTATTAAAATCTAAGAAGACATAAAATTAGCTCCTCTAAACAGTTTTAACGGATTATGATTTTTGGGCATTTGTTTGTTTGATTCATATTTAATTGTTAAAAACTCAAATACATGGTGTCCAGCTGTATGGACATTTTTGTAACTGTGAAAAATGGGTTCCTGAAAAAAATTTCAATTGCATCATTTTTTTATTTGCCTAAAAAGGGATAAAAACACAAAAAATCTTCTCTGAAGATCTCATCATTCATGTATGAAAGGGTTAAGGATCAATATGAACCTCCTTTTCTGAGTGGAGAGTTAAAAGATTCAGAGACAGAACATCCTGGTTACCATAGTAACTAATGGTAGCCAGCCACCCTGCTGCTGCCAACTGTGCACACATAAAAACAGTGTTGTGATTGGTCGGGACGGGCGTCTCGAGCGATAGTGCTCTTCGATTTTCACTGGTAACTATTCGAACATTATTCAAAGATCGTTGTTTGCTGTGGCGTTCATCAGGTGACAAAGCTCGCCATTGACTGTTGATCTGCGGACAGCGCTCCACGTTTTGCTGCGTGGTCAAATCGACATTTCTTCCTGGTCAATTTGTGACCTTGCAGAGTTTGCACTTCAATTCATTTCCGTTTTGAGTCCCTGCATGTTTCTGCTGTTTGTATGATTTGCAGCGTTAACTGGAGCGACTTTTAGTGTTACCACGTTATTTCAAGGTGCCGGAAACTTTTTTTTTTTTAAGAAACAAAACCATCGTCGCATCAACTATTTGATTTTTGTGAATGTTAACGACTATTTGAATACACAAAAATCATTGCCCATCCCTCCTGATTGGGAGTATGTGATCCTGCGGGGAGTATTCAGGACAACAAGACGGTTTACGTGGGACCGAACAGAAGAAAAGAAAATGATTTCATCCTCAGGTTCATTATTCTGCTTCTCGCGGTTCGTTACACGTCGAGTCAGACTGATCAGACTTGTCCAAGTACGAAGAGTGAAAGTGTGTCGGAGTGAAAACTTTGCAGGATAAAACCAACAGCCGCAAACAAACGAGTGAAAGATAACCGAGGGAGCGAAACGTTTGCTTCCTTTGACTAATTAATGAGCTAATTAAAGATTAAAATGCATGTTTGAAAGCGCAGTGACTTACCAACTCTCCGTTTTCTGGAACTGTAAACAAGAGGAGATAATTGGGGTTAGTGTGACAGACACAGACAGCTCTTTGTATGAATGAATGAATGAATGAAATGAATGACTGTGGTTTGATCGCCCTCACCCTCTGGCGGGGTGAAGAAGTTGAAGAAGGAGTCGTTGGGGACCGTTTTGGTGACCGTCCTCACTGTGCCACGGCCCTTGTGCTTCTGCTTCTTCTTGATTGTTTTCAACGTGACGTTCTTGCCCTTCGTCCAGTCGATCGTGCAACTGTTGTGAAACATGAGGGGGCGGCGGCGAGAGAGCGAGAGAGAGAGAGCGAGGTCAGTTTTCGAACATTTTAAATGACAGCTCGGGTTTATTTATGAAGAGAGCAGCAGAAAAGGTCATCGATTTCCACTCAGAGATGATTCAGAGGGAAAAAAGAAGGCGAGATACTGAAGAGGGTTTATTAATGATGATGCAGGGAGAGATTATCAAAATGTGACGGATGCGACGGAAAGGTGTGTTCAACTTTGACCCTGTCCTGACAGATTTACGCTGAATGAGACCATTTCTGATCTTTAACAGCAGGACAACGAAGTGATTAACCCTCCGTTCCTTATATGTCCATTTTGAGGACATTTGTCATTTTTGTCGTCTTTATTTTGAGCTGAGAGTCACACTTTTAAAGATTGGGGCGTCAAATTAAGTGAGAGATCTTATTTTTCTTCATATTAAAAAAAAAAATGTCGCCTGTAGTTCTCCGTCGCCGCATTTTAGCTCCATCCACCCCTTGGAATAGACTTCCATTAAAAACGCATTATTTGACTGTGTGTTTATGGCACCAAAACAACTTATTACAACCTTCTTTTTGAAGTCAGTCGATCAGCAGGGCTCTAAATTTGACTTTCCGACAGCGATACAACAGATTGAACTGGCATATAAGTCTTCAATCATGGACTGAGAGCGTTTGAAGCGCAGTGTTGGACAAAGAGAGGGGGACATTTGGACGATTTCACCTTTGCCCTCATTTCGGAGCGAGTGGATGGACATGCATGAGGATGAACAGGTCCTTCAGATCATTAGATGGGAAGATATCACATCTCAAATATGCTGTTATTTTCTATATGAGCGCAATCAGCGTGATCGTGGTCATATCTTGGATAGAGGTGGATAAACACTTGTAAATGATTCTCACCTTTTATATATATGTTCTGAATTCATTTACCTATATTTATAATTAATTTAATATGAACAAATGAATTTGATCGTATTTGATTCGGTCGAGGACGAGGCTCGAGAAAAGGAGGTGAAATTGGCGTGGTTTTTTTTCTGCTCCAATCAACTCAGCTGTTTAGAACGCACACTTTATCAATAAATACAAGTCTTAAGACACAAAGGGTGATACATCAAGTTTTTTGCTAATTACTTTAATAGTTGGGGATGAAGTTGTTTAAGAGGTATTGAAAAAGTAAAAGAAAAAAGGTTAAAAATTATTTTATGTACGATTCTCTGCATGTCTGTTTTGGGGACAAAGTAGGCTGGATAAAGCTCAAAATTGACAGGAACGAGGGTTAAATAAGAGAAAAGACGATTCAGACGGGTAAATAATCTTCAGTCCCTTCCTCAAAAGGTACAAGGAGCACCCACCCTGTGCAGGACATGATCTCTGGTCCGTCAAAGGAGAAGGGGTCGCTCTCGTCGGGCTCTGACCTCATCTTGTAGGTTTTCGTCAACACTGTATTTGTGAAGAAGTCGTTGGGCTCAAAGTGGAACTCTAACGTGAAGCTCTGAGGAGGAGAAGACCACAAGAGTTAGGGAGGAAGTCGGACCGATTTCACCGATTTAACATGGAGAGTGGTTTTTGCAGACTCACCATCGGCTGTCCTGGATCTGAGAATTTTACTTTAATATCTTGTAAATGTTTAAGGATGGGTTCATCGTGTTCCTGAGGAAAAAAGAGAACATGATTAGAAAACGACTGTTCCTTTTTCCACCAGCAGGTGGAGGCAAACCCTGATTTTTCATCTCTGTGAGCAAACGCCGTGTGTTTGTGTGTGTGACCTATTTTCCACCGACCTGCAGCATGTCGCTGAGCAGGTCCACGTTCTTGAAAACCGTTAACCAGAACTCAGGGATGCCTTTGGGATCTTCCTTCTCCTCGTCTTTCTTCTCCTCCTCTAGCTTGGCCTTCTCCTTCATCTCATCCTGTTCAGGGGGAGACATTTTCTCTTCAAAATAACGCTTGCTCCACAGTTTCTCTCCGCACACATCACCAGAGCTTTTCACCATGCAGACCCACAAAGACGGGACGGAGGATTTGGGATTAAACAGGAGGAAAAATAAAACTGAAAATCCACCCGATAGTCAATCTAAAGTCTGTGACAGTGATGGAACGAGCTTGAACTCGTGTCTGAATGAGTTACACGATATTTAGGAGCTGAAACTAAAAAGAAACATGCATGAAATCTGAGAGAAGGAAGAGGAAAGTGAGGAGTCAGACGGGAAGCATGCAGGTGTATACGTCACCTGTACCTGCTTACTTACTGTCAGCTCTTCCTCTTCATCTGCCTTCCATTCACACTCCTCATCTGTGGGCTCGTACGCTGCTTTCACTATGTCACTTCTCTGCAAAAACAAGAGAAAAAGATCATTATTTAAAGTTTTCTAGGACTAAATGTGACTCCGGTCGGGTGTCGAGTTTCTCAGGTGACGGGTGAGTTTGTTTACATGACAACAAAAAAAGCTTCAGTGCTGCAGACGGGTCACCAGTGTACACAGGTTTTCAAACAGGTTAATCCACTCCTCAACGGGTGCATCAAGATTAACGGAAGATTGATCACTTTGGAGAAAGTCATGACTCGACATATGAAACTGACCCAGGCAACTGACAGTTTTATTTCGTCACTCTGAGTTGATTCTTACCGATGACCGACTAAATCTCACTTTTGCAGTTTCTTCAATATTTGAATCAGAAAACTCAACCCTGATCTCAACTATCAGATCGGATCATTTTTAATCGATTTATCTCGCCCCACTCACTGACGTCAGCCGTCCTAAACTGAGGACAACTTCGATTAAGAATCGACAAATATGTTTCTTTTTTTTGGCTGATATCGATTATTAGTAATCGAGGAAATCGATAACTGATATTTGGAAGCGACATTCATTTGTAGTAAAAATTTATATTTTGGTGTCAATAAATGTTTTTTTTAAATGTGTGACTAATTTGCACGTTTGTGTTTTAACCATAGACTGTATTTACCATGGACAACTTGGTTCCGCCTCCCGCCAGTATACAGATTTGAAGCCGAAAAGCTCTCGGTATTTACGGGATTTTTCTTCATTTCCCTGAAACCAGCATTGCACAGTAGCGATGTGCGCATTCGGCGGGAGAGTAGCTGTGATGACGCTCGGCTCAAACAGCGTATCCCCCGGGTGCGCTACGCAATCCCTGAACGCTCATAGGCTGTATCAGGTGTCAATCATAGAAAACATGAACCCCTTAATAACTTTTAAAAATGGAGCTTCACAGAAAAAAAGAGGACTTGAGCACAAACCAGTCTGACAGTAACTACATGTCAACATCACAACCAGGGGGGAGAAACATTTATATTCTGTTTAATAAATTTCTTAAGTTGGTCCACAGTCCCATAAGCTTTGCTGGCGGAGGAGGGATTAATGACCTATACTGCAGCCCGTCAACAGAGGGTGCTGTTCTCAGAGTGGTTTCACCCAGCGAGGAGGCAGACTCTGTCCATTCTATATACAGTCTATGGTTTGAACATATACAGGTGTTTATTTTTTGAAACTTGGACATTCCTGAGCCTTACCTTCAGCCACTAAACCGCTTGTAAATGCAGCTGTTTTTTGCCTTATTTTGAAAGACATGCTTTTATTTTGAAATGAGAAAAGAAGCGGAAGTATCGCATGATAGCTCCATAAGATTTAAACTGAGGACGACTCCTGGGAGAATGCAAAAGAGGGAGTGACTTAGATTAGCAGAAACATTTCTAGAGCCTCTTGAATTGAGATTGTTTTGAAAAGTGGAAGCAGCAGGGGTGCGTGCGGCCTCTCCAGGAATCATCTAATTAATGGGATATTCTTAACGACGGTCGATCTGCAACAATAAACATTCCTGGATCCCTTAAAGTAAACAAATTTTACAGCTACACAGACAGAGAGAGAGAGAGAGAGAGAGAGAGAGAGAGAGAGAGAGAGAGAGAGAGAGAGAGAGAGAGAGAGGGAGAGAGACTGTTTTGGGTGCATTAAAGCGGCACATGAGAGCTTAAAAATGGCCGCCCGCTCAGGGAATCAGAATGAGGAAGGATGCATAAATGACACGTGACGTACAGTAGAGGACAAATCTTTAAAAAGGTTTTGTTTCATGCTGCACTGAAATCTCCTACATGAAGAAAAAAACTGCATAGAAACAACAGAAATGTGATTTTACAAAGACGACAACACAGACGTACTTTGTCGAAGAGGGGCTGGTAGAGGGCGGCGTACTTTCTCTCCAGCTCGTGTACTTCTTCGTAGAACTTGGCCTCGATGTGCGCACATTTGACCTGCAGGTTCTTGAGGGCGTTCACACGTCTCTTTACAACCTTTGGTAAACTGCGGGAGGACGGACAAGAACAGAAGAAGAGACGTGAGCACAATCCTGGAAAAAGACAAACTGGAACACAGCGGCACAGTCAACATGAACAGCTGACTCAAAGCGTTTTGGGTTCGTTTGTTTGTTTGTTCTTCATACGGATATTTTTAAATCATTTTCTGTGATTCGTATTTCCTCTGCCTGTCTGAGTTTTAAAGCACATACTTCACAAAGTAGAGGGGTCCTGGTTTCAGAGGTTAATCCGCAGAGAGCTTTGGCTCACTGAGGCATGTAGAAGAGCAGCTTTGTCCCCAGAGGATCTAAAATAATTCGTCCGGTTGGCCTCTGACGCTCTGTAAACAAACTAACTCTGCGAAGAACAACTTTCAGATCAAGATTTGCTTCATTGATCCGCAGAGTAAAGAAATTACGCCTCGCTCCGACCGTGCGCAGATTTATCGGTTTATGCTCGAGAGGTTTGCGGCCTGATTTCTGGTGTGGATGATGCAGTGGGATCCTCGGCATTTTAAGGCCTCTGTAAATCTGTCTCAGAATAATGAAAATGTGTGTCCTTAAAGCCGAGTCACACCGAGCAGCCATTAAAAAAACCGAGTGTTCACGACAGCGAGACAACCTGATAAAAGCTGTTTATTTTAACGCAAGAGGAGTCAATACGACACACAGGTGTGGCTCAGGTGAGACTTTTGTAAACCCTTTGTCTAAATTATGCGTTTTAATATTTTCAAGTGAAATCAGAGTCACATGTGGGTGGACCTTTTCTTCATAACAGGGTGTCCAGATTCGAAAAAGCTGAAAAACATCTAAACCTACAGAAACACCTGAAAACTTTGAAAATAGCAACCGTGGCACATCAGTTTGCACGTTATCTAGAAGACTTAGTACGGCAGCGACAGGTAGGCTACACCGTAGGTCAACAAGACATTCCTCCAAACTTCACCTGCAGAAGAACCCCCGCCCTGAAAACGAGATCCCAACCCAGAAATTTAAGTCATAGATAAATAAATATGTTTTATTTGTATAAAAATGGCCTATAAAGTATAATTTGCACAATTTCAGACTCTAAAGCTCCCAATCATTTCATTACTTTCAAGAAAAATGTATCTCTCCGCTCGCTCCTCTCTTTATCTTACAACAAACACGCGTGCTGACATGCCGCGCCTCTAAACTACGCGGCGCGACATGTCAGCACCTCTGATTCTGGTATTCTGGTCGCAAGCGCTTGCCGCTTATACCCTGCCAGATTTGCGCAGGATGGTTTTGACCATGCGGGGTTCTGGCTTCTTTCCATCACGTTTGCCACCAATAAAACAATAAAAAATGAGTTATGGAGAACCGAACTGTCCCCGAACGTTCAGCACCCCAGTTGAAAATATCTGCATTCGCACAGTCTCTTATGGTCACTAGCATCTCTCCCAGCCCTAAAAACAGCGCAGGCTCATCTTCACCAAAGTGAAATAGCTAAGGGAAACAATGACCTGACCGTCTCCCCTGTCAAAGGCAGGCGTGGGGCGGTTTCATGAAGCTTATCATGGCGTCCAAATAGCTGGATGGACACTGGCCATGTGATAAACATCAATTTACCCAGCCTGCACTCCCATCAACACTCATTCATCCAGACTTTAGCCTCCAATGACACTGAAGGACAAGCAGGAAATGTTCCAGGTGAGGTCGGGATGTTTCTGCTCATACTAACAGCTCATCCGGGTAATTTCAGGAACTCTCGTACCAAAGAGACACGAAACAAAAGGTCTGATCGGCTTTGAAAGATGTTTCTCCTGAGTTTAACCAGCTGACTGACAGGAAATGACCTGGATCACCCAGATACTTTAGTCGGAGGAAAGAGTGAAGCCTAAAACCTGAATCCATCCATCCTGGAGTATCGGTTTGACGACGGTGTTCCCCGGGCTTGGGGACCCGTTTTTCTGCACCCTGGGAAATAAAAACACCGTCTCTACGCTGGCACAGGAACACATGTTTGGTCCCAAGTGCCGGGGTGTTGTAAGCGGTGGGTTTGTTGGTGCCAGACACTTGACAAGTTGATCAAAGAGCTGCTTGCTGATGGTTTTGAGGGGAGGGGGAGAGGATCAGTGGGTGGCACAGCCCTGCAGCCAGAGACACACACACACACACACACACACACACACACACTCTCAGACGCTGACTGTACCTCTATTCTCGGGTTATTTCAACATTCATCTGCTGCATTCAGCTCATCCAAGGAGAGGATTATCAAAGAAGGTCTGAGAAAATCTTCTCCTCCAGTTCTCGTACGAATTAGAGATGTATCATGACTACCTGCAGCCGAGCCGACTCCTCACTGTACAGTTTACAGCCGTCGACACGGTGCTGCAGTTTCTGTCAAAGTGGGCGTGCGACATCAGCGTAATGATCAAAAATGGCCAGAAGAAGATGTACTCTGTGCAGCAGCAGCTCAGGAAGTTCAACCTGCCTGAGGAGCTGCTGATCTAATTCTACTCCTCAGAGATCCCGTCTGTTCTGCACACATCAATCAATGTCTGTAGTCTGTTCCTGTCTCGTTCGGTGACTGATCCAAACCTGCGAGGACTGCCAGGAAAAAGGCAGAACCGCCCTCACTCAGGACATGTCCATCTCCACAGTCGAAGTATCACACTCAAGATTAAATCATCCAAACGTCTCTTATTTAGGAGGAGAAACACCAAATCCAGAATTCAGTTTGTTACTCACGGTTACACCTACAAAGTTCTGTTTTGTATTTCACTTTCTGAACCGAACACGAGTCTGGTTTTGACGCTTTCGTCCGTTTCCAGAATCCTGCGGCTGAATGCGAATACGACTAAACTCCTCCTGAACTTCATTTACATAAAAGCATCACTGCTACTCAACGAGGCAGACGTACCACTTCAACTAATTATCATGTAAATATGCGATTGGAAAGCAAATACACCCACCGACCATTCAGACACCTGTAAATAACAACCTGTGAGTGACGGCAGACGGGAGCAGGGTTTGAAAATATCAACACTGCGAGTGACTTCTGATTTATTTTACTCTGCATCCATCTTTTATAAATAACAGCACTAAGATTTTGACAACAGATGAACACAGACTGGTATGATTTTAAGGGGACGGTGTGGAGAGCTGATTGGAGGATGAGTAAGGAAGCGTTTAGATCCGACTGTTTGATATTCCTTAATATTCGCACCCTCAGCACGCCTTTTTACCTTAGCAGAAGGACCAGATCCTGAGTCTACTAATCTTAAGTGGGCTTAGGTATCCAGAACCGGTTCCAGTTTCGACCTGGATTCAAAATTTAGAAACATGCAACATAAATCCATCAGAGAGAATTTTGAAGTTTTCATAAAATTTCACTGATCTGTCAGGACCTGGATCACATGACGAAAAACAAAGTTACGAGGAGAGGATTAGGGCTGGGCGATATGGCCTCAAATCAATATCAAGATATATTGATCAGTTCACCTCAATAACTATAAATGGACGATAACTACTCCACAAGCTGCTCACCTCCTCCCACATTAACTTCGTGTATCTCTACCTGAACCGTCCTCCATCTCCTCACCTGTCTTTCCCTCTTTGTTACAGACTGGATGGGGTGGAGTCACGTCTCTGATGTAGGACAGCGTCTTAAAGGGACATGAGACCATAGCCTACCTACACACATCCAAAACAAACTTTGATTTATTTGACGCCGAATATACCAATATGGGCAAAATGACGTTGGTTTTTGTCGTAAATTTCGGTATCTGTACATTTTCGGTTTATCGCCCAGCCCTAGAGAGGATCATGGGAGACTCAAACTCACTCAAGAGACAACGACATCAACGGAGGAAGCGTGTCTTAAGGTAACAAAGCGTTCATTCTTTAGCGTGGCGTGAATTCGAGGCTCTGCTCTGTATTTAATGTGCTGCAATCTCGTCACAATCAGGTGAAAAACAGAGTTGATGTTTGTCTTTACTGAGGTAAACAAATCATGTCTACAAATATAGTTTAGTTAAAAGTGTTTGTTTTGTTTAAGACTTGTCTGTTTCTGCAACACACTCTTGCAAAACAGTGAACAACATCATTTGCAGGATCTGGCAACACAAAGTCAAAGTGTTTTAATTTCACTGTTAGCAGACCGAGTCTGACGGAGAGGGTTTGTCCTGGTGGGAAAGTAACACGGGTGCACGCCCTCTTTAGAAACGCTCTGGGTTAACACCACGCACAGTGGAGTAAAGCTTGGGAAGCATGTCTCCTTCTAGAGTCTTGACGGTTGCTGCAGAAATGCGCTCCGGGATTAAATGATCACTTCAGATTACTTCATGTCTCACCTCTCCATGTACCCCGACGGTGAGCCGTTCAGACCGTCCAGCCTCTCCTGCAGCGCTGCCAGGATCTGTGGATTCTGCATCATCTGCACGGTCAGCTGACGAGCTAAGGACATAAAAAAAGAGTTTGTATTTTTATCAAGACTGATGAATAAAATCAGGATTTTTCATGCATTTGGTGTCATGAGGCATTTTCTTTAAGAGTGATTTAATAAGTTTATCTTGCAGCTCGACCAACCAGGATAATGTCTTCATGCATGCTGCAATACCTGACATACATGACACATCTCTTTGTGTGTTTTGCTCGTGTATTTGAGTAAGGTGGAGTTTGAGTGCAGGAGCAGTTTCCAGCCTACAGGGACTCAGGCGTCTCCAAATTCCAATTAACCGTGTTTGTTTCCTGCTTATTTCGCCTGTGGTGCAATCTGAAGCAAATAAATAAACCCTGAATGTAGTCTGCTTTATAAATTACACCCACTGACTCAGCAATAAAAGCCGGCGCTCTCTCTCTCTCTCTCTCTTTTTTTGTAAGCAGACAGGTGACAGATGGTACAATCCCAGTGTCCGACACATTGCTTGCACCTATCAAAGCTCAGTGAGATCGCTGCTGGCAGGTGAGAAGATTAAAGAGATTGGAAGTCACTTTTCTCGGTTGGCGTTCTGCTTGTAATGTGTTATCAGCTAGCATGGATCGGCTGTCCAAGGCGCAGCATCCAGTCAAATAAATCCACCTACACGGGTCTGAATCCTCACTACACGAGCTGCCTCATGGATGCTTTGAAGTAAAATGCCTCTTGGTGGATTCATCAGTCAGAGTCGGCGACCACGAGGTAAAACGTCTTTGTCGGGGGTGTGAATTACTCTTCATTTGCGCCCTTTTTTTTCCTAGACTCTACCCCCTTAGGCTACCACCCACTTTCTGACCTTAAGCATACTGACACTCTAAAAGTCCACCAGGAAGAAACAAACCGAAAAGAAGATTTTAGCTCGACGTGGCTCCTTGATTTGATCTACTAGGAAAAATAAAAACATCAAACTCATCAAACCCGTGATATTTTAAAATAAATCAAGTTTGACCCTGATAAGAGATGGGTGTTAACTCTGTATCAGTAAACAACCCAAAGTCTTGGTGAGGAAGATGTTAAACACACGTTGAACTCAAATTCTGAGTTTGAGGTTTGACCTTCCAGGCTTACCGTATCCGCACAGTATTCCATTGAAATAAGACGTTACTGTATGTTAGGATACTCACTTAAAGCACCTTATGATGTTTCATGTCTAAAAAGTCAGATAGACATAAGATGCTTATAGCACTAGCATCCCTATGAGTTTTTCTATGTAAATTAGCATCATGCTAATCACAAGCTATTCATGTGTTTATTCAATTGTAAATTAGCCTGAGTTAATGATTTACTTATATTTGGCATAAATGGCTGCTGAATTTACATTGTTTATGTGACTTAAAAAGATTTACAGCTTTAGTTGTGATATACATCTATTTCTGTACGTTAGTTTTACATAGGGCTGGGCGATATGGCCTCAAATCAATATCACATAATATCTCCTATGTAGGACAGCGTCTTAAAAAGGGACATGAGACCATAGCCTACCTACACACATCCAAAACCAACTTTGATTTATTTATTTTTTTGACACCAAATAAACCAATTTGGGCAAAGTTACATCAGTTATTGTCGTTAATTTTGGTGTCTGTAAATTTTTGGTTCATCGCCCAGCCCTAATTTTACAACCTTTCAGTTTTAATGAACGTCAAAACAGCCATAAGCTTCCTGGTGTTTCGTGGAGCAACTGTTTGCTGTCTGTAAAGCTAGTTCAGCACTCAAGGGAGGCTGAATAGTAGCTATTAAATCCCAATCTTACATGATTGCTTGTTATTGATCCAATTTGTTTGATACTGAGTGTTTGTAGACACCAAATCATGGTACTTTACGTCACATTAAGACCTTTCAGGACAAATTTAAAGTATGAAATTGTCGACTTAACCTCTGGTAGGAACAAAGGAGGAAGCACAGATCAATCACATAGACCCTGACCAGCCAAGCAATTAATGATTTTAGACCAGGGATCTGTGAATTCATTAAACTGAATAATATTTGTCACTCGAATTCCTAGTTTGTTAAATAAGTTGGGAATATTTTTGCCACTCATATGTCGAGTCCTAGCTGTCTCCAGCTCTGTATGATTGCTGTTATAATCCCATGATGCTCCACTCTCCAGATGAAAACGAGCACAGAGGACAGACGGCGCCTCATGTCGGCTGTATCAAGCTGGCGAGTCCCTTCTCAACCTGAACAATGTGTACCCAGCTCAGACATATCAACCATACAGATGTGGTGCGCTTTTATGTACAGATCAATAATTTATACATCCTTTAATATAGGGATATCAATATGTGGTGCAGTAAATAAATATTTAAGAGTTCACATCAGCGAAAAAAAGCGCCATGTCCGATTTTTTTCTTGTTTTTATGCCACTTGTTTCTCCCAGATGCGAGATTTATCAAAAGAGCATCTAAAAAAAAGAAATCAGCGGTGAATCTGAGGTTGGCCTCCATCACACAGGAGTGAGATGATTATTGAATACATGAAATAACATCCTAAATTATCAGAGTAACTTAAGGCGTTTGATCGTCATTCTTACTCATTTTTAAAAAGAACATTTTTTACGTTTATTTACTAATTTAAAGTTTGATCTTAAGAGAAAAAGTGAGGAGGCCGTCTCTTCAGTTATCTCAAATCATGCACCACTGTCTCAAAAATCCTCAAAGGTGGTTTATAAATTAGTGATTTCCTCATTAATCAATTTTACACAACGTATTTTCACGACATTAAGCACCTGGCTGTGATTTGCAGCTCCACCTGACTGTGTTTCTCACTGCAGCTATGACGACGCGCAGTGTTAAGGCCTCTTATCTGGTACAGTTTGCACTGCGTGTTCTCACTGTCAGGCTGTAACTGTGTATTACTCATGCATTTATAATCTACCTCAGCTTCCAGACCTCATGCAAGGCTTTCCTCCGAGTGTGGTCTCTATGACAGATCAGTCGTAGGCAGAGAGAATGAGTCGTCTTTCTAGTCTAGCTTTTAAAAAAGAGGCTGATCAAACCTGCTATAAAAAGACAGACAAACAACTATCTACTGTATATCTGATGAACAATGAGAAGGGAGTAGGCGAAGATGTGAGAGGAACTGTCTGAATCTAAAAACAGGAGGCATCAAGATCCCGAAAATAAAATATGAAACATCATCTTCTGTTCTTAACTTCAATTCGACGTATAACTCAAAAACGAGACCATCAAAGACGACACACTTTCATAAATTTAGGATGTTATTCCGAAGAGACTGACCTTTGCTGTTTTCATCTTCTCCCGTCTCCTCCTCTTCCACTTCTTCCACGTCTTCCATATCTGCCGGGTCCATCTCAGCCTGGTCTTTGCTGCTCGGGGAGACACAAACAAGGAGGAGGAGGAGGAGGAAGAGGAGGGAAGGTCAGCCAAGACAGGACACCTCAGAGTGTTTATGAGCGCACAGAATTAATGCTACAGCCAAACTAATCCTGGCATGTTAAGTGTAGAAGCTGCAAGCGACTCTGGCCCGGCTGCCAGCTGCTCGGGCGGGACAGTGAAATATCAAAGTCCCTGCAGATGCAGAAAACTGAGGTGAGATTTGAGAGGGATACTCTTGTTATTTCTCTACTTTAACTCAATTACACAAAAAAATTAGCAAAAGAGACTCTAATCAAATCGCTGTTCTTTTCATTTAGGCTATTATCCAACCTGCTGCTACAGCCAGAGTGAGGAACAGCAGCCGCTAGAAAACCACAGACCTCAAAAAGACAGAGCAACATTTTTTTTTAACCTCCATCTCCTCCTATTCTTTCAAATAAAAAAACAAAAACAGGTTATTTAAACCGATTACGTTGAAACCCTGTGCCCCTATGATGCTCTCTGCCGAAGGATTTAAGCTTCACACGGCCCCGAAGCTAACATCAGTATTCTGACATCCTTCTTCTAGAATATGCAGAAATGCATCAAAACAGTTTAGCCCACAAGTCCTTCGACTGACCCGCTCAGTAGAAATGCATTTCCTGCTTTTATAATGTTGACAGTTTTTGCACAAACCCTCCTCTGTCTTCAGATTCAACGGTTGTGAATTTTATCTCTTTTGCTACAAACAATCGTTGCAGTGAGGTCAACAGCAGCTCGACGTTAACCTGCTCCATGTTTTCCTGCGCGCAAAGAGAGGATATAAGAAAATGGCGATATAACGAGTGTAGATATCAGACCGCCAACGAGCATCTAGAGAGAGTAAAGCAGATAGGGACGCACCGATCCACATTTTTTCACTTCTGATTCGATCTCGATTCCTGAATTTGGATCCCTGCCGATACCGATACTATTCCGACACCAGAGCTCTGTTAGCTTTACCATCATTATTATCATTATTGTTTATTGATTATTATCTTTCACGATGTCTGCTGGAAGTTTACCTTGCTTTTGAAGTCATTCATATTCCATGCGATGGAAGTTCCTCCTCTTGGAATATCAGCTTGCAAACATCGCACGTTGCTGTCTTACTTTGCAGCGTTTTGACTGTAAAGTATTCCCACTCAGCAGACGTGTTGTGTGGAAAAGTTCGCTAGCCCTAGTGCTGCTCAAGGCTAGCCTGATCGCTGCCCGGCTGCAAACGGCGGAGTGGATTTCCTGAACGGAGGCGTGTCTGATTGAGACGTTTGCAGCCAGCTAGCAGACTGACCGTCAAGAATCACTTGTACGGTCATTTCAGCAGACGAAGTTTAAGCGAAGACAAGACTTATGGAACAGAAATTATCGCAGGTTGGATCGGAAATTTCGGATACTGGATTGGATCGGCCCCATCCCTAAATGCAGACTGATGTGGACTCTCTAAGGTAGAAGTATGAAGTGCTCACAGGATAAAGTTGACGTCTTTCCCATACTCAAAGGTGATGCTTTAGGGGCTGCGAGCTGAGCTGCTGTTCGGTTGACTTGTATCGCTAATTTATGAATGAATTAAATCGGAAACCTTAAAAAAATAAAATAAAAATAGGGTTTTGTTGAATTGATATCAGACTTAGGGTGTTGATCTTAGCTGAAACTCTGCGGTGAACATCAACAGCTGAGTTGATTAAAATAATTTCCATTCAGAGTTTGATCTCAGATATTTTTACCTGTAATGAGCGACTAAAAAAAACTCGTGGTGATTTAATCAGTTAACTTGAGGATGATGAGTCGATTACTCGGCTAAGCTCTGGCGCAGCTGCACTTCGAGGCTCCGCTCGGTGGCACATTTGACTGTAACTAAAGGAAGGAGGTCAGTCTGATTCCCTTCACAAACAATATTGCCGCTCTCAGCAGATAAAGATCCGTAGGCTCCAGCAGTAATCAAAACTGCACTCCTTTGTTTTCCTGTTCAAAGCGCTGAAACATGACACCCTGCTTAAAGACGAAGCGCAGCAGAGCTCGACGCTGAACACGCCACAGATTCACGAGGGTAAAATCAGTGACAGATGATGAGCGTGTGTGTGTGTGTGAGGATGGGAGCTGGCATCCTAAACACTCGAGTATCACTCCTGTTGGAACAGTTTTCTCCGGTTTTACTTAAAGTGTTGTGACAGTGAAGATGCAACCTTTTCCCTGGGCGTGGCATCTCAAACAGCCCCGGGATCAGTAAACAACAGCCTCCCTCGCACAGGGAGAGCCCGCTGTGCTTCCCTCTATCGGTTTAATGATGTTGTATATCTGGCCATGCCAAAACCAGTCCTGTCACAGCGGGGCAACCCCGGCATTACAGAGGAAACAAGAGGACAGCTGAGCGTTTAGATCAGGGGAGCACAGAGGGGAGATTACTTACTTGTCGATGTCTGCCATCTTAGCCGAGTCTCAAGTGATGCTGAAGGGAGAGAGGAGAGAGAGAGAGGAGAGAGAGAGTGATTAGTTTACTTTAGGACACAAACTCATTAAATTTTGACTAACATTTGACTGCCACCAGATCTGGGTCAAACAGCGCTTGCAAATAACTCCTCTGGCTAATTTTAAGCTGCTTAGAGAGAGAGTACTACGGGGTGATGCTAAAGTTAGCAACACAAAAGAACGACGGTTTAAAAACAGACTCATTTTTTTCAACAACGACGATAACAACAGAGGTGTTACAACAAAGAGCTTCTCCCGGGTGCAGAGCTCGGTGAATTTTTAACATCGCTTTTGATTTTCATTTCTCAGAGTTTTATGTCCAGAGCTGATTATATGGTTCTATATTGAGGCCAGCAGTGGCCTATTTCAGCAGATTGTGCCGACAAAAAAAAATTTGCAAAGCTCTCTTTACTGTAACAGACGGCTGGAGTTAGAGCGCTACACATGTAAACAAATATTTGTGTGGTATCTGTTTTTTTAAGTGTGGGATACTTTGTCCACGTCATCAGGGCAGTGATCCGGCACATTACAGACTCTGTCTAATAAATAAAAAAAGGAGCATATTACTGCGAAAACTGGAATAACTACTACTGTGCCTTAAATTAAGACACTAAAAACAAAAAAAATACTTTTTCTGTCATTGCAAATATAATACTGCACAAAAAGACATTATTGCCCATGAATATTTTGTAATACATTTTACTAAAATCAAAAAGCAACGTGCAAAAATATTAAAGAAGCGACTTATTTTCGAGGCTGCTTAAGCCGACACTTTCGTCAGTCATTACAGACTCACAGGTTTGGCTAATCTGAATTAAACTTTCTTATCACAGGCAAAGTTTCACCCTGTTATGTTTGTTTTTTCATGATTTCATCCATAACAGGTATATCAAGGATGAAGCTGCAGGAAATCACATTATAGCACAGATGGTAAACTCTACTTTGTACAGCAGCCAAGCTCGACTCGTACCAAAAATCTGGGATATAAATCACACCAGGACGAAAACTGACAACATCTTCTTTCCACCAGAGGGAAAAAGTTCAAACTGTGTTCCTGCGTGAAAACTTTTGTTCCTCTGAATAAAGTCTGCAGTTTCTGAACGACGATGAAGCTCAGTCTGATCGTTCAGCTCATGAGGGACAGACACGCCCACTGAGCCCCCTTCATAAGGCATTTATTGGCTTCAGATTACAAGAACACTTTACTAAAGAGAAAACCACCATTTTTACAAGATGCATGTTGACATCCTAATGTCAGATAAAAGCTCTTATACAGTGCCTCTGCAAGACTCATCCAGCATGATTTGCACACTGAAGAAGTCACTTTTTGAGCATCATCTTTGGGGTAAAATACTGTAATACAATAAAACATTTCTGTGCATTTTATACTCTCTTAAGTTGAACACTGGTACCAAGAAATATCAGCTAAGCTATAACATAGGGCTGGGCGATATGGCCTCAAATCAATGTCACGATATTGGATGATAACGACTCCACAAGCTGCTCACCCCCTCCCACATTAACTTCGTCTACTTCAGCCGCTACAACTTTTGAACCGTCCTCCATCTCCTCACCTGTCTTTCCCTCTTTGTTACGGACTGGATGGGGCGGAGTCATGTCTCTGATGTAGGACAGCGTCTTAAAAAAAGGACATGAGAACATAGCCTACCTACACACATCCAAAACCAGCTTGATTTATTTATTTTTTGACACCAAATGTATTGAATTGAGCAAAATGATGTTGGTTGTTGTCGTACATTTAGGTATCGGTAAATTTTCGGTTTATCGCCCAGCTCTACTTTGCACTTTATACTCTCTTAAGTTGAACCTGGTACCAAGAAACATCAGCTAAGCTCTGACAGCCACGAAAACATCCCTCTAAGATAATAAGCATGACTATAAAATTCATGTGGGGGTTTGTTACAAACCAAAAACCAAACACTTTTCTGTCATGTCTGCAGAAAACTTCAGCAGCTGTATGACTTCTGTGTTCCAGCATATAAAAAAAAACATGATGCAACTGAGTATGAAAAATTTAGGAGGTATTGTGAGATACAAAAAGAGTGCAGCAAACCTAAAAAGCAGCCGTCATTGGTGGTATCACCTCCCTATAGGATCCTACAGTATATGAGAAGAGGTAGCTGCAGTGGATTACTGATGAAGAGTGGTACCAAAGGATTAGATTTCAAAGTATGCATTAGAAACCTCCCACCCGCCCGCATGCAAACTGCCATCAACAAAAAGGTTCCCACAAGCCCACACAGTAGGAGACTGATGTTTCTGCACCGACAACATCCTCCACTATAACATTAAAAAAAAAAAAACGCTTCCTTGATGGCGTATATGATAAAAATACAGGGTGTGGTGAGAAACTGAAGATTTTATTTACAGGGCACAAGAAGACATACTGCTCGTACAAAACACTGCTCTGTGCGCAGCCCCCTTCAAGAAGAAAGGAGCCCGATCCCAGCTGTCAACAACATTTCACCGACAGGCCCGCGTCCAATACAAGATCAAAGAGAAGCAGAAGTTATCTCAATAAAAAAATGAAACCAAACTGGCAGCTGAACAAGTTACTCTTTGAGATTGTCTCTACAAACTTTTTTTATGTCATGTCAGCACTACAGGAACATTCCTTTAAACGTGCGCTGCAACGATAAAAAAAGGCTGGCTGTCACCATGAAAGGGTTTCTCCAGGATGCTGCCTGACTCAGCTCAGAGCAGACACCTCTCCAAGATTCAGGGTTTCATGAAACTGCGTATTTCCAGGTTAACATTTTAAGTATTTATGCAATATCATGGAATCAATATTTGTATTTCAAACACTGTCGTTTTATGATATATTGGCTGGTTCATTAGCCCCTCCCTCCCTTCTGACCAGATCCATTATTATAGGATGGAATGGTGCAACCCCACATTTTGATTTATTATTTAATCTCACTCACGTAAACCTCAAAGTAGAATTTTCTACACAAATCTCTAATGTACCACTCATTCTGAATATTTAAGGTGTCAAATTGGGAGAGAAAAAAGCTTTTATGGGAGCATTAAGCTAATCAGTCTTACAACTTCCCCGCAGCAGATCATAAATCCTGACTTAATGCTCTGTTTTCAGTAGATATAGATGTTCGTTTCACCGTTTGCTTTAAGTCTGGGCTTAAATGAACTTTGTCTTGGGTCTGGACAGGATCAGCCTGGACTTGGACTCACCCAGACCTCCCTCCCTCCCAGAGACAGATGAGCAGACAGGTGCGACTTTAACAATGCGACAGGTTGACAATAAAAGTTACTTGTGCATTTTAATTTCTATAGATTTCTACTGTTGTTTGTTGGTCTTTGTTCGGTATAAAACCTGTGTAACTGCTATTGCGTCTCCAGTAGGGCCCAACCGATTTATCGGCGAGCTGATTAAATTGGCCAATTTTAGCCCGTTTGAGACTAATCTGTAATCAGCCAAAACTCGCTGATTTTTGAAAACGCTTCTCTGGTCCGAGTTTGATCCGTCTGTCTTCCTGATGGCGTGAAGAGCAGTAGCCTACAGTATATAGTATAATGTAGATATCAACAGTATTTTTGGTAACCCTTTCTTTTACGGTACACTTATTACCAGGTAATTACCTAGTAACAACATGAAATTGTCTGGTAATTACATGATAACTACTAAGTCAATACTGTCTAGCTACCAGGTAGGTAACCTTCCATCATCGTACAAATTTGAAGCCGAATTGCTCTAGTATTTCCAGGATTTTCTCCACTTCCTGGAACCACCACTTGCGCAGTAGCGTTGTACGCATTCGGCGGGTGAGTCGCTGTGATGACGCTCGGCTCAAACAGCGTATCGCTACGCAATCTTCGCACGCCCATAGGCTGTATCAAGTGTCAATCATAGAAAATAAGAACCCCAAATAGCTTTTGAAAACGGAGCTTCACAGAAAAAAGACAAAGAAAAACTAGACAGTTTTGACTCAGTAACAACATGAAATTATCTGGTAATTACATGATAACTACTAAGTAATTACCTGTTAATTACCTGGTAATAAGTGTACCTTAAAAGAAAGGGTTACCAATTTTTTTTTTATAACTTCATTAATCAGTATCAGCATTGGCCCCAAAAAATCTGTATCGGTCAGACCCTAGTTTCTATAATTTTCTACTGTTGTTTGTTGGTCTTTGTTCAGTATAAAACCTGCATACCTGCTAACGTGGCGATAATTCAAAAACCCAGGGTGCAGGAAAAGCTCCTGACGGTGGAATTACTGCTGATCATGATAAAAGGAAAATAACTTAGTTACTTTAGTTAAGGCCTCTGTGAAATAATAACTTCTCTCTCTCTCTCCTACCTGACTGAGTAAAATATCAAACCACCAAAACTCTCACTCCTTCCAAACTGGCTGGAAACCTGAACCACGACCAAAAACCTTTGACGAAAACAAGGAAGTTGCACCACTACGAAGAGAAACAATAGACACAGTGTGTGATGAAGGAGGATCCATCTCACGGGAACATCCTGGAACTCTAATGGCTGCAGCTGTTTGTCCCATTAAATACACACACACACATACAAACACACAAACACACACACACACCACAACCCTGACATTACAACAACAACAACAACAACATGCTATCGAGTTTCAATTTAAGTGTACATTTACCATGAATGTAAACATGCTTCAGGGCACACAGCAACAACAAGAAACTCTTGTGATTTTCACTGATATCTCAACACATAAATACTTCATTGTTTGCACATTACAGCTGAGTACAAACAGAACAAACAGTGGCACATCTCTCAAAGGTTGTCCACAAAAGACAAAAACCAGAGACGGATAATCGCTGCGATTAAGTTTGAAATTAATATTAGAGTTCAATCAAACAGATTTAACTCTGTCTGGCCGGCTGACAAGTGTGCTGTGATTAAATCGTGTCTAAGAACAGGACTGGATAATGTAAATAAACTCAGGAGAATCAAATCTGAAGACTTAAAACAGACGCAAGTGGACTGGACATCCATCCACTCCTTTGGGAATCTCCATGATATCCGGCGTAACTGTGAAACTCCAACCCTCTGTGATATATCGCTCAGGATCTGCCTCAAAAACACTGAAAATCTGATCTTTATGGAGGATTTTTGATTAAAAATATGACCATGTGCATGTCCAGGGTTCTTAATCATTAACTAAAACACTCTTTTTATACGTGGTTTTGTTTCTTTTCAAGACATTTTATTGAGTAAACTATTCATAGTTGTGCTCCTGCAGATAACCTCACAGATTCGACCTTTACATATGTGCCACAAATGTAAAAATGACACACATCGTGCTCAGGCAGAAAGAGCATCAATGTGACCTCTCCTGAGATCGGCGCCCGTCAAAAAATCCCCCGCTGCAAATGAAACTGTCATTTCAACAGTCTGGCAAAGGTGACTGTTCCTGGTCTTTGACTGCCACCTTCCTGCTGACACGCCATCCTGTTAAGACCTGTTAATTGCATCCACCTGCCATCCTGGGAGAATATCAGTCCATTATTGGACGATGACACTCGAGCAGATGCACAGATCTCAGCCTCTCCAGAAGCGAACAATCAGAAAATCCTCCTCTGAGATAAAAACCAAAACTGAGAGGACGCCTTCGATTGTTTCAGACGGAGCCAGACAGATCCATTCTCCAGCACAGCCATCATATCATCACCATCTCTCTATATATTAGCAGGCCTACATTGAGCTAATACAGCAAGATTATTCAGCTACAGAGCTGATGTGACAGTTCACCGAGTGCTGTGCAAAGTCACGTGGCAGATCAGATTGTTTCCTCCTCCAGACTGGGAAAACTGACAAAGAGAGCCGTCTGTGTTTTGAAACCGATGTGGAGGCTTTTGTGACATTAATGACTTCTTAAACATCCTTTCGCTGTTTCAATACGCAGACATGATCCTTTTAGGCTTTACTAATACAAATCCATAAGTACAAAAAGGAGGAATGAAAGCATCATCCTGCACAAATCTAAGGTGACGCACACTCACCCTGGCCGTCTTACATTCTCCATTATTCTCTCGAATTATTGATGGGAACATACAGTAGAAAGCTCTTAGCGGTGGCCCATATTTTTCTAATATAGTGTAACGTTAAATGCGATGACAGGCCTTTTTAAGTTGAGGTCAACAGTTACTTTCAAACGGATAAAAATAGTTGGTGATGGACAATGCATTTTGGGCAAAAAGCTCACAGGGAAACGAGGCCTGAGCAACTTTTTAAGCGTGACATGCTGACTGTAAGGAGTTATGAACGTGCAAAAATAAAGTGTTAGAGATGCAGACACATTTCAAAACATAAAGTAGTCTTAAAATCTGATAAATATAGATCAAAATTGGTGATTAGGGATGCATCACCTAAATTACAAAGCTTGAGGGGGTCATTTTCTGCCAATCATGTAACTACCAATTCATTTATTGAATAGCAGCTGACCCTCAGGCTGCTCATGTTGTCTTGCACTATTATTGCTCATTTGCACACATTGCACTTTTAATTACTTGGTAGTAGTTTCTCTCCATTTTTGGTATGAGCTCTGGACTGAATTTTAGCTGGTTTTGTGTATATGTGTTTCTGATATTGTGTTATGTTTTTTAAATTTATGTTGTCATTGCTTACTTGTCTTCTGTGAGCCCTGCTGCTAAACTAATTTCCCTTTACGGTACAATAAAAAGATTCTGATTCTGATACCAAACAATGCTGTAAGAGCTTTGCACACACACACAATGACATCACCCTCCAAGAATGTGAACTACGACAAAAAGCTACTTGACAAGGAAAAATGCAGCATGTAAAACTAAATCTACTTAAGAGGGGGACGAAAATCATTCACACTGCTTTGACAAATCACCTGAAAAATTTACACGTGTTTGAAAATACTAAATTGCTTTTAATATCGCTGCCTGCTGGTGCACATGTTTTAAATAACCCTGAATATGAAGGAAAAAAAAGAAAAAGAATCAGTTATCAAAACTTAATATGACTCCATTCTCAGGGCAAGTCTTGACAGCAATCAGAAGGGGACAAATGAAGCTGGATTAGTTAATAACCACTGCGAAGAGTACTGCAAAAACTACGAACAATGACAATCAGCTACATGAGCTACCAGGTAAACATTAGTGGAGTAAAACTATCAGCAACAACTGCATGTAAGTGTTTAGTTACAGTTTAGTTAAACGCAGGTAAAGATAAGACCTTTGAGTCACATAAGCCCTGTTACAAAAAGTGAAAGGCGTTCAGGTGAAGGTGCAGCCCAAAGCAGAGTCAAGTTACTCCTGTTTACACATGTTAAAACTTCTCACTATCAAATGACAATTCTGACTTTTTTTAAGCAGAACAAATGGCACTCAACACAGGCGTGGTGTCTCTCACAAATACAGGTTTAACAGCCTTTTTGCACATCCTGCAAGTGAAATTATGATGTTTGCATCTGCCAACCCAAGGCCAAATTTCCTCCAGTTTGCATGTTCTTACTTTTCTTTTCTCTCTGACAATAATCAACCGTCCTACCATGCAGGGTTTCTCACATAATTCAATCCAGAGGAATAAAAAACATGCAAATCTACACAGACAGTGTCGACCTGATAAAGTGTTAAGTCATGTCTTAAACATGTCCCATCTGATAAGCAGAAATAATACTCATAAGACATTTTCAAAATCTGATGTAAGACTTGAGAGTTATTTAACTTTAGAATAAACATGGATTTAGACTTTTCCAGCTTTACCAGTTTTCCTACATGGAGTTTCTAACCTTTCACTGAATCTGCCCGTTTCTCCTCTTGGCTGTATGACAAAAACAAAATGTTTCACTGTGTATAAAATCCACCGTTTAACCTCCATCAGATCATGGCATTACCTAAAAATATCAAGCGTTCTTCTCCGGACAGGCTTTTCCTCTAATCCTGCCCAGAGACCACGTGTTGCACGCTCGAGCTCATAGATGACTGACAATGCGCCCCGCGTGCCCGCTCACCGTGCAGACACGTTTTCAACTTTGTTTAAAGCCACGAGAGCCACTTAGAAACCATCCGAGATTCAACACCAAACGACCACCGGCTCTCTCCTCAAACAACCCGACATGAGGGCTAGTGAGCCGGCTAACTGTCGTCGGCCTGCCCGGTATTGTCACAGCACTACCTCTGCATGTGTCTGTGTGAAGCTAGCAAGGTTAGCTTCAGTGCCGCTAGCTTGATGAGCCCTGAGCAGCAGGGGCGCGTCCAGACTTTTTCAATGGGGTGGCCCCAGGTCTGGCCCCCACACACAAGTAAATTCCAATGATGGCATTTAGCTCTTCATTAATCATTATTTTTTAACTGTTAACATCAGAGTATCTTAAAGAAATTATATTTCTGTGTATTTGTTTTTTATGACTTTAAAAGTCACATAACTGAAGGTCACAGCTATACAAATATTCTAATTTCAGCTACCCAATATAAAATCATATTTAGGATTACTTTTAATGTTGTAAGAACACTCCTGCAGTGCCGTACTGCCTAAAAATATCTTAAATATGAACTAAATTCAGGCACAGATCCACCTCTCTCCATTTAATCATCTCGTTTACATTTACAATGAAATGTATACACAGCTCAGTCTTGTTGCTAATGGTTTTGTTTGTTAATATAGATCATATAGAGGCATTAATATTAATTTGTTTACAAAAAAGTCCTCATAGGAGCTTAAAATATATAAATATCATCAAAAATACTACTAAAGAGAGCAGCATGTTGAAATCCAGAAGAATACAAATAATCATATTTAAAATAACTGTCAATTTTGTAAGAACATTCCTACAGTGCCGTACTGCCTAAAAATGTCTGGAATAGTGACTAAATTCAGGCACAGATCTACATCTCTCCATTTAATAATCTCGTTTACATTTACAGTTAAATGTAGATTAAGCACAGTTTTGTAACTAATGGTTTTGTTTGTTAATATAGATCATAGAGGCATTAATGTTAATTTCTTTTAAAAAATTAAGTCCCAAAAGGCGCTTAAAATATATAAATATCATCAAAACTACTGCAACCTGTTGCAATCCAGGCAAAATGCATATGTATAATCATATTTAAAATTACTTTTAATGTTGTAAGAACACTCCTGCAGTGCTGCACTGCCTAAAAATGTCAAAAATATGAACTAAATTTAGGCAAAGATCTCTTTAACCTTTGCAGTTGCATGTAGACACAGCTCAGTCTTGCTCCTAATGGTTTTGTTTGCTTACAAAGATCATATAGAGGCATTAATATTAATTTCTTTTGAAAAAATGTCCCAAAAGGAGCTTAAAATATATAAATATCATCAAAAATACTGCAGCCTGTTGCAATCCAGCCAACTTGGTTGATTTGAACATAAAAACCTGATTCTGACAGGGTAAATTATAAACAATTATAGTAAAGGAATTTCCAGGGTGACACCTGAGGTATTCAGATTTAAATGGAGGCCCATGCCCCCCCTCAGGACGCGCCCCTGCTGAGCAAGTGTTAGATTGAGCCTCTATGAACACGGTGCTGGAGCTCAGAAATGTGGGCCAGTTAGGAAGTGGTGCCAACCCTCCGGTACCGAGTTCTAACCTGCCATTGTCGAGGAAATTCACAGGCTGCCCTTCTAACAGCTTTAGTTTTATCGTGTTGCCTTTCAGTCCAGACCCCCATCCACAGTTCCCCACCCTGAGTATCATCCTCCAAAAAATAAGGTCAACTCCAAAAAATACAAGATACAAGACACGTGTCAACAAATGTCGAAAAACGCTGGTATCGACCGAAATTATCCGACGTTTTCCTTCTTTACAAACGCGAAGATTGTCGAAACGATCCGCTGTGAAAGATGACAATCGTTGTTTTATTGTTTTTTTAATCGCGTGTAACGTTAACACACACACATCATGGTGGAGACGGTCTCAATGGCTGCTGCTGCTGCTGCTGCCTCTGTCTGACTTCACTAGCATTAGCAGAGCACCGCCGTCCTCTCCAGCCGCTCATTATTCAAGCGGCGGGTCAAATATTTAACTTCTGAAACGACGAACAAGTTTAGGGCGTTGTCACCGAAGCCATTTCCGAGTCCTGTCCCCCCCTTACCTTCGCTCTGTGGCCGGAGGCTGAGCTGGTGAGGCGGCGCTGCGCAGTGAAGAGGTCCCGGGGAAGAAAGAGACTCCGCTCCGATGGCGGTAAAAGGGGAGAGAGATCCCGCCGCCTGCGCTCATATACATCCGACGTCATCACGTAAACCGGCAGTCACCGGGGCAACGCTGCTCATGGGAGGGGCAGCTGCGAGGGCGCCTAAAGAACGACTACAAATGTAATCATCTTCGCACTTTAAAGGTAAATTTCACACTTAATAACCCCTAAAACTGAGCGAAACTCAGACCTCTAAGTCATGAAGAATCTCAACAATGTCAAAAATGCTGATAGTTCGTCTCCAATTATGTTTAAGTTAATAATAACGACCTTTAATGTTTGCTAACTTTCCCAACTACGGTGGCCCTGTAGGTCAATTTAACAAACATATAAAAACACAAGTCAAAAAGTATTTCACATAACTGAAAATATTTAATCAAAACTATACTATTTACTCAAACTTAAAATCACTTCATAAAACTAAAACAAAATTTTATTCTGTGAAATATTTTGTGTTGTAAATTTTTGGGGGCTAAGTCATACCTGCCAACACTCCTGTTTTTCCCGGGACTCTCCCGTATTTAAGACCTATCTCCCGCCCACCTCCCACATTGTCATTTCTCCTGGGAATCTCCTGTTTGCATGGTCCACGTTCTTTCATGAAGGTCCATGTATTATCCATCTATTCAATTATTCCATTCAATCTAGTAAACGAAAAAACAAGTCAATATTTTGTTTATTTGTTTTTCCTATATAACCAAAAAATAAAAGATTAGTGTTTGTTGTCGTATTTTCAGTTCAAAGCAGAAAATATTATAGAGATGGAAACGAAAACAAAATAATTAATCTACTTTTTGTTTTCAGGAATTTTTCTTTTACGAAATATTTGTCTTTATTTTTAAATTTTTTGGTTAGAAAATGTTTGAGCCATTTACCATCAGGGCCACTGTACTCAACTCCTTTTCATGTTATTGTCAGTGATGACTCCAAAGTTTAATCAAAAAAGCAGTGAGGGTGCTGCTTCATGAAAATTAGGGAAAGAAGGATCATAATCAGCACAGTCATCATCTTCTTCTCACCATCTTCATTACCACATCATCATCATCTTCCTCCTCCTCCTCCACATAATCAGCTTCCATCTTCATCATCATTTTCTTCACCGTTTTATCCAACAGTCTAATCATCACACCATCATTGTATCCTCATCAGCAGAAGCTCCAGCAGGAGTAGTTATGAAGTAATCTTCATCTTCTGAGCTGGTACAAAGGCTCATCATCATAATCATCATCCTTACTATGATCCCATTGTTACAGCCATCCTCCTCTCCTTCAATTCTATCAGCAAAAACACAATCATCCTCATTTCAATCATCCAAAATCAAAGACTAATGTCCCAATTATTTATATCATCAACATTTGGACAACAAACTTTCTTTGTCCGTGTTGCTTTTTATTATTTACCCAGAATATATTCGCTCATTCTGGTGTTGTTGATGTTTTCTCTTTCATTTACTTAAAATATCAAACACCGTTAGGCGAGAGAAATTTGAGCTGTTAATAGGAACCCGAGGTGATTTCAGCACAGTGCATCATTGCACAACCATTACCAGAATCTGTTGAACTGTCCTGTCAGTTTAAGAGAAGCTGCTACTCCTCTCACATTAATGAAACATAGTAAAATATTTAATTGGCTCCATGTGCCAGCTGTTAACAGCCAACTTGATGATTAACTTGGGTGTGATCACACTAACAGCTCATTCACTGTTTTGAATCTGTGGTGTTGTATTTTTGCTATCTGCCAAAGCTCATCAGAACCAACAGGTTTTTAAATCACAGCTAGATTCATTTTAGACTGTGTTTTAGTGAATTAATGTCAAGTGGCATACCAAGGGAGTACTCACATGTATGCATCTTTGATATAAAGTATATTTTATTATCATGAAGTTATGGTAATTGAACTTCTTTAAAACACAATTTTCAAAAACCTGAAGATAAAAAGCTTTTCCTTTATGCAACTTCTAGATTTATACATCCTATCCTAATCTTTTCTATACATCCTTTCCTATCCTTTCTCATCCTTCCTCATTATATCCTATCTCAATCTTTACTAGCATATCCGATTCCACGCGATCATGTTTTTTTACCATTCTTTCCTTTTTAATCCTACCCCAACCAACCTTACCTTTCCTATACTATCCCATCCTATCCCAATTATATCCTCTCCTACCCTATCTCAAACCACGCCATTACATCAAACTGGATCCAATCTCATCCGTTCTCATCCCATACCATCTCATCACCCCTTGTCTCGTCCTATCCCCATCTTTTCCTTTCCTACCCCACCAAAACTCGAGCTGCTTTCACCGTGAATTTTAAGGATTTGTACACTTCTAACATGAAAAATATGTATATTTTTATATTTGTGTTGTTAAACTGACACAAATCCTCTCATGGCAACCCAAGGAGCATCACCATGACGAGGTATATCCGACTGTAACGCTGTGCTTTTTTCATTTTACCACTTTTAGACTCATGTAAAGATACAGTTGAAGATTTTACTGAGGATTTTGATCATTTCTTTTGAGCTTTAAACCTTTCCGGGTGATCGTAAAACAGAAAAAAGCACAAGAGTAAGAGTGTTGATGTCAGAAGGATGTGATTGGTTGATGAAATCATAAGTCCAGGATGTCATAGCGAGACGTTAAGGTATGAAACATATCCTACTTTATATGGTCGCACCTTGCCTGTTTTGTTAGTATTAATTAAAGAGTTGCACTTTATATAAAGCTCTATTTAAATTGCATTTCCTCACCTGTCAAAAAACATTAACCAAATGCGTGACTGTCTGAGGGTACAAGTGGACATCTATAATCAATAGTGTCTTCCACCGGGGGTCCTACAGCAGTGATTTGTCCTCAGCCTAACGCTGTGGAAGATTTATTAAAGGTTTCCAGGAGATCACACTGACTTTTTATTGCATGCAGAAAACTCCTGAGCCACATTATAATCCTCAGTGATGATGACGCATCCAAAAAAACTCAGATGGACTCGTACAAACTGTCTCTGTGTTGACCCTGAACAAAGCCAGAGGCAGAGACTGTGAGGATTTCAGTGTGATTCATCCATCAGCCTCAGTGTTAGTAACACCAGGCGCGCGGCTCGCCCTCGTCTCTCCCCGAGCTCTGATATCTGGCGCGAGCCCAAAGGTCACATCTGTCATCCTACGCTTCCCCACCGGAGGAAACGTTCCCACGTGTGTCTCCATGTCAGAAAGTCAGAAGTGAATATTTCCCTGAGTCATGACGGCCCGTTTGGCAGGAATAAACACTGAACCAAAACACAGGAGAGGGATGTTCTAATCACGCTAACATAAGAGCTGGAGTTATGATGGTAGTGTTAAAAAGCTGCTACACTTTAAAAACAATCTATTATATTTTTCTTCATATTTAGTTTTTTCTGAACAGTGGGCGGGTGGTTATGTAGATTTAAATCCAGACAGAGCGAGACAAAACTCTGGCAGGGAGTGGAGTGACTCTAATTTGCATCCCTCACCTTACTTTACCTGACATATCGCCTGACTGCCAGACAAAGATCTAAAAAAGCCGAGTCGAACTCGTGATATGGACATCATTGTAGAGATTTAGAAAATATTAATTGATACCGCTAAAAAGGGAATTGATTTAACAGCTGATGATGCTTCCATGACAACAGATTTACATCAGCCTTCCTGACGGGCGAGGTCAAGAGGACATTTTCATCAAAGATTAAAGATTGGGTCGGCAGGAATCCGTTAAAGAAACGTCTTTTTTGTGCTGTATATACGAAAAATTTTATATTAGTTATTAGTTATTGATGACATTTGGGAATATCACGATATCACTGTGTTCTCTTGTGTCTGTGTCGTCAACATTTTAAAATGTTTGAGCGGCCGCTCTCTCTAAATGTAAACAAAGCCATTCTCCGCCCCCCCAACCTGATTGGTTATGAGGCAGACGCTGCTCCCTCGTGTTGTGAGGCACGCTCCACGTCCTCCAATAACGTTCACGAGTCCAAACAAAGTTAGCGTGCTACAATATCGGACAGTAGAAACCAACTAGAAAGTTTGGAAAATTGTCTGAATCCTCCTTTGGCCACGACTGCCGACACAAGCAAGAAAACAAAGTAAATACGGGAGACTCTGGAGGAATAACGGGCGCTTAAAACGGAGGTAGACCGGACAAGAGCTAAAAAGCCGGGTCAACATAAACGATGGGGGACGCTTGGGGATCTTGGTGACCCTGTAACCTTTCTGCTGGACAGGTAAACCGCTTTAACAAAGTAAGACAAGTGTCTGTAACAGAAGTGTTTCTTGTCAAACGGACCTGCTGTAGCGTGTTGTAGCGCCATCGCTAAACTGTCCTCCCTCGGGTCCTGGACTATGTCACTTTATCCTCGTTGTAGAAGTCCTGCAAACATTGTGTTTGCTGGTAGTCTGTTGGCATCTACAGTAGCACCAATGCTTTTGACTTTCACCTTGACTGGGCCCCATTTGTAATGATCTGAAGTATTTATCTGCATTATATCTGAATTTAATTGGAGCGATACGAGCGAGCAGGAGCGTCTGTTTGTGGGCGGGGCTTAAGAGAGGGAGGGGAGGAGCTGAGGGGGAAACTGGTTGGGAGGGGTAGAGTTTACATTCAAGATTTCTCCTAAAAACTGGCACTAACTCAGATCCTGACTACCTCACCTTTAAGTTAGACAAGTCAACAAGTCTCCAGCTCTGAAGCTGTTGCCTGGATTGCAGGACAGCATGTTGCTCCACTCCTGGTTTGGATCCAGTCACTCCTCTGGCTGCCCTCACATCTACTTTTCCAGAAATTCCACCATTATATCCAACCTTTAAAAACCAGCCCTGGATAGAAAGTAATGTTTTCGCTACAATGTCAACAGGCAAGGGTGAAACATGCTCTGAAATATTTAATCAGATTTTTGGTGAAAACACTATTTACTCACAGGGGCGTGTCTGAAGGGTTGATCGGGGGTGTTAGGGGCCCCCTAATCTGATTGGCCACCCCAAAATCCTTAACAATGGTTGCTTATTTGCCTCGTCTGAAGTAGGACTACTGTAAAAATAAAATGCAATATCGTAACAGAACAAAAACACCACAAGTCAAAATCCCCCACTGTAGCTTTACATAGACTTAGAGACACATTAGCATGACATGAAATGTACTACACGGTACAAACAGAATATATATTATTTGATTAAATTCTCCTTTAATTTCTGCTTTTTAATAATTTCATCTTTTGGACAACTCGGTCTGTTTGATCCTTTGTGAAACACTTTGAGCTTTACGTGCTTTTATGTATGAAAGTGTGCTTTAAATAAAGTCGGAGTGAGCAGAGTTGGACATCAGAGGAGTGTATGGGTAAAAAATAAGTAAGTTATAGATCAAACAAGCAGCATATTAGCTTCAAAGCTCCTGCATAGGTCTGCATATGTTAGCGGGGTCGTGCTGGAAAGAAAAGCCGAGTTAGCGCGCAGAAAAGAGAGTCCGGCTTGTTTTTTTAAATAATGGGAAAATAAATTGGAAGTGGTCTGAGTTTGAAAACACTCTTTTGCTCGTATTAATTAGCCGAGCCTGTGAGTGTTATCTTAAATGTCACAGGCTCTCTGCTGCAGGCGCGGGGTCTCATTCAAGGATCCACTATCAGATTGTTCACGACTGTCCAGGAGAGCTATCGAGTTTGAAGAGTATAAATAGTGCAGCTTTGTTTGCACAGAGAGAGACAGTGACCCGACTATGAGAGCTATGAGAGGAGGAGGAGAAACACACACCAGATAGTTACTGCAAATGCATTGGAGTTGAAAATTAAAGTTTCACCATCCCTCTGCATTATTAACAGACGAAGGACACTCTGCTACTGAGGAGAGACACGCCTGCGAGCTCCTGCAGCCAATTAAGCATGAAATAAAGAATAACTTGTTGACAGCGTGTGAAAATCTTGACGTTATTCCTCGGATATAATTACTTCAAGCTGAAACGAAATGGCTCTGGAGGTACAGCCCTGAAATTTTAAACCGGTTTCTCTGTTTTACTCTGACAGAAAGAGAGAGTCTTTCCTTTTCTAAAGTCAGCCTGTGGTGTGCACTTTGACTCCTCGGTGAACTTTGCCCCCCGCGGTTGAATCAGGAGCTCCTGAATCCAGCGGAAATCAGTGACCCAGAAGAAAGAGGTGACACACTGTTATCGAAAGAGGTCTCCTCACTGAATGGAAGGCATTTGACGTGGCTGCAGACACTCGAGAAAGCTTTTGATGTTAAAGGCATTTTCCCTCCAATCACACCTCCTCCGTCCTCGACTACACAGCAGACTTTGCCTGAGAAGCATCTCCACTGAACAGACTCCTAAAAGTGAGAGCGCCTTTATCTAGCATACTTTCTGATGAACAATGATCCTGCTCTTTAGTTAGTACGTAACTTCTTCTTCAGTTTATGGTTTTCAACACCAGCATTAACCAACCATCACAGTGACCCCCTACTCTGTAATGTTAAAAGCACACTGTTGGCATGACTTGGTGCTCCTAAAAACATAAAAAGTTGATGCTGAGTGATGAACTTATGGATTCAGACAGGTCTGAATAAATGATCCTAAGCTTGATTCGAGAGATGAGTAATAAACACATGAGAAAGGCTGCCTTAAAGGGATATTCTGGTGTAAATTAAAGTTATGGTCAAACACACTGTAACACCGAGTTAGATAGCACACGCAAAATCCTCCTTTAAAGAGGGCGGTCCGCACCACTTTTGCACCCGAAACATGCCCACTAATAGCACGTGCAATTTTTCAGTTTGCACAAGCAATTTAGTGCTCGCTATTTTGTATCTTAGTAGATCAGAACCTATGTCTCCATGTGCAAACCTCAACCAAAACGCCACTCTATAACCACAAATAATGCTCAGAACAGCACCTAACTTCATCAACAGGACATATAGGGTCACAGCCACAGTACTAGACACCAAACATCTTTTTAACTTTGACTCATTTCTTTAGCAAAGAGACCAAAAACAACTCACCCACATAGACCGTTGTGTATTGCTATCGTGCGGTCGTTACTCAAGGGGGTGTCTAACTCGGTGTTACGATGTGTTCGACCCTAACTTAATTTTACACCGGAATATCCCTTTAATCTCAGTCAGTGAGAAAAACTTAAGACATCCAGCAGGTTTTTCTCGTATCTTGATGGCAAAGCTCTTATGTTCCCCTCTTACATACAGTCTTATACAATACAGCCAGTGCAATTCAACTCAACATGTAGCAATATGATGGTTCAGCATGAGGCGTTCGTATTGTCGTGTATCATGGTATCAGATTGTCTTTTTGCGTTGCAGGCAGACAATTTACTTGGACATCAACTAAAAGTACTTCTCTAAAAATGGACTTGAACCGAGTCCATGATGTTGACGGTAGTGGAGTCAGATATCCCCTCTAAAATAGAGTTAAAACGTATTTTCTGTGGAATAATTTTAGCTCTGCACCTATCCAAGATTACAATTTGTCGATGATCTCTGCACACTCATCTAATGGCTGACTGTACAGAGAGGCCTGAGTCATTGATTTAATTCCCTTCATCTGTTATCCATCTATTTATTGTTGTTGTTTTCAGACGGCCATGATCTCTTACTTCTTGCCTAAAATATGTTTTTGTATGAAAAAAGTCCAAAGTCTTGAAGAAACCAGAAAATCAGCAGATGAGGTGGGTAAGATGGTCCAACCTCTCCGGTACTGAAACAACACAGCCCACTAGAACCACCTCAGACAAAACAATATGAACAAAAACGGCAGAGACATACCGCATACTCCTTCAGGGGAACTTGGCAGAGCGGCACCATGTGGCTATCAAACCACAAACCAGCCCACTGAGCCTCCGTCCTCACAGCGAGGCTCCCTAATGGGCTGTTTAATGAGACCATCAAATGCTAATGGGACCTTAGTTGTGACTCTTGGGCGCCCAGGCAGAGCATTCAACCCCAGAGCGTGTGGGTGAATATTCCACCTCGGCAATTTTCCATTCAAGAGTAGACATAACATTTGGCTCCAGAGTGATCGCTGTGGGAGTCAGGGAGGGACGTTAGTGTCACACTTCCCATCACTAAAGACTCACTGTACAGCCGATCGATAGCTCGGCTCAGGAGTGCTAAACAAACTCTTCCTACAGCGTCTGTGTCCGTGTTTTTTTCTCATTTGTGGTATTTAGCAGTATTCTTGTCGGTGTTATCCACCATCTGGACACAATCTGCTCCTAGATTCAGTCCTCTGATCTCTCTCACCGGAGAAACTAGTCCTCCTTTATCATCTCAGTGAAGGACGCTTCCAAGAGAGCAGATATAAACGATTATTTTCCTCAGTTAAAGCTCCTGTGAGGAACTTTTGGTCTGTGTCAATTTTGGCGCCTCCTGTGGACAAAGAGTCTTTACTTATCTTGTCTGCTACATGCAGTAGTGTTGATTCATGACAACAAATCTCAACATGCTGACTTTTGACAGTCAAACGTATCATTTATTGTGAATATTTTATGTAGATATTATAAAAACAAGGCTGGTCCCTGGGCTTCAGGGCCTGGACTACCTCCTCACACCGGTTCCAGACAGCAGAAATAGAGTTATAAAGATCTTCACTCTTGCTGATTTTGGGCTAGGCTGCTTTTGTTTATCATTAAAAGGCAGTCACATGAATTCCAGTGGGTTTTGTAAACATATAAAAGTTTCTCAAAGGAGCTTTAAATCAAAGATTGTAACACTCAATGAGCAAAATTCAGAGTGTCTTAAGATGTTATAAATATTTTATGATTGAATGAGAATCATCGTCAAAATAGTTGTGAAGTAGTAAGGACTGTGATTAAATGCTAACATCAGTATTATCCAGACAAAGTTGCCTTATAAGTTGTGTAATAGTTACCAGATTTATAATATAAATTTGAGGTGCAGGAGTGTAAAATGATAAAGATAAGATTATATTAGGATTTTGGAGTTGAAGTCAAAAAATGCAGTTCCTCAAGTGGCCATTTGGGGCTGGCTCCTAGAGTGAATCAATCCCCATTAACCCTAATATTAGGCACAAATCAATACGCAAACACCCAGATACAGGATACCAGCTTTTCTCTTTACGGTTGTTTATCCATCGAGAACAACTTTTCTATTCTATTCTATTATTTTGCATTTTTAATCCGTTTAGGTCTAAATTTGTGATTAATTAAAAGCCTAAAAACTTCTGCACTAGACTCATGAAGATGTGCAAAAAATAATTGTGCACGTTTGCTTTAAAAACATCTGCTTACATGTAGCATCAATATAAAAGGGATAAAACTGCGGTACAACATCTAACTGAGCGACACTCATCTTTATTACCTTGCAGATATTACACAGTGACTATTGCAGCATAGGTTTGAGATTTGTTGCACGTTATTGTAAAGATTAGGTTTACTTTTTCAAGCTGCTTTACACATGACTAACTTTTATGTCCCATTGTTTCACTAAGGATTACACACCGTCCACATGCACACCCTAAAGTGCTGTAATCAGAATGTTTTGGTGAGTTTTATTCTCCGGTTCTGCAGGACAGAGCTGATGACAACGCCGTCAACAGCTGCAAAGCAGTGACTCGACATCTTTTTAGAAGCTGTAAGCAGAGCTGACCAGCTGAGGTGCCAAATTTAAATATTAATGGCAGCTGTGTGCTTTTTTAAGCATTTCCTCAGGGGGGACGAACACTCTCAAGTTTTCTCTCTTGTCCCCACTAATATAAAAATGAATCCGTGAAAAGGTGTGTGCAAACCTCTGATGGCTGAGAGAGCACAGCAGGAGGTGACGAGGAGGAAGAGAAATGTCTCAGTTTAATATTAGCTCAGCAGCAGCAGCTCCAGAGTGAAAAATAAGACTGTGATATAAGAAAAATAGAAAATGAAAACAAGACAGAAGTTTCAAGAGGTCTTCATCATGATTTTCACTTTAATTCAATGCAGCTTATCAAGGTCTGCATCAACTGCCTGTACAATCATGTCAATCACAGACCCTTTAAGGCCGTGGCTAATTTTTAGGTTGGTCATTTTTTTAAATAAATTAATTAATTTATTTAAAAAAATATTTTTTTAAATAAATTATTTAAAAAAATATTTTTTTAAATAAATGAATAAATTTATATCATTATATATATTTTTTATTTTTTATTTTAATTTTGAATCACAGACCCTTTGAGGCTGTGGGTAATTTTTTTTTTCATTTTTTAATTAAAATTTTTTTTTATTTGAATATATATTTTTTTACTTTTTATTTTATTTTAATTTTGAATCACAGACCCTTTCAGGCCGGGATAATTTTTATTTATTGATTTTTTTACCTTTTTTTTAATTTTCAAAATTTATTTATTCATTTTAATATATATTAAATGTTTAATCCCAGACCATTTTAGGCCGTGGATAATTTCAATTTATTTATTTTTTTAAAGTTTTTAATCTTTATTCTTTTTTTTCCATGTTTTGAATCATTTTTTTTTTTTATTATTTTGAATTACAGACCCTTTTAGGCTGTGGATTATAGTTAAAGGCCAAAAAATCAAAACTGAAGGAGATTAAAAATCAGGGTCGTTAGGTACCAAAACAAAGAGAACTACAGTAATGTCTGTAAACTGAAATTTTTACAGTATGCCAGCCACCGTGGCCCCACAACAGAAGTAAAACAACCCACTTAAATACCAAAACCATCACGGGGAACAATAGAGTAAGCAACCAGACTGGAACTCCTGAAGAGGGTCACATTAACGAGGAATCAAAGTGATCCCAGAATAATTTCACAAACACTGATCGGACAATTTGTCCGTGCATTCCTGCATTTTCGTCATGTAAACAGTTTTATCCTTTAAAAGACATAAATCACACTTAAAGCTGCCTTCAACTTTAAAATACGGTTTCAGAGCACTTTGGTGCAGCATCTATGTTAATAATAAATCAAAGAGTCAAGATCATAAGGTAGATCTAACTGCATTCATTAGAGTCCTAAATCAATGCCAGGATCTCACTGATAGGAGCCAGAATAACATAATTAGGGTGGCTATATTATGGATCCCCAAAAAGAGGATACTACTATGCAGGGCATGGTGATCGACGAGTCGCACACTAAATTTTGAGGGTTTTTCGGGTCGGGTCGAGTATTTTTTAGTCAACGCTACACAAACTCAAAACTCTCGATATTTGAAGTATTTTATAAACTCCCCGGACAGGCGGGACAAGGCCGGACAGCTCCCCAAAAAGAGGACATGTCCGGGTAAAAGAGGACTTATAGTCACCCTAACAGTATGGTGGATGCCTCCTGCCTGCTTTTGCTCTCCATACAATCAACACCACTTTTCTCGTGCGCACCAAATCCTGGGTTAACTTAACTCTTAATGCAAATATATCAAACATGGAAACCAGACCACTCCTCATCCTAGCTACTTCTTAAACACAAAGTCTGTCTGAGTCTTCGCTGTCTGAGATCTGTCCTCATCCTCTCAGCTCGTTCTCGTCCTGAACTCTCGCCGCTGCAGCCATAGACACCAGAGTCCAGGTGCTGAGTTACCTTTTCCCTCACTGCTCCGTCCTCCTGCAAATGCCTCTGCTGACAGTCCTGTGATGGGTGTAATCCACCAGGCTCTTGACAGACTGGGTCTCAGCCTGCGCTCTCTGTCTGCCACCACAATGCATCATGGGAATTTCAGTTTGATTTGCAAGATGGGGTTTTACTCATAAAGAGCTACAGTAAAACTTGTGACAGTGACTTGCGGTTGTGGAGGAGCTCAATCACTGCATGTTTGATTTTCTGTCTCGGCCTGTGTCTGGGGGTGATAAACAGCTCCGTGTGCGCACGTTTTGTTTTCTCCGGAGAGGAGGAGCGAAGAGCATCACTCAGGGGACAACAGGAGGCTAAGTTATGTTGCTGCATAAGAATCGAGCGTTATCATCAAATGTCACACCTGGATCTTTGCACACACACATAGACACACACAGGGGAGAGGGTTGGTCGTGACATCTGGGTTTCCTGTGAGCACATACGCAGTAATGGGAGGAAAATAGATCAAGCTTGGCAGGGGAGAGAGATAGAGCAATAGAGGAAGAGGAGAGAGGCGAGTGGCAGCCGCCTGCCATCCCCAGCTTACACAAGAGGTCTGATAAATACTTAACTAGCCTGTAGCACATGGCCCAAACCCCCTGTTGCGTAACAAAGCAGTGAATAAGACTGGGGAGGCTGGCAGCAGGGTGCAGGTCAGAAGGAGGAGATGGTGGTGGTGGTGGAGTTAAGGTTGATGCTATCTAGGGGATCACACACACCCCCATCCTCCCCCTTCTCCCTCTCATGTTTGCGTCTGTGTGGAGCTTCCAGGGGTGATCTACTGGATATTAATCTGAGGTTGCGTCACAGCCTCATGTGTGTCCTGGATGATGTGGCAAATTGCTCTCACTCTCTCTCACAGCAGACACATCGGGGCTGCTGAGTAAAAATCTGACGTCTGCTGAAGATAGAATTACAAACCGATTTCAGCTCGACGAGCGCTCTGAAGATGTGAGCAGTAATCACTTCCCTTAAAACTATATGATACATGATAGTATGATAGGATACAATATAAGGGATGATGCATTACAATCCAGTAACCAACAACAGACTACAACATGATACGAAATATTACAATACGATACGATATGAAATGATACGATATATGACACGATACAATGTAGTATACAATATAGTGCGATATGACACGATAGGATACAACGCAAAAGGGTAAAATACGAACCAATATGAAGCGATATGATACAATATGAAATGAAATTAAATAATCGGATACAACACGATATGATATAATACGATACAATACGTAAGACATGATACCAGGTCATACGATACAATATAGTGTGATATGACACGATACGATACTACCCAATAGGATAGGATAGAATATGATACGATACGATGCGATATGACACCAGAGAGTACAATACAATATAGTGCAATATGACACGGCACAATACAACCTAAAAGGATAGAATATGATACAATATGATATGACACGATATGACGCAATACGACACGATCTGATACAAAAAGATACGAAATAATACAATACGGCACAATACCAAGTTGTACGATACGATACAGTGCGATATGACATCATACAATACGACGCAATAGGATAGGATATGGTACAATACGACACAATATGGTACGATATGGTACAATACGATATGATACGATGCGATGTGACAAGATACCAGAGAGTACAATACAATGTGATACAACAGTACTATCCAATATGATACAATATGATACGATACGACATGATGCAGTATGACACGATATGATACAATACGATCTGGTACGGTACGATTCAATATGATAAGGAGTTTTTGGTGGTACTGAAATGGACTGAAATTTATACAGATGCCTTTATATGATATATTAAATTAAATAATACCTTTAGTAACCATATTCACGACCTTTCTATTCAAATTTTGAAATGCCGGTGCGAGAGGGTAGGTGTCAGCTAAGCAGCCAAAGAAACATATTTAGATTTTCCACATAACACATTTACGAGATATGATCAATTTGACACTCAATAGTCAGTATAATGAGATTTTTCTGTCAGAAGGCACTTTATGAGTGAGTCAAGGATGAGGCTGCTTTGTCCACAGGGGGGCGCCAAAACTGACACAAGCTGAAAGCTTCACACTGGAGCTTTAAGTGCTACACCTACCCCCTCCTGACAGTCTTTGGGGAAGTAAAAATTACACACTTAAAATTGTTAATACTGTTGCTGACGGTCTAGTTTGATTTTTTTATATTATAGAATGAATTTGCATCTGTTTCATATACATCAAAAAAAGTCCTCACAGGAGCTTTAATGTTTGATTTTAGATCTGATTTCAGACCATGATACAGATTTGTCTGCAGTTATACTCCAAAGAATAACATAAAGTACTTCTAAGTTATGTGTGCATTAGTAAAGCTTTACTGACAGACTATAAGAGAGAAAATTCCACTTTTACAGACAAGATGGATATGAAACCACATGCTGGGAAAAGAGAAAGTAAAAACAGAGGGGGGTCAATTTTTTCCTGCCATCGCTGCAAAATTATGTTGACTCTATTTTCATTAAAGACCCGTGTGTGACTCTCTCACTCTTCTCACTCTCTCTCTCTCTTTCTCTCTCTGCTTAAAAATAGCTCCACACTGAAATGAAAGAGCCTCTCATCCAGAGCTCTGGTTGGTGCCGTCAAGCTGCTCCATAATCCAATTCACCACTGTCACTACAATGTGTCGCCACACTCGCCCAGCAGTGGAGTAACCCTGCAACGGTCCTGTAAACCCTCCTCCACTGACATTATGGGTGACACCGGCTGCACAGGGTGACTCTGGAAGTATTCAGACACCATTAAAGAGTTTTCTTTTTGAACAAACATACAATCTGAGTGAAGAGTGAACCTGCAAAACATGACGAAAACTTAAATGACGACCCCAGATCTCTAAAATGACAACAGGATTTAAAGCGTGTTTCATTAAATGTGATGCACAAAATGTACCAGCTGAGATATAATGGGAATAAAGAGTTGAAAATACTCAAAGAGGATTAAAAAAAGCTCTGGAGGTTCACTCTCCTGATGTCTGCCTCTCCCTGAAGCCCTCATGTATCAGCGCGAATAAAGAAAACGAAAATAACGCCAGAAATAATCAAAATATTTCTACTCCGCTCAAAGTGTGTGTCTGACTTTTGAAAGCCTTCAGTTTCAGTCAAGTCTCCTCAAGCCGGAAGTGATTTTTCAAATTTACCTTCATGCATTATTCAGGAGCTGGCGGCCGTGTTGGCCGGCTCCTGTGCCATGGCCTATTTACAGAGCCACTCGTGAATCCATTAGCTGTGAATGCTGGAGTGCCAAGGCTCATCTAGAAGCGGCTCCACGGGCGCATGAATCCATTCACAACCTCCGAGACAACAACAACGGCAGCAGCTGGCAGGCTTTTACCTGGACGTGGCTAATTCCTGAATCATTAATATCCAGTCACAAAAAGAAAACAACAACATAAAAGCAGGAAAAAAAAAGAAAACAAAACTCAAGAAGTCTGTTTTTGAAGACCCAACTCTGACAAGTCTAACTCTATAAGAGGTCGAATATTCAGTTTGTTTTTTCCAGGTGACTCAAAACTCCAAAACCAGACGGCCCAGACTTGACGTTTTGGCATCAAAGATTGTCTTGCAGATGTTTTTAATTCATGCTAAATATGGACAAGTCATTTGTTATTGCATCTACAGTAGAGTAATCTGTCATATTTACAATCACAGCCAAGAGAATAAACAAAACAGCTTCACACCTGCAGCATCAACATCATTCCAGCGTAAAGCTACAATGAACGCTGTGGTCTCGTCACTAAGTCTAAAGTCAAGTCCTGGTTACCCGGGTCTGAGCAGAGTCTGAGGCTGTTTTCGAATTCACCTAGTATATTAGCAGTATGTAGTGATGTGCCCAAAATTCAGTCTGCAGTAGGCGAACAAATGCGAAATTTGCAGTATGCCAAAAATACCCAGATGACGTACTGATTCGGGAAAATTTCACAGGATACATCAGACCAGTCGGAACAGCGGAGAGCTGCGAAACTTTTCACCGGAGCGTTCATTTTCCAAGAGGGCAGCTAAAAGATTTCTCCCTCTGACAGCCTGTCTTCTCCTTCTTCTTCTTTTAGCATTATGTGGGAAAACCACTGACAAGAATGTTTTGTTACCATACTGTACAATTGTTATCATCTATTTCCATTGCCTCAAATTTTCCTGCTTCTCTTCATCCTTTATTCTATACGGTACGCCTGATGTTTCCATCACACAGCTGGACAGGTATCTGGTATTAGAGGGGGTCTACAGCTTTAATACAGAAAGGTGAGTAAACGTTCAAACAGTCGGACTAAATCAGCACACAAGACGGTATTTGAAATAAACTGACAGGAGACAGGAGTTTGGATTAGAGGATTTTTACTGTAATTGTCAAACTATCGGGACAACGGGAAATAAGACCACGCCACGCAGACGCCATCAGTTGACACGTTTAGCGAGGATTGCAACTTCTTTCCTTTAAGCAGGAAACGAGAACAACATAACCGACAACATAACTTTGCTGTATTTACTGCGCCGTGATGAGAATCAAATGCCGCCAGATCGACGAGTCATTGCAAAGACAGAGAAGGTTTTGATGGCTGGTTCTGGGCTGCAAAGTCCCGAAAAAAAAAAATCAATTTACCAGGGTACCGATGTACTTTTTCATACTGAAAACCAGCTAAACTGGGCCAAAAATACTACAGAATAACAGCCGACTTACAGACTCAGGCTGTTTTCAAATTGGCCTACTGCATACTACTATCAAACACAGTACTCAGTATACAGTATGGACAGGAGGACGCAGTAGGCCAGGGGTGGGCAATCATGTGCCACGGAGGGCCGAGAGGCTGCAGGTTTTCTTTCCAACCCAAAACTCCACCAGGTGATTTCACTGATTACTTTACCTCCAAGCAGAGAGCAGGGACTAATCAGTGAAATCACCTGGTGGAGTTTTGGGTTGGAAAGAAAACCTGCAGCTTCTCGGCCCTCCATGGCACATGATTGCCCACCCCTGCAGTAGGCCAATCCAAAAACAGCCCGAGTCCTCATTATTGATGTCATAAAAGAGCGCCGTTTGACTTGAGATGATTGCCTGACACCAACTTTCACCTCGCGGTCACCGTGGTTATAAAACATCCTGATAACGATATGATTGCAGACAAAGTTCATAACCAGCTGAGTGACACCTGTTGTTTCTCGCTTTAGACTTTGTTGAGCCACTGTGTTCAAAGAAAGTCTGAGTCTGTTCAGCCTGATCTGTGGTGGACTCTGACTCCGGTCCGTCGGCGCACTTCACGATGGATTGTGATTCTTATTCTTGGTAAAACTGTAACTCAAGCTTTTGAACCTTTCTACTACAGAACCAGTCCGACTGTGACCTGAGCTGAACCTCCACATTGTGTGTCAGTGTGTGAGCGATTGTCCAGAGAGAGGGGCAGCCTGGGCCCCTGAGAAGCAGAGGGACAACTGGCCGCTAATCCTCAGATTCAATGAAAACCGCCACATCGGCGGGTCTGAGCGGGGTCATTATCAGGGGCTGTTTTCAGGCGTGCGTTCGCCGGTTCTGGCCTTCAGATTGCTCTCACGATACATCCAGAGAGTCTGCTGAACAATGCAAACCTGCAGGCTGCTGCGCGGCTTATAAACGAGGCGATACAAGGGTGAAAACAGCGCGGCGTGAACAATAAAGCTACGAACAAAGGCGGCGGTGTCAAAGTGGGAAAAAAAATGAGTCAGTGAGTAGACGCCGCTGCCTCCCAAGGCCTTATCTCGACAAACAACACCTCTTATCATCCATGTAACAGACAGAGAGGACATTCATCAAGCAGGAGATGATGTGTCCTCCACTTTAATAAAGCAGCTCCACAACATTTCATTTATCACCTTTATGAGCCGTTTCACAACAATATGATAGTTTGGGTCTTCTTTAGGACGACATGATGATAATAACGGTCCATTTAGGGTCAAACAGGGGTGGAGACCTGTGAGCGATAAGGCGAACAAGGACCAAACAAAACTCACCGCCTTCAGCCTAGAAATCAACATTTATTTAACCTTCCTCCGGAGTTAGCTTTTACGACACATCCTACACTTACACTAAAATCAGTTCTCTATCATCCAGTTTGGTTCACATCTCTAGGTTACCTTGTTACGCTTCACTATCCATGAAAATATTGCCTATATTAGTTTTTGTTGTGGTCCTCTGGGTCTTTCTTTGTCGGTATACCCCTCACACAGACTTAGGGATGGGAATCTTGAACCAGTTCTTGTTGAGAACCGGTTCCAAATGGTTCAATCCATCGACAACATTTACATTTTATCTTACCGATTCCTTTCTCCCGAGTGCCTTGAAAAACGGTCTCACGAGTGCCATTCTATGCGGCCTGGATTGATTGTTTTATTTTCACTTTGTTGAAATTGAGGTTCCTGACAAAGTTCAAAAGTCTCGATACAAAAAAGCAAATTTAAGTGGTTCTTCAAAAACGGGTCGGTGCAGACCTTTACACAGGAGGAGGGTTAAAAAAGATGAAAATACCAAACTAAGTCAAACTGGGTGGATTTCTGCTCCTTCTTCTCATGAGTATTAACAGTTTTTTTTTCGGGTGCCACGTTGACATCAGTTTAATGAAAACCACCATCTCTATTTCTGGACCACATCATCCTCGAAGACGTCAACACATCACCCTCTACTCTCAAAAACAGGCCCTGCTTTTTTCCAAAGATGTCATGTTTGTTTCTCTTCCTTCCTGCAGATTTTACCACCTCCTTTTTTACAGTCTTGGACGGCTTTGGGATTTATGTCCTCTCACGGGCAGAGTCGATTTCCTGATGCTGTACGACATCTGCTTTAACAAAAAAGCTAAATTTAATGAAATAATCTCCTTTTTTTTAAATCCAGACGTGTATATCAGTATGTAGCCCCTGTTTTTCATACGAGAGGCATCTGGAGCTCCAGTAATAAAACGCTTCCTCGGTCCAAAAGCTCTCAGCGGCGTCCTCTCTTAACCTTCCCTCCCACATGGACTTCCTCCATCCCACTGAGTCATCCTGCCATCGATTGTTAGCTCACAGCGCTCCACCAACCAACAGCGCCGAAGACTTCTACATTTTACATCACATTTGTTTATCCGCCTTTAACATAAGACGCTTTTCTGTCTTCGTCTAATTTATTTAAATCTCCTTTAAGAACAAACTCCCCGTCTCTGATGTAGAACATAAATATCCAATGGTTAGAATAAGAAAGAAAAGCTTTCTCTTTAACAGATGTGCTTTTAGTTCTGGAGGATGACCCGAACAGAACCAGGACTTCAGCGGAAAAGGGAGACTCAGCACCAAAATATTCCCTTAAAGTCAGATCATAACAGGAGCGTTGGTTTATGTATGGATTATTGAATCTCACAGCACTGCAGTTCCTCAGATGGCCACCGGGGGCTGGCTGAAAGCGAGTTAACCCTCTACTGACCTCATGTTATATTTGCAGCGTGGTTAAACAAAAAGGGGAGGTTGATCGTGTTAAAGCAGCTTAATTTTTAGTGGAGACATATCCTCGATTACAGCAGAGGCTCCTAAACTTTCCCCTTTAAGACTTGATAATTTAAAATAGTTATAGATATATACCGGACAATGTTGGGGTAGTTACTCTTAAAAAGTAATTTGTTACTAGTAACTAGTTACTTCTGTAAATTGTAATAAGATTTCTTAACTACTTTCTGCATTTGAAAAGTAACTTGACAACTTATTACTTTACTTTCCTGCTTCTTAATTTACTAACATAGTCCGCATTCTACCATTGCGCCTGGGCACAGAGTGCATTTCACACAAATATTTTTGTCCTTTTAATAAATATAGCGAAAGTAATGCGAGAATCGCCATTTGCCGAAAGCCCCTGTGTCGTCTGCCACCATCTCTGTCTCCATTTCCATCTCTCTTTCGCATCAGCAGCTACATTACTTAAATTGATCTCTCCAAGAAAAGAAAGGCGCGCTCCTATTGTTTCGTAAAGTAATTAAGTTAGCGATTGTTTTAGTGTAGTGCGTTACTTTACTTCGTTACCTCAAAAAAGTAATAATGTTACTGTAATCCGTTACTTTGTAGTGCAATACCCCCAACACTGATACTGGATTACCTCAGATTTAGCAAGTGTTTGAGTTAACTTTGAAATTTAGGTAAATCAGATGTTTAACAAAAATAAACGTGCATTAGCTTCGTGACTGTATCGCTGCTTCTGTCCCGTCTTCTAAACATGTCTACCTCACTGTAGTTTCTCACCCTACCTTCATCAAAACTGAACCACATCCTCCCCTCCTGCTGTGCGACGTTTCTGAGGCTGCTCCTGAAAAAAGAGAGACTAAACCAGCTGCTAGAAATAGACACAACAGACGAGTTCTTCATCGTACAGCTGCACAGATCAGACGTCTAAAGTGTTTCTTTTGTGCAAGATGGCGAGTATCCAGACAGTGAAAATTACACCAATTAAATCTTCCAAAGGTTAAAGGTCAATGAAGACTTTTCTCTCGCAGCTGCATCATATTTAAGAAGCTGACGTGGTGGAACGAGAGCTTACACGAGAACATCTACATCCTGACAAAAACATGAATGATTCGTATCCGGACAGGAGCAGAGATTTGTTGTTCAACAGCTCAGACAGCAGAATGAAAAGACAGAGCTGAGAAAAACACCATTTCATGTTTTCACAGATCGTCAGCGCGGTCACAGAAACAGAGGTGGAAATGAGAACAACATGACTCAGAACCTGTGAAGTGTGATACAGACCAGGAATAAAACCTGTGTCTGAGTGAACGATGTCTCTCATAGTGAAATGAGCTGAAATAAACGCCTGCAGCGAGTTCACGCAAGCTGGAGTGTGAAGTGAGAAGATCTGAGCGCTGCAGGAAACTCGCCAAAGCTACAGAGGCGGCGGCACGAGGTTTGCGTCAATTGTTAGTGGATTTCCAACGGTATGTGCGGCTCAACAAGTCTAACGTTGATAACTGAGCCAATCAAAACAGCCGATTATGACAAATCTCAGTGTAAAATTAATTAGGAGTGTCCGATACAATATCGATATCAGCTATCGGTCCGATACCAGCAAAAATTTGAATATCGGATTGTATATCGGCCTGCGTCTAAAATCTCCGATATCAACACTCCGATACAGGCAGTCTATTTCAGAATCCGGTCCGGCACCTCTATGTAGCAGCGCCCTGATCTAATGCTGCGTTCGAGTCAGTGTTGTTTTTGTTGATCGTTGATCGTTGTTTTTGTCATCGTCAACAAAAACAACACAACAGAATATATGTTTAGCGTTTGACTGATGAAATGCTCATGAATTTTGCAACTCTGTTTGTCGTCCACCACTTAAGTTTTCGTCTAGTCTCGTCTCGTCTTGTAAACGCACATTCGTCTCGTCACAGTTTAGTCATCTAAGACTTATGATTAGCTCGTCAACGTCACGTCTTCGTTGCGAAAAATAAAGGGGCGTTAACGAAAACAACACTGGTTCGAGTTACCTTGAAAGTCAGATGTCGGAGTTGAAAATGACGTCACACCCAAGTTCCCAGCATTTTAGTTACCAAGTCGGAAAAAAGCAAAATCGGAGGCGGAAAGAAGATGGCTACATCTGTGAAAGTTATTTTAGCGCTAGCCTAATATTCAAACAAGGAAAGCCCTAAAATAACTTTCGTAGATGTAGCCATCTTCTTTCCTCCTCCGATTCTGCTTTTTCCGACTTGCGCTGGTAACTCGCGCTGTATGACGTTATTTTCAGCTCCGACATCTGACTTCCAAAGTAACTTGAACGCAGCATTAGATCAAGGCGCTGTTAGATAGAGGTGCCGGAGCGGAGTCTGGAATGGACTGCTTCTATCGGAGATTTTAGACGCAGGACGATATATAATCCGATATTCGAATTTTTGCTGATATCGGACCGATATCCAATATCGATATTGTATCGGAACATCCCTAGTTAATTTTACGCTGTGATTTGTCATGATCGGCTGTTTTGATTGGCTCAGTCCTCATGCTCAATGATCCACGTTAAACTTGTTGATCGGCACATAAAGTTAACAATCCAGTAACAGTTGACGTATTTTTCATTAAAGTCCGAACAAGACGTTGCAGCTGAGTGAAAAACAGAAGTTTGTTCTAATATTGGATCAATATCGGTACCCGCTAATATTGACGGCTAATATATCGGTATCGTAAAATTAATGCACATTTTTTCACCCTGTCGCCTCCTCACAGGATGACTCTAAAACATCTGCTCTCCCTGAATCCAGAGAAACGGTGTCTGAGGTCTCGTCTCCAGGGGTGTGTATGACGAGGTCCACGATCGAGGATCTGAACAAATCAAATTTCCTTTAACGCGATTAAAGAGTAAAAATAAACTCCTGTCAGAACTGCACGAGAGTTTTCCTCTAAAATAATTCTTAATGTCGATCCCCGGGTCAGGTTTCTGTTTGGGTCATGGCAGATCGTGACCACAGAGGTGTGAGGAGTCAGCAGATTGTTGGACAGACGGACAGACAGACAGGCAACCAGAGGAGACAGCGCCTCAAAATCTCTGAGTCATCGCTGCCTCCTCCCTTTGATTACCTCCCATCCCCTGCACCCTCACCCCTCTCCTCCTCCTCCTCCTCCTCCTCCTCCTCCTCTGTTGTCTCAGCCATCAGTCTCTGTGACAGCACATGCAAATAAAGTTGTGAGGAGTCGGGCAGCAGAGGTTAAATGGGAGGATAATCACACGCAAACAAACGACCCCGAGCGTTCGAGAGCTTCATGAACCGCCTGAGAGATGTTCGTGCAAAAAGGGCGATAAAGAAAGAGCTGTTTTTGGAGAAGTGATGATTCAGGACTGAGCAGGTGAGACAAAACAACAAAAAAAACCCAGTCATGATCACAAAAGAGACGTCAAGAGCTCAGACACAAAAGGACTCAGTTTTCACGGCTGACGTGAAAGTGCTTCTTCTATTTATAGCTCCACTAATGCAGACGGAGAAGGAAGACGATAAAGAGGGAGACAAGAGAGGCGCTTTGGTCGGACAGATCTCTGCTCTCTCAGGTTCAGTTTGATGACAGTGAAGGAGCATTTTTATCAAATATGTAGAGTCGCTTTAACACGATCAGAAAATTCTCCACAAACATGCAGAGCAAAGTGGGTAAACTTTAAAACACTGAAAGAGATTGAAGAACTTACCGCATGGTTTTAAACGAGGAAGTGTGAGCAGGTTTGGTCAGTCGGTGAGTGTCCTGAATTTGTTTAAATTATCCGGGTTTTTACAGGTGAGGGTCAGAGCTAACGAGAGGAGTGAAAACAGGAGTGTGGGTTTGGAAAAAGGAGGGAAACTCAGAAACAGCAGCGGCAAAAACAGATCCTAACATTTGGACGCCATGTTAAAAAACTGACGACCTTAAACTCAGACATCTTCTTCTGCAGCGTCACCTCATCGTTACGCCTCCATGTGTCACACTGAGGGTCTTAAATGTCCCGCCTCCCACCCAAAATGGACCTCCTGAAAAGTGCAGATGCCGGTGAATTAACCAGGAAACACTGTGAAGTCAGTAAACAGTCAAAACGATCCTCCAGATCTATAAATCGACAAGATACCAAACTAAGGAAGGTGCGGACGGATGTTGTTGATATGATCACAGAAATCTGGATACAGATTCGATATTTTCGGTTCGATTTCTGTTTTGACGAAATTCAGACCGATGATAGTGGAGCAGAAAACAGACAAAAGACGCCCACGTCCAAGCTGAAATCTGTCCATGTTTACTCAAGAACGAGGTCAACACGACAGAAGATGGACTGTCTTTGTTATGTTGAAAATCTATCAGAGGTCAGAGGTCATTGACGCCCTGCCCGTTGGTGTCACAGCCTCCCTCTCTGTTGAAAATGCTGCAGGGGGTGAAACTGTATCTGGACACGGTGTGCCGCGTTGATGAGCTCGCCTTTTGTTTTTATGGCGATGCGAAGCTAAGTGAGGGAAACCCGAGACAGGAGCGGGGAGTCTATTAACGATACAGAGAGGGAGAGGGACATCTATGCAGAGTTTGTCTTTGTAATGTTTCTGGACCAGGAGGAGGAGAGGTGGAGCTCTTTACAACCCCTCAGACCGAGCTCAGACTGTCCAAACCCAAATATCATCAATGACTAATAACTATTGATACTGATATTAAAAGATTTTTTCTATATACACCACAAAAAAGATGCTTCAGTGAGATCCACCGAACAAATCCAGATAAACATCTTATTTCAACGTCCTGTAAACCCAGAAGAAGACCTGAAATGTTTGTGATGAGAGTTTGAAAACCTTGCAGGATCAAACTTATCATGCATCGCCGTAGCTTCTTGCCCTTGAAGGCCACGGTCACTTCACAGGAAAGAGGGGTGAGCGAGGAAGTGTTTTATTTAAAGACTCGAATTTCTGCAGACTGGATGCAAAGTTCTCACAATCTCTCTCTCTCTCTTCTTTGGAGAATTCTGATGAGCCTCTTCTGAGCAGCTCCTGTGTCTGTGCTCGTGCAAAGGTCTGAGCTAAAAATGTGACATATCTAAAGGAGCAGCAGCATCCAAACAGATGCTCTTTAGGCGATGCATATGTTTCCACGCGCAGATATTGTTGTTTGATCGGGTGTGTAGGAGCCGTGTTGCGGGCTGTCAGCTCTCACTTTTGTTTACAGATCATGCAAATGTGCACAGGATATATATATATATATATATATATATATATATATATATATATATATATATATATATATATGCTAGCAGAGTCTGAGGAAAACCCAAGGAGGGATTACCCAGGGCTGCAGCGAATCTGCATTCAAGGTGTGTATGAGAGCGGCGTGTGCAGTGTTCAGAGAGAAGGGGAAGACGGAGAGGCAGGCAGCTGTACTTATAGGGGTTCCCCAAAGCAATTCCTCTTTTCTAAAAATAGCTGCAGCTCCGCCAACCTGGACGAGGGGAGAAAAACCTCTCATCATCCGAGGCGTGCGTCCAAATGAAGAGCGAGGAGAGAGGTTGTTAGCGTGTGGTTAAATCTGTCTCCTTCATTCATGCCTCAAAATCCACATCATACCTGCAAAATCTAAAATATGAGGCGTTTAGACTTAAGAGAGTAAATAAGCGGTTTGATGGACAACACCGCCCTGAGAGTCAGCCAGGTCACTCCATAGGAGTGTTCATGTCCGTGTTGTCGAGGGCAGAGAGAGAGAGAGAGAGAGAGAGAGAGAGAAAGAAAATCATAATAAAAAGACGACTAAATGCTCCACTAATCCGTCTGTGAATGAGAGCGGCTCGCTGCAGCAGTTCTTTTATGCTCTGTCGATTCCACAGGGGGATAAACACAACGCTGAGCCAGCACCCACTGCAACCTCGCCAACCCCGCCGCACCGCGAGCACTGCAAGCGCTGCACATTACCTCATGTTATGTCTGTTAACCCGTTTAAGCCCGCCGGCTGATACGGATGACAGAGAGGGCAGAGGGCTTTTCAGATGACATAACACACCCTCTGTTGGCCAAACGGGAGGACCGACACCGACCGACCAGAGGGGAAAAATACGCTTTAAAGAACCACCGTCCACTCAGACAACGAGAGAGAGACGGTGTCAAACTTCCACCCTGACCCCGAAGACATTTACTCTCATATTTGATCATTAAAGTTTGTCCAGAATTAACTGTCAGGTTTACATCCATGTGACGAAGAGAAAGACAAGATGCTAAAAAGTACAAAGCGTCTGATAACGGTGCTACTGAGCGATAAAAGAGACGCTTCAACAACGAACCCGAGCATCTCGAGTTCACACAGAGAACAGTGAAGAGTCATCTGAGAGCAGAAACCAGCAGCAGGCTTCACATCTAAGATCCGTACGATCCAAAAAGTTCTGGGAGAAATCACAGTTACCGTCAAGAGTTGTTGTTTTCGGTTTCATGAGATAATTGTGTGATCCCAGTAAGCTCCGCCCCCTTTCTCCAGAAACCTCCTGGAATAAATCGGGCGGTGAATTGCTGTGGACAGAGTCAACTCGATTGAACTCCCACTCACAGACTTCTGGGGCGCTCACACCAGGCATGAGTAAAATTATCTACTCGCTTAATTCGCGCGAATGAAAAGTATTTACTCGCTTCATTCGGTAATCCCTGCTAATTCAACCGGCGAGATCAAGTGATAGACAAAGGTTTTTTACAATTTACCAGGTAATCCGACCTCCTCACTGACTTTCCTCCAGGTGAGTTCCTTTTTACTCCGGTTTTGGTTATTGAAAGAAAAGGTATCATAGAAATCAGAGCACCCACACACCGACACGATCAGTTTGTCCTCCATTTTGGATACCAGTGAACAACCGTTTGTTTTCATATGTCACCAGGCAACCTTCGTGAATATCCGCTTTAGTTGAGACTTATTCAGCTCACGCCCAATTCGCGTCATTCTCGCTGCCAGAGTAGTACGAGCCTCTAATCGCGTCTCTGCATTGACTTAACATGTAATTCATTCGCGCGAATAGTTTTACTTGCGCTCGGTGTGTGGAGACAGTAAGTCATGAGGTCACAGTGTTTACAAACACGGTCAAATCGAGCTACAGTTATCGGCGATAAGGCGATTTAACTGGACGACTGTTCTTATCGTCCAACTGTATGTACATTAGATTTTATTCGTACAAGTTTCATGAAAGTCTCTCGTTCTTTTACGTCTGTTCTTCATCTGTCCAGATATTTGTTTACTAACCGACTTCACATCGACACTTGTGCTTATTAACTCTCATCTCAAACCCTGGAGCGTGTGCAGAAAGCTCTGACCACATTCACAGCACATGGAACATCATGAACCACAGCATGTCCGACCACGTTTTGCCAGTTAAGCGGCGCACATCCGGACACTGAGTGTTTTTGGTGTCGAATGAATCAAATTAAATGGTGCAAACGCTCTCGTCCACTTTTAATAACCTGTGTGTTTATTGGCACAGCAGATTTTGACCTTTTTATTCCAACTGTATTGTTTGGATGATAACCACAGTCTGTGTCTGTAAGTGTAGATCTAAAGAAGTAGATCTGCATTACAGTAAAACATCTATTTAATGTCTGAACAACCACCCACACCACGAATTACCTGCAGCCTCAGCTCTTCTTCTCGTCTCCTCCCTGTAACTCTGTAACCTTGAACTTTTGCACACTAAACTGTTGTTGAATGCAGATGAGTTTTGATTATGTAAGAGCTCAGACTCTCTCTAAAGGAGCCTCAGCAGCATGGAGGATGTAAATATTCAGACTCTATCGTATAGAAATGTTCGTCTAGAGTCTGCATGTGTGCACACACCTCTCCATGCAGCATCTTTAACTGACGGCTCTGTACGGCGAACACGCGGAGGCAAAAATCGCTGAAGAGTCACGCCTGGAAACATCAGTCCGACGCCCGTTGCCAAGACGATGCCAGGGGGTGGGTGGAGTCTGAGGAGAGGATGATGACATAACAGAGATGAGAGCAGGTTACATAATCATAAACAAACACGAGGAGTTTCCCGGATCATCCTCCGTGGTGCCGCTCTCCTTTTCTGTCCTCCTTTTTTTTTTTACTCTACTCCTCATCCTCCTCTCCTCTTCCCTCACTCTCATTTGTACCTGTCCTCGTTTCCCCCTTCGTCAAACTACACTTCTCTTTGTTCGTACTTTTTCTCTCCTTTCCTTTCTTTTCTGTCCTCCACGCCCTGTCTCTCTCCTTCCTCCCTACTTCTACATCTTTCTTTCTTTTCCTCAGACTACTTTCTCCCTCTTTTTCTCCTAAAATCTCCCTCTTCTCTTCTCTTCTTCCTTTATATTCGCTCTAGTATCCTTTCTTATATCCTCTTTCTTGCTTCCTAGTTTCCTTTGCTGCTTTAGAGGCGTTACATCCTCCACCCTTCCCTGTCTCCTTCCTCATCTCCTCCTCCCTCGTCCCTCTTCACCCTGGAAGGAAAGCAGCCAGCCATCAGGATGATGTATCCTAGCAACAGTGATATCCCGCCCGTTCGGCATCAGGATGAACCAAATTTCATTTCTGGATGATGAAGATTTGGAGGGTGGAGGTGAGGAGAGGTGACATCCAGCAGCTGATATCAGACTTTGATTCTGATTCGAACATTTTTACTCGTTTAAACTCGAATTAAAAATAGACGGAGATGAAGACGGAGGGCTCTGACCTTGTTGTGTGTTTGTGTTTGTGCGCCTGTTGTGCAGTCGTCACATTTTCTTCACTGTAGTGAATATTTTCATCGAGCAGCATCCCGAATCAGTTTCTTAAACGGTGCAGATAAATGCAGATGTGCATCATGAATTCAATCACAGAACGAAATATACCTTTGATAGGGGAGACCGGGGCTTGTTGTCACACTTTTTACATTCTTATATGGATACATTATATATAAACAAAATGTGAACCAGATGAAAGACCAAAGTCTCAGGTTTATATT